CCCCCCACTGACAGCCACATAGTGAGACCCCCACTGACAGCCACATAGTGAGACACCACTGACAGCCACTGATACCACTGACCGCCACATAGTGAGACCCCCACTGACAGCCACATAGTGAGACCCCCACTGACAGCCACATAGTGAGACCCCCACTGACAGCCACATAGTGAGACCCCACTGACAGCCACATAGTGAAACCCCCACTGACAGCCATATAGTGAGACCCCACTGACAGCCACATAGTGAGACACCACTGACAGCCACATAGAGAGACCCCACTGACAGCCACATAGTGAGACCCCCACTGACAGCCATATAGTGAGACCCCACTGACAGCCATATAGTTAAAACCCCTTCAGCCATTTACCTTTCTCCAGAGCCGGGCTCCCTCTGCGCTGGTGACCTCTCCTCCCCCTGCCGACGTCAGCTCCTAATGCGCATGAGCGGCAAGAGCCGTGCGCACATTCAAACCGCCCATAGGAAAGCATCACTCAATGCTTTCCTATGGACGTCCAGCGTCTTCTCACTGGGATTTTCACCGTGAGAATCGCGGAAGCGCCTCTTGCAGCTGTCAGTGAGACAGCCACTAAAGGCTGGATTAACCGTCAGTGAAACATAGCAGTTTCTCTGAAACTGCTATGTTTTCAGCTGCAGGGTTAAAACTAGAGGGACCTGGCACCCAGACCACTTCATTGAGCTGAAATGGTCTGGGTGCCTATAGTAGTCCTTTAAGATAAGGCCAAGGACTAATGAGAGTATTTAGAAAATTGGTCAGACTAGATAGGCCGAATCGTTCTATAATCGCCGAATCGCCTATACATTATGCTTTTACTGCCTATACAAACGTTTCTACGGACACCTCTGTGTCCACAGTTTCTGTGAAAGGTGTCCACAGAAGTTTGCTGACTAGAACAGAAAATATATTAAAACCAATGAAGGCTCCATGATTTGTTAGCTGAATGACTGAGGTTGACTGAGATGCTGAAGGTTCCCGGCCGGATGGTTTAGCACTCTTTGCATCTCACAAGTTGGACTGATCTTGAGACGCAAACAATTAAAATTCCTTCTTTGACTTCACTGAACCAAAGGTACAAAGTCACAAATATGCAGCAATTGTTAACATATCTATAGCATGGAGACAGAGACTAGGGTACACTACGCACTATAACCTATTCGTGGAACATAAGTTGTTATGGTGCTTAGTGAGATCCCTTAAAAATATTGTTGAAATAGAATATTTGAAAAAGTGACCATTGTCTACCATTTCAATGCTGCATAACCTACCGTCACAGTCAGAATATTAAAACATGTACAGTATTTGTTAGAGTTGATAGATTTATTTTTTAAGAAATTAATCACAGCTATGCTGTTTACATTTTTATTATGAAGATCTGTTTTAAGACAAAAAATTTTAACAAATGAAAAAGCCAGTTCAAAATTTGTCAATTTCTTGGCAGTTCAAATTAGATGATCCAATTCAATTTAAACCATTGTAAGTATTGCTAAATAAAAGCCCTACGTTGGGCGTTTGGGTAAAAAGAGCAATTCGAGGGTCAACGTTCTAAAGAATCATCGTGGAAATCAATGGAATATACTTCTAGTTGATGTGTAATGTTGCACTGTACTAGCCCATGTTCAGAGACAGGACATATGTGAATGTAAGATAAAATATCGGAGGTGATCAGCGCAAAAGGTAAAATAGAATATACATACGGTACAAAGGCAGTATCAAGTATAGAAATCATAGTATCATTGTGGATTATTATTATGGGGATTATTCCACCTCACGCTCTTCATACCAGAGCATGCCCCACCCCCCATGGTGCAGAAGGGGTTAAACACCCTGTGACGAAAGCACCTATGTCACTAGGATTTGGAGAGGACTGCTTGCCAGCCTCTTGCCCCAAGACTATGGGCCCTGCAAAAAGACAGGCTAAAAAGTGACTTCCATGGGAAAATGTGCCTCTTCCACTCCCCCTTTTTCCTCTCCTATTGTTCTCCAGCAAGGCGTTGTCCCAGGGACACTGCCAGACCAGTTGAAACTGGCTGCTTTGTCTCTCCTCAATCTCCCATCAGCCCTTGCTATTGTTTAACCCATGGCAATTTGACTATGTTCGTGGGATCTGAGCTCTGTTCGGATATATTGGGCACTCAGATCCAAGCTATATGGGGATATAGTCACATGTGGGGGTTCAGTTCTGTGAAACATAAGTTATGTATTTTAATGTGTTTTCGTTACAGTTTTAACTAAGGAATATTTTCTGTACCTGGAGATAATTGAGTTTACTACAGCCACTTAAGCCAATTATCTCCAGGATAGAGGGGAGGGATTTTACTGTGTATGTGGGAGTGTTACTGTGTTAATTATTGTTCCCATTGGTTTGTGTCCCTTTTGTACCAGTTTACCACTAGGTCCAGGGGGTGGTCCTCTGGCCTGAAATGTGTATAAAAGGAATGCCTTTGTGCTCATTAAACAGATCATCTTGCACCTTCATGAAGTTTCGGCTCATGTTTGGGGGATTGGAGAACTACCTACACTCTGGGGATTGCTATAATCACTATACTCCCCAGGGTATAATCACTAAGCTCTGGTAAGAGCTTGTTCCTGTTCCTGCTGTCTGGATTTAAGAGAAGTCTACCCACTGGGAGCTGGACCCTGGTCTTGGGTCCAGGGTGGGTAGGAGACGACGAGACCCCAACCAAGCTGCGGCGGTTTGTCGGGTCTGCGGTGGTTATGGTGTCTGGTGGAGTGCTTGGAGACCTCGGAAAGCACTAGGAGCATCCGTCAGTGGAAGGTACCCGGTCGGGGTGCCAGGCGTTCCGTTACACACCCCTTCTGTCACTTACCTTGTTCCATCGCCAATGTCCCTGTGCGCTTGCTCAGGGTCCGCCTTTGCCCCTCCAACGTCAGCCGGCAGAGGAAGATCAAATGCGCATGTGTGGCAATGACTGTGCTCGCATTAGGACAGCACCATAGGAAAGCATTATACGATGCTTTCCTATGGGCTTTCGGGTGACACTGGATGTGCTCATGCATTGCATGAGGATGTCCAGCGTCAGTTAGGCGATCAAAAGTTGCCTAACGACCCGGAAATTCGTCTAGTGGCTTTAGGGTTGAGGGACCTGGGAATATGCACCCAGATCATTTCAATGAGCTGAAGTGGTCTGGGTGCCTATAGTGTCCCAAACTATAACATAAATAACATTCGATATATGTGATTTTGGTGCATGATCTTTGCTACACTCATATCACCAATGAGCACGTCAGCTCTGTGCATATAAATACCAGCTCTGGCGTGCATTCTGTCTGCCCGGAATCCATTAAAGTGCATGCCTTATGCCCAGTAAAACACATAGGTATCTGTTCACCAAATTGTGACATTAAAACCGAAATGTAACATTTTGGCTAACATAGTCAAGCTGGGACAATAGCTCAGTTAGTATTTTTCTCAAAATTGCGGTGATTAGTAAATAACCCCAGAAAGTCTGTGTGATCCATGTGTGATCACCCTGTGTTTTAACTTGTTGCTTTTTCCCTGGTGCAATATATGAGTTTTTTTTTCTTTTCACCAAACTCCAAATTATAGCAGTTTAAAATCCCAAAAGCTAATACAGTGACTATAGCTGAGCATGTTTCCTGGTAAGCCTTTTTTTGCCACACATATTTTAATTTTCTGCAGATCAGAGTTTATTGAATAGACATCTTTGTATGTGCATTTACAGTGGTTAAAGTAATCCGCTTTCTTTTCTGTTGTGGCATTGCCTTTTCTGTTTCTTATCTATTAAACATTGCATTTTTTAAAGCTGAGACTCACCCTTTTTTTTGTTTAGTTTTCTTATATAGGAGAAATAATAAAAATAATTAATGAGTTCTCACCGTTATTTCCACCGACTAAAACTTTTAGAGAACTACATATTGAACTGGGGACTACAAACATGTTATAACCAAGAGCCTCAGGCATGAAATATATGATCACTCATTAGCTGCAAGTGTTCTATGTGATATATATACTCTAATTGCAAAGTAATACTCGTCTAGATAGTAACATGCATATTATTTCTCTATTTAATGGATGGTGCCTTCAGGCTGCAGTAGAAGGTAAGCAGTGAGGCCAGGGGGTAAACCGAGGTCTGGGAATGCCTTGTGGCACTGTCCAGCAAAGTGCTTTCTTAGTGTGCAGCGTGCAAGATGCTGTAAAGGACGCGGTTGATTTGAAGCGTTCAAGACAGACTCATAAAACGTACGATGCTCCTGCAAAGAAAGAAGAAAATTAACAGATGATAAATTATGAGAGGGCATTAGTGGATAGGAGAGAGAGAATAATTCTGGGCATAGAAGTTGACTTAAAGGGACACTTTAGTCACCAGAACAACTACATCTTTATGTAGTTATTCTGGTGTCTGTATTGTCTATAGCATTACTGCCTAGGGACACCTCTTTTTGCTGTGCATGGACAATAATCTCCCAGTGCTTTCCTATGGTATTGGCTGAAGTCATCAAGTTTGATGATCTCAGCCAGGGGGGTGGTGCCAGCCCCGAGAAGATCCACATGGGGCTGGAGAAAGTTAAGTAAAATCACCTTTTCAACCAGGGGAGTTAAATAATTTTTGTTTCTGTTACGCAGCCCTGATGACACAGCCTGCAAGCAAAAAACAATCGTTTCATTTTCAGTAAGATAGTAGCTTTAAAAGTTTTTATCTCCTTCTCTCTAAATTGAACTTTAATGACATACAGCAGACTCCTGCAGGATCTAGCTATTAATAGAGCATGAGATAAGACATTCTAAATTAAACAGAATTTGCAATAAAGGAAGTGTAAACATTAGATTACTCTTTACAGGAAGTGTTTAGGAAGGCTATGCAAGTCACATGCAACGAGGTGTGCCTAGGGCTGCATAAACAAAACAAAGTGATTTAACTCCTAAATGGCAACAAATTGAGCAGTGAGAGCGACTTTCCACCCAGCACTCTGGAACTCTATGCTGGATCAGAGGATGCTCACGGCCTGTTCAAACTTTACATCCGGACTGCTAGGGCTAGGCACCTGCAAACCAAGCACTTTTTGGGCAAAGTAGACGCACCGGGAGAGCTATCCGGGGATGGCAATGGTTTGTGTAAACGTGCACGGTAACCCAGTTTGTATGTTAAAATTGTTATTCCGCATTGAGGTATGTGGCCGCTAATAAAATGATCTAATCAAGTACTTACACCTAGGCGCCAGGTATTGTGAAATAGCTATTGTTCTCCTGGGGACCTCTTGTAGGGGACCTAAGTGTAAAGGTGTGCCATTCAGGTCCCCTGTGTGTAGGCTGCCACAATCATTTAAGAGTAAGTTGTATTTGTCATGACAGATACCATTTAAGGTGAAGGTTAGTAGGATTCAGTGCAGTAGCAAAATAGGTGCTATAAATTACCTCCCAAATTTCAGCAGGCACAGCTTCCACCCATGCATCTCCAAGAGGAATCCGGTCATAGGAGTTTAGGAGAATCTCAAAAGCTAGAGGGCAGGCAGCACAGAACTTCCACATCTAAAACAAAATATTTATACGCACGTCAGACACATTTATTAATTAATTTTATTGCAACTATTCATTTCTTACATATGTCTCGATGTAATATTTTTGGATAAACAGTTCAAATAAAATAATAATATTTTGAAAACTATCTTATCTATTTTGATATTTTTTGCTATACTGATTTATATATGTATAAATCAGTATATCAAATATATTTTAATAAGTTTTTCCAAAATAATAAATCATTTGAAAATAGCTTCTTAAATCTAAGGAGAGATCTGACTGCCATTCTGGGGTCAAGAAGGATTTTTTCCCCCTAGTTTGTTGCAAAATCGTAAAGTGCTTCAAACTGGGTTGGTTTTTTTTTGTGACAAACTAGGATTAAAATTCTTCTGACCCCAGAATGGCAGTCAGAGCTCTCCTTGGTTCAAGAAGAAGTTATAACTAACAAATTAAAATGTAATGAATATTATGTTTTTGCAAGTATTAATCCAGTTGCTGTTTAAACATCTGTACAGACTCTGATAAAACCACGTCTTCAGGAAGAGAATTCCACATCCTTTTTGTTCTTACTGTAAAAGACCCTTTTCTTTGCCTTAGACTAAATCTCCTTTCTTCCAGTTTAAATGTGTGACATGTATAGTCCAGTTTATGAATAGATTTCCATCCAATGGTTTGTATGAAGTCATTTAAATATTCATTTCATACAAAGATGAATGCCCACATGTTGCCTTCTCTAGCTATTACTTTTTTTCAATTTTCCGCTATCCACACTAGCAAGCCTCTCCATCATCTATTCTAGCTTAAAAAGGGAGCTATTCCAGAAAATATGTTTAGTAAATAGCACTGTAAATGTAGATGTAAATGTAGACACATCTGTCTTGGAACTTTACGCCTACACCTTGTCTTCATTGTTATTCATTTTGCCCTTTTCTGCAGTTGAACATAGTTAGTGGAAGAGGAGAAACTGAAACGAAAAAAAATATTCACCTCATCATTTGCATTGTGTGCCATACCTGTGCCTCCACTGAACTGGATTGAGATGTTCCAAAAAAATATATATATATATAACATTTTATAGGTTATTTTCAATGATTATTCATTCGTATAATTTCCAGAGAAGTGACAGTTCTGTTTTAACAAACCATCTTCTAAAGAAGGAATGCATCCTACTGTCTTCTTCCCTCTACGTTTCATATGGAAGTCCTAGGCCTCGGTCTGCTCTACATCTCCTCCTGTACCACCAAGCCAACTTTCTGTTTCAGATGTGGTGTAGAACAATATTTTCAACATTCCATTGTCAAGTAAGAGATCAGTACAGGAATTATTCACCTGTCCACTATTTATTTAAAGGACTACTAAAATCACCCAGGCTACTTAATCTCACCGATGTGGCCTGGGTGCAGTGGTCCTGTCAATTTAACCCTTCAAGATAAAACACTGCCATAAGCCACTGTCAGGTTCATTGTATTGGACCATGCCAGGGAAGGCCATGCCTAGTCCATGATGTCGTAGGAGAAAGAGCGGTGGGCAGCGCTGAGGGAGCCTCAGCGCTGTAAACCAGTAAGTAAAACTATATTTTGTTATTGTTACGAGACAAATGGGGGTGCTGGTTTATATAACTAGGGACGGGGACACTAAAACATTGGATGTACAGCTTTCCATTCCTATCGCTTCAGTGTTCTTTATGAGTGGTCAGAGAAGAGAATTTAAAAATGTTAGCTGTGTGCAGAAAACATAAAATATACGGCCATTAATGGCCAAGGTAAGTAATTCACACATGTCTACCACCATGTACTGTTTACATTTTCAAAAGGCTACTTCTAATGTGGAAAGCAGAACTGTATTGTGGTTATATGGTTGCAATGGTGTCTACAATAAAATATGATGGCATACTGTCTTAGATTCACCAAACTGTGTATAAATGACCCTCAAATAGCCCAAGATGTTGAAATTATATTGAAGACACACTTGGAAATGTTTCCTTTTGGCCATGCAATTATCTGTGCCCCGATTAGTAGATATGGGTAATTTTTGGCCACAAATAAATATCCTTTAACTTATTGATAACAAGTTCACTGATATGTGGGTTGAACATCATTATCAGTTAAACCAAAGTCAAACCAAGGTCTCTACTAACCTTGGCACCTGGAGGATTGGCTCCATGGTTAAGCAGAGTTCTTACTAGCTGGTGGGGCTGGCATTCTGGATAATCAGTGCATACTTGTAGGGCACAGTCCAGGGGATTGTATCCAGCACTGTTGGTCACATTCGCAGATGCCCCATGGTCTAACAGCATTTGTGCCAGTCTAAAATGACAGTTGGCACTGGCATTGTGTAAAGGTCCGTGTCCTTTCTTTCCTGGGGTACCAGGATTTCCACCGGATTTGAGAAGCATTTCCGCCACTCTGTAATAACGACCAAAGTGCTGTGGAGAATCTGAGGCGGCACAAGCGGCGTTAAGTGGTGTTTCACCTTCCCTGTTGAGGGCCGAAGGATTAGCATCAAGGCTCAGATAGAGAGAAACATGTTGTTCTAGGCCTCTTGCAGACGCTATATGCAGTGGGGTGACTCGCGTGTAGTGACAAGGAAGATTCACGTAGGCCCCATACTCCAGTAGTAACTTTGCACATCTGAAATTTTGCAGGAAATGGTGAGTTAGATCCAAGTATACATACAATACAAAGCCCACATTTATTTATCATTTTTATATAACTGGCCTTCAAATGTATTTTCTAGAATAGGGAGTAATCAAATGACTCCACGAATTGTCGATTATTGAACACAGAACAAGTCATCTATAATATCACTCAATTTTTAGTCTAGTGAGTTAATTTAGGAACAGTGCCAGTCTAACCAACTTTCGACTTCTTAGATTTTGCTTTGCCAATGCTATAATGCCATCCATTGTCAACTATGCCTACTACCTCAACATTTAGATAGCATCCTACAAACTATTCAAGGATAATAGTCATTTGACTGAGTACCTACTCATATGTCTCCGGGGTAGTACAGAGATGGAGGGGTGCTCGACCATCTTCATCCATAAGATTGGGATCAGCCCCCCGGGTCAGTAAAAGACGCGTACACTCAGCATGGTGACTCTCAGAGGAGTCATGTAGTGCCCCCCGACCTCCTGCTTTAGCGTTAGGGTCAGCTCCTCTATTCACTAGGAGGCGAACACAATCTGCGTATCCTCGTCCAGCAGTGATACGTAGGGGGGAAGTGTGAAACTTTTTGGGGGTCAGAGTCCAGACTCCTGTAGGTATAAGTTGCAGTTACTCTCACATTCAGGGATAAATTTTTGCCAGCAACCGTAAGTACTACTAGGAATTCCTATTACTCACACCAGGATTTGGCTATAATGTGGAATTATTTTGGAATCCTAAAAATATTAGTTTAATTATAATATTAAGTATAATAATATAATGTAATATATAATAATAAATAAGTTCTCACAGATATATTAATAAATAAAAACATACACAAGTTCACACATAGCACGAGGCCCACCCGCAAATGCTCCCCCTTTAAAGAAAATATTCCGTATGGAGGAAGTGAGATGCTAAATACATTTGTGGAGGTCCCTAAGACCATCTCAATACCAGTATAGTACTGAGAACACTTCTTCCCACATCAAACAGCCAAATGAGCATATTTTTCCTTACCTTATAGTGTTAAAAACACCATCTAGCCCCCATGATCACCCTAAATATAGTAAACTCTTACTTTTATTCCAGTCTGCTGCTGCAGGCTCTGTCCTTAATCTGCCTGCTTGGCTGACTATGGGAAAGCACTGTGATTGGCTTTGATCAACACTTCTAATGAAGTGTTGATCATCAGAAGTGTTGATCAAAGCCAATCACAATGCTTTCCCACAGTCCACGATTTATATATTTGGCTAAACATTTTAAATGATTTAATAATTTTTGATAAACTTTTAAAATATTTTTTTTTCAAAATATATATAAAGTATCCAAAAATTGAAGCCCCCATACGATTTTTATTTATTGTTTTATCTTTTTCCATGTGGCGGCCGGCAAGCAAACGCTGACTAGCCACCACATAATTAACCCTGGCGCTGCCGAGGGTGTTTCACTATTTGCTGTCAGTGGGCAAGCAGTTCTTCAAATTATCTTTCACTGGAAAATAACAAGTAAATGATCATTTGTGAACAGGAAACCTGTTGGACGCATGCGGCTTATCACTGGCCACCATGCTGTCGTTGATAAATCTGCAATTCTGATACTGTAGGTTTTTTCGAACTCATCTGGCCCAATGTTACAAAACAACCGAATTCTGACCCCATTTGGCTTTAGTATGTATTTGAATTGCCAATGTGGCCGGGATTCAGTCGTGTTCACCAGATTTTGTCCATTCAGACAAAATGCACTATATAGGGAATAACCTTGCTACAACTTTGGTTAGAAGAGCACACAGGGCATGGAGTGAAGCAGGAGCCTAACGGTCAGATTCTACCTCAGTCCGACCGAAGGTGTATCAATATGGCAGAGGGATCTAGGGAAAGTAGGGGCAAGATTTTCAGGTATTTTTATATATACTTAAAAAAAAAACACCACTTCTTTTCATCACATGCTGCAAGGGTTCTTATAATAGAAAAAATTCTGATGACAGGTGAAATCAATATATTCGCTGAAACTGCAAGCAGGAAGAGAAACCCCCCCCCCCGAAAAAATCAGTAATATTGACAATAATATGAAAATAAGCCAAAAACAGACAAATTAAAATAACACATAATTTTAAGTAATAATAATTCTAAAACTAAATGTTCTACCAGGAAGGATACATTGGCAATTATCTGATTAATGCAATTCTTTCAGTTAGGTGCTATTACCCAATTCAATGGAAAGATGAAGAGCTCAGATGACTCTGCAAGAAATGAAACAGGAGTATGTAAGCCTTGAGAGGACTCTGCCCCTATCTCACCAGCCCACTGGCGGAACTACCGCGGTTGCAGCTGTGACTGGCCACATCACTCCAGGGGGAGTGCCCCCCAGCATTTTGGTGCGACCCAACTGTGCAGAAAAAACGCCTTTCCCGCTTTGAAGGAGCCCATCAGGTGGTCCATGCTTCTGGGGACACCTGACGGCAATGGATTTCCTGGGGCGCGGTCAGCGCTGCAGGGCTTAAAAGGCGCGACCGGGCCCGAGTGAAGATGTCAGCTGTCACTTCCTCCCAGCCAACAGAGCACCGCGCACGAGGAGAGGAGGGAGTCAGAGTGGGAGCTCTGACTCACATCAGCATGAGGCAGCCACTGGACCACAGGTAAGTCACAATTTTTTTTTTAACAGTTTGTGTGTGTGATAGAGAATGTCTGTATCAGTATATATGGGTGTGTGTGTGTCTGTATGTATGTGTGTCTATGTACGTGCCTGTGTGTGTGTGTATATATGTATGTATGTGTGTCTGTATGTATGTGTGTCCACATGCGTGTGTATCTGTTTTTCTGCATGTGTGGGGGCATGGATGTTTGGGGTGGGGGGGTCAATGTATGGGGACGGGGACATGTGGGGTGGGAGGTAGACGCATGGGTGTGGGGGCCCAGGACAATTTTTGCACCGGGGCCCTGTGGTTTCTAGTTACGCCTCTGTACCAGCCCACTGACTGGATATCATGCAGTATAGAGGCCCAGAGGCAGTGTTCGGTTCTGCTCCGTGTCAATGAAGATTCAGAACATTCTGGATCCATCTGCAAGTTACATTAGCAGACAATCTTCATCTCTCTGACCTTAAGTATGAGGTCACGCTCCCACAGCCCATCCAATGCATTTCACAGACAAGCTGCCAAAGAGGATTATTCTCAAGCTGTGTGTCTAATGCATTTTTTTTAACCTATTCATTTCTCATTTAATTTACCATCAACAAATAGGTTTGTTGTAAATTTTTAAATACTAATAATTTTGAAAATACTATATTTACAGTGTAAACCAAGACTCAGAATTACCATTCGCCAACTGGCAAGTGAAAATTCAGCCCTAGCAAGTAAAAAATTCCCCCCTGATGGGTGTTTCATGGTCCCTCTAGGCTTGCAAATAGCGAGTAACCTTTATGCCTGTCTAATAGTGTAGGACTTGCAATTTAGAACTCTGGTGTAGACCGGCTTCTCTCAGTAAAGTAAACATTCCGGGAACAGACAGGATCATTAGTTGACAATATCACGTTTTAGCCGAAGAGGTATGTAACAGTTTTACAGTTCATGCCCCTATGACTTGGTTTGCCAATGTCTCCAGAAAAGTCTTATTGAGAAGCGTGTCCTTATCAAGTTCATTAGGTCCCACCAGGTTTGAACTGGGTTCAACTTAGTAACGAGCAACTAAATAAACATGAATTATCTTGTGCAAATTCAGGCTTTGGTTGAGGAACTCAAGCCAAGTGTAACAGTTTGAAACCATTATATCCAACTGGATGCAGTTGCGAAAGGGAGTACTGACAATTTTTATTTCTCTTGGAAACGTCAACAGAATTAGAGTTTCAACTGCATACAGTAAAAATATATAGAAACAATATATAAAATATAGATTCGTACCATTTTAAATCTCATTAAGGCCTCAAGTTAATCATTTTGGATACACTTTTTAAATGATTTCATATTTTGATTTTTTTAAAATATATATATTTATCTATATATGATTCGTTTTATATTTTTATATATTGAAACCATTTCTGAAAAAAGTTTATCCAAAAATATTCAATTATTTGAAAGATAATAAAACCGAGGACTAAGTAAAATAAAGCCAGGGTTTTATGAAAACTTCTCAATAGTGACTGACTTGTGGGTTTCAGTACCAAACATTGAATGCCAAACCCAATTTCACTTCTTACCCACATCTGGAGACCATTGTAGCTCCTCGCTTACTGTCTCTACCAGGACTTCTGCTGATCCGTCTTCCCTGAATATCCCCTTAAGCCTTTCAATATCTCCTGTGTAAAGGGCATTGTGAATGGCAGCATCTCTACAGTACAGGTGTCTCCGAGACATCGAGGGACGGACTGCCCGGCTAGGAGTCAGAACTTTACGGGTAAGATACTCCCTGCTGACGGCTCTTTGACGATCTTGACATTCCAATTGTTCTTTCTGTCTTTCAAGAGATCGTAAAGTTCCAGAAGTGAAGGGGAAAGTATCCCTAGACATCTTACGGGGGGCGGGGGAGTATAAGGGTTGTATAAAATAAATTGTAGGGTCTACAGCAAATCTCTCTGTCAAAGTGAAGGAAGCCGTGTGTCCTATTTATAACACAACCATCTGATACTCAGCATGGTAAACATACTTTTGCAGTGTCATGTTCGCCCAGTAATAAAGTGCTGGTTTTGTCCCCCACAGGCCGGTCTGCTTTTTAACATAGAGAGTTCCTGATATTAAAAGTTTGTTTCCTCTAGAAAATATGGGGCGCAGCAGATCAATTTCTGTGAAATTAGAGCACCTGATATCTAAATATATATAAATCAGGAGCCCCCTGATAATGAAGGATTGTATTGAATTTAAAAAAAAAAATGCATATAAGTATTACTCATGTCTTACATTTTTTAAGATGCTGTACAGGAGTATAAACTGGGTACTCAAAAACGTTATTAAAAAAAAAAAGAAAGAAAATCAAGCAGATAGTTTAACGTATTTTTCGATACCAGCTTTAAAATGTAAACCAATAATTATTCTTTAATAATCATTTGCTCCTGGTGGAATCTGATCACAAAGACTTATATTTGGATATTGAAATGTGTGATGGTCTGGGACTCACTCAGTCACTGGGACTTCTTGCCTATCATGTACAGAATGTTCGATACTATTTGACATCCCCCATTTTGTCAAGGCCTATTAAATCAACTAGATTTGTTGTAGCATAAAGCCAATTTGAGCCCATTAGCTGTTAAACATGCTGGGATAATTCACTACTGTAGAAAGCAGCTCTTGCGCCTCACAGGCCAACGTCTCACATGGTAGGAGAAACATTGGATTTGGAAACATGGACAAACAGCCCTAACACCAGGTTACGACATAACTTAATCAACAAATTGGTGTTTAAGTCTTCTTGTGGTGATGGTACCCCAGTGGTTTAATGCATATTTATTTAACCATGAATGGATGTGGGAGGTCATTGGGACCAACATTCTCACCTTGGATAGCTCTCCTCAATAAAATGTATCAGCCAATAGTAACTTAGTAACTGGTTAAGAAAACTAATTTTAGGGTATGGAAAGCTTGCTGGGCTTCATTTTGGAACAATATCTCCTTATGTTCCTCAAATGATGCCAGCATGTAATGCTCTCATTATGAAAATAGTCATAGATTGCCATCATAATACAACTAGCACTTGTTTGAAAAATTGTATTGAATGGCCTGACAACTGCATATTTCCTGCACCACTTGGAAAACGCCAAATTCTTTATTGGACAACCCTTGTTATATCTCCTCCACAAACCTATTTAAAAAAACAGGTGGTGTGAAAGATTGTTTTAAAAAGAAAAAAAATAGCTTTATAAAATTATTTCCTTTGCAGACACACAGTTAGATCCTCCGGTTTAAACTCCATCCTCTTTGTCCACCTTTTAAGTATTTTATTCCCCAATCCAACTCCCTTCCAGGTCTTACATTGAGAAACCGACTCAAAGGAATATTTGGATCCAAAGAACTGGTCAATGGTTTTTAAAAACACCTCCGATGTAATGGTCTGCCAAGCTAGACGGTATCTATCTCCTTCTAGACATCCCACATCTTCCTATTCTCACTCATCCCTGTGCTTCCGTGGCTACAGAGAGGAAGGTTCTTACTTACACATGTGGTGGACCTGTCCGCTGGTGGATCATCTCTGACGATGACTATTTAGTGAGATTAGTGTCTCTCTCACAGTGGATTTTGAGCCAAACCTTTGGTTTGTCCTTCTCTGATGCCTATCCACTCTCAAGGCGTAAATTGATCACACACAAATATATAGCAACAAGAAAGTGTATTAATTAAAACTCAAAGTTTACTCCAAGATATTACATAAGGAACAGTACATTTTGACAACAGATAAAATGATGGTCTATCTGCAGGGTAACCCGGTCCATTTCGGCAAGATTATTGGATTGAGGTGCAGGTAGGTGTTCTTCACCCTTTCTTTTTCCCCTTAGGGATCCCTGTTTCTTGAACCAGGAACTTGTTCAGCTCGCAACTCCTGTTCCTTTTTGGCCTGCACCTCATTTGCAATGTGAGAACTCCGTGTCTTTGTTTAACCATCATACAACCTCTAGTTTGTTCTCACTATTCATTGTATTGCTATTTTGCAATAAACTTCTACTTGCAAAAAGAGATGTGTTATATTACGTAAGTCAAAGTTAGTTTTAACTCTGCTTATGGTTCTGGGTATTTATGATCTTCTTATAGCCAAGTGGAATTGAAATTAGACTTTTTTATTTTCTCTCTATTCATACCTATATCTTACTTATCCACTACACACAACTATACAACATAGGACTGCTAAAGTATTGCAAGGAGGAAAAGTGAGCAAGTCTAGACGCAACAATGTCTTCTGGGGCTCTTTAACGGCATGCAACCACTGATCAAGGGACCTTCCTATATATCTCGGCAAATGTTTGTATGGTTGTGTAAAGTTTTATCTTCTCTCAAACTAAAAAAAACAAAACGGATTGTCCGTTATTACAAGATTCACTTTACGACACTCAGTCATGGCCGCAGTCAAAGACTACCATTGTCAAATTATTCACAGTCATGTTTCTGCTGGCATTAAGTCAATGAATATTGTTACTGTACATATGAAGCATTTTTGATTGTGCGCAATTATACTTTGCTATGTGTGTACTGTATTTCTTAATGTGTCTTGGAATAAAGAATGGGAAAAAACCCCAAAAATATTGAAGTAAGACACCCAACAACATGTAGTGGAATTGGAACATTGGGAAATCCAACCCATATTAATGATTGTGGCCTGGTTTCAAGCAAGTGAATTATATACAAATAACTTGATATTAACGTCATTGATCAATGTATCTTCAAGTTGAATTAAAATAAACGTTTAGCTTCCTTGCGGATATAGGGGTTATTACCATTTCACGTCTTCCAAGGTGTAATTCAAGATAAGAGAACAGTTTAGGTCCAAGTAATGTAGAAATTCATTCCACAGCTTTCCCAAATTCACAGTATTTTATTGGTTGGTTGGCCATGCCTGGTCTAAGGCGCTAGAGGTTTAGTTTGTTTTCATGACCTTGTTAATGGGTTAAAGCTTGAAAAGAAAAGGAAGTAGCTCCTAAGTCATTGTAGAATTATGCCAACTACAGTGCCCAGATACCATTATTCCAAACAAGCCCTGGAAAAGCATCAAACAACATGGAATTCAAACAGTTGAGAGCTAACTGTTGAATTAAACAGGCAGTCCCAGCTACAGTTAAAGAAACACTGTAGGCACTATAACAACTTAATCTTATTGAAGTTATCGTGCCTTCCGTTCTACCCCTCCCCAAATCCTTTATTTAAAGGAGCACTATAGTGCCAGGAAAACATACTCGTTTTCCTGGCACTATAGGGTCTCTAGGTCCCCACCCTCAGGGCCCCCCTCCCGCCGGGCTATAGTGGGTGGAAGGGGTTAAATCTTCCCTTTTTCCCCTGCCGGGCTCCCTCGGCGCGGGGAACTCTCCTCTTTTTCGCCGTCATCGGCTGAATGCGCATGTGTGGCAAGAGCCGCGCGCGCATTCAGCCAGTCCATAGGAAAGCATTCTCAATGCTTTCCTATGGACGCTGCGTCTTCTCAATGAGACAGCCACTAGAGGCTGGATTAACCCATAGGTAAACATAGCAGTTTCTCTGAAACTGCTAAGTTTACACAGCAGAAAGGGTTAATCCTAGATGGACCTGGCACCCAGACCACTTCATTAAGCTGAAGTGGTCTGGGTGCCTATAGTGGTCCTTTAATAGTTGGAAGCACAGCATCTAAGCCCTCTGGGTATGAGAGCCTGAGAGACTATTACCTTATGCTCTTATTCTGAAACATACTGTGATGTCACGGCTTGCAACAGAGAATCAGGTATTTAATGATTATCTATGGCGGAATCATTGGTGCATCGCAGTGAGCTAATGTGCTTACAGTCCCCATTGTTCCTCTCGGATGACATCAGCTAGGAGAAGTAAGTGGCAGCACTAAGGGAGACTTGGCACTGGAAGAAAAACACAGAGGAATGGGGGCTCTGAACTAATTAGCCAACTCAGGAATACATGTATTTCTAACGCTATTGTGTTCCTTTAAAAGTGGTTAGAACAGAGTGAACGTTTTAAGAGGATAAAGGATCAGTAAATGAACCCCTTAATGACAGTGACCTGTTTAATGCTTTCAATATTAGGTCCCATGTAGGAATAAAGTGAGAGGACACGAAAGACATATTTAACATGGACGGGCAAGCTGAACCATTGGCAGAATTAAATAGTGAGTCCTGTGCCCCAGACAGATCAGAAACCAATTAATCAATTAAACACAAACCTCAGATGTAAGAAAATCAAAATATGCAAAAAAAAAAAAAAATGACTTCATGTACAATTGTATGTATTCATGTTAGTTAATTATGTGGGAAAGATGAATTTTTCACCTCCTTGTGTCACTTGAACAGTGCAAATAAATGTATCTGCTCCATATAATAAGCTCTGAGTACAATACATCTCCTTTTAATGTATCTTGAAACGTGGGTAACAAATACCATCAGAGACATGTTAAACTAAACAAAATCCAAAAAAAACAAGAAGACAAAACTAAACGAATAGAGCGGGTAAAATAAAAAGGACTAGGAGATCTAGAAATATCTGTTGTGCTGTGATTACATCCAGTTTTGGTAACAAATTAAAAGGGATGGATCTGGCCTCCTATTGCACAAGAGCAGGGCTTTCCGTATTCTGTTGCTCTAACTGGATATGACGCTCAGAGCATTCCATGCCTTACCCTGCATGTGAATTCTATAATAATTGCAAATACTTTTATTTTTAAGCACCAGTACCATTTATAAAATGTTTGCCTTGTACCACCAGGCAGTAAAAGGAATGACATGGTATCACACTAGGCAAATGATGGCAAAAATTAAAGTCCGAAGTTGGGTAAGGTGCTCAAAATGATTCATCTTGATGGCCAGTCAGGCAACAAATACAAATGCTGTCCTTTAAATCTTAACCAAGTGGCCTGAAGTCTGATTTCACAAACTGCAGCAATATTGTCTGGTTCTGATGACCCAATAGTTCAAATCTAATTGCCATCATGTAGGGAGAACCCAATCCAGCACGGTCTCTGCAGCAAGTGGGGGAAGGTTAGCATCTGATATTTGGAAGATCCTAAAGTAACCTCTTCTACAGCTGGGAGAGTCTTAGAAAGAGTAACAGATCCCGTTGTTGCAGTCAGGGTTTAAGGATGAGTTGGTCTAGAGATGTCAGTCCCCTGGATCTTCAGACATGTCCCATAAGAGAGCGTCGAGGTCATCTGCATAGACAGATAAAACAACGAAGAAGTTCAGACAGTTGGAAAGGTTAGCCGAAAGCAGGTCAAGGAAGAAGGGCATGCTGAAAGAATCTGTTTGACAATTCCAGGATCCAGGGAAATACTTTTTGTATAATAATATTCTAGTAAATCAAAGAGATGATCTCCAGCTACACCTGTAGGGTTATTTACTAACGTGAGAATTCAAAGTGAATTTCAAATTCAAGTTAAAAATAGCTGAACTGAAAACATTCTCTAAGTTAGATATGCTACCTGTTTGACTACTTGGGTCTCAGATTTGACGTTCAATTTGAATTTACACTTTAATCTACAATCCCACTGACCGAAATCAGGAAGGCAGACAGGGAGAAAATACTAGGTATGGCCGCACTCACCCTCTCCCCAGTCTTCAGGGGCGGATATTTGGGGAGCTTCATTCAGTGTTGTGCTTGAAGATGGCGGAGGTCGTGATGGGGTTCTGTTAGAGTTTATATCAATCTTGCCATCAGACGCTGGTGGTACTGTAAGCTAAGAGGACAATGGCAAAATATTTCTACATAATGTTGAAAGGAGAGCAGATGGTAAGTGCAAAATAATAACAGAACATCTTTATTTCCCCAACCCATGGTGCGGTCTTATTGCTATTAAACAACAATGGTACTCCAATACAACAGCTCATTATAGTATTGTTTATGTATTGCACTATTCAACACATTTGAAGTGCTGCACCATACAGTAATGCTATCACTACTTACCCTTGTACACCCGCCTTCCTGCCCCGGAGGGTAGATTTTCACAATGTTGCTGGGGGTCACATTAAGATAGTGGTTACGATGCGATGGAGAAAAGACACCAACCTGAGGACAGAAGGATCCGTTAAGTAAATCATATTCCTTTGATAAGGACTTGGCCCACTATAGGCATCTGGGGATACGCTTCTGTGATCCAGTATGTGTGGGGTACATTACATGCAGTGTCCAGGAAACCATATTGTTGGCAAGACAGCTTTATCAAATGTCAACTAGAATTGGCTAAACGTAACCTTAGAATGTTAGAAAATAATAATGTTAAAGGACCACTCTAGGCACCCAGACCACTTCAGCTTAATGAAATGGTCTGGGTGCCAGGTCCAGCTAGGGATAACCCATTTTTTTTTATAAACATAGCAGTTTCAGAGAAACTGCTATGTTTATAAATGGGTTAATCCAGCCTCTAAAGCCTCTAGTGGCTGTCTCATTGACAGCCGCTAGAGGTGTTTGCGTGATTCTCACTGTGAAAATCACAGTGAACACGCAAGCATCCATAGGAAAGCAATGTAAATGCTTTCCTATGAGACCGGCTGAACGCGCGCGCAGCTCTTACCGCGCGTGCGCATTCAGCTGAATGGGAGGAGAGGAGGCGGAGAGGAGGAGGAGAGCTCCCCGCCCGGCGCTGGAGAAAGAGGTAAGTTTAACCCCTTCCTCTCCATCCAGCCGGGCGGGAGGGGGTCCCTGAGGGTGGGGGCACCCTCAGGGCACTATAGTGCCAGGAAAACGAGTATGTTTTCCTGGCACTATAGTGGTCCTTTAACTAAAGGGTAACTTATTAGACATAGCACCCATTCAAGATCTACATATAAAAAAAAAAATCACTGTGCTGGAATTGGTATCAAATTATTTAGGAATTGACAATTTTCTAAGAAGCAACATTTCCACAAATCATGGAACACTGTTAGTCTTTGAAGACTGGGTTTAGAATCAATATGCTGTAAGTTACCAGTGCGATGACTAGTAAAAACACAAAGTCGATTTAGCCATTTAGCTCCCAGTTATATAAAGTGGGGTTGGGAGGATTTTTCATTGGTTATCTTACATTCCCTATGTATACTTGTACAGCGATCTAGAACCAGCCTATCGATAGGTTTCTTCGCTGCATTGAGTTGTTTGTTGGCTGTACCTGTTGTAAGAGAAGCACACTGCCAATCTTTAACTCACTCTCCCGCTCCTCCAGCAGCATGTGATGAATTGTTCCTTGAATGTCTCCTGGAGAAGAATTAGTAAAGAAGACATAGAGAACAGTTACTATTTCTCACCAAGTGCGAATCCCAAGAGGTCACGTCCTGAAACCAAAAAATAATCCCATCTATGTCCCATCTCATTCCACACAGGCACTACGGAGAAACCAAGAGGGAAAGGAGAGGACGTGTACAAAGATAGGAGAGCTGGTAAACTTGGTGATGCAACACACAAGCCAAGTACAGTCTTCCTCTCGCGTCATCCTTACCTGTGGGGTCTCTGAACACTGCACTCGCGTCTCCGTTAGCTGGGGTCAGGGATTTAAGAGTCACTGCCATTCGGGGAACCTTGTTTTTTTGGAGCTGCTTCAGGGCTGCCTGCCAGGGGATACAGGGCAATGAGTCTAATAGATCTCCAAGAGACCTGATTTTTGTCAAACTGCTTTAAAACAGTTTGGAAAAAATAAATAAAAATACAGAGCACAGGTCCTGGAGACTGTTGACCAGTTTACCACTACAGAGAACTGTAGTGATTATAGTGAGTAAAATATCCCCTTAAAATCTGAATCACCCCAAAGAGAACCAAATCTACAACCTAGAGATTTTAATGGGTTCAGCCAAGTTTTTCCTTGTATTAGTAGGCAGTTACTTGTATATTTCAATGCTACCCATTATGTGTTAAGACAGTAATGAGAAAGAATGGAATCCTAGTGAAATCTATTTAAAAAGCCAATTCCATAATCTTTTACATGAATTCAAAGTGTCACAGGAATAAATTATGGTTCTTATGTAAATAGTGAGCAGTCATTTGCCAAGGAAAATAAAATACTGCCCTGAGGATTTTTACCTTCCGTAACACCATGATCACACTGTACGTCCGCAGGAAGCAGTTGGGATCATTCTCATCCACAGCTAATTCCGCTTTCATGGTCGCCCACGGACCTTTAATAAAATCCTCTTCCACTGGCTGTTGGGACGTCACCTCTTCCTGCAAAACAAATGTCTTTAAAGAAAATAACCACTCGCAGCCTTCCCCAGAGCTATTCTATGGACAGGTTAAAGGCAAGACAATAGATTAGAGTGTAAGCTCATTTGGCCAGGACCCTCTTCACCTATTGTTGCCGTATGTCAAACATGCTTTGTTAGAAATAAAGGTTTCCCTTGCTTACTTATTGCACAAGCGCTGCGGTATAGGTTGGTGCTACATAAATAACTATAACAGCATGAAGACAGAAGCAATAGAAGTCGTAAAAAAGTCTATAGGTCTATTAACCAAGGGGAATCAACACAGTAAAGGAGGAGACTATATTTAAAAGGAGGAAAAACTACCACAACAAGAGGACATAGTCTTAAATTAGAGTGGCAAAGGTTTAAAAATAATATCCGGAAGTATTACTTTACTGAGAGGGTAGTGGATGCATGAAATAGCCTTCCAGCTGAAAAAACACAGTAAAGAAGTTTAAGCATGCGTGGGATAGGCATAAGGCTATCCTAACTATAAGATAAGGCCAGGGACTAATGAAAGTATTTAGAAAATTGGGCAGACTAGATGGGCTGAATGGTTCTTATCTGCCGTCACATTCCATGTTTCTATGAAAGCAGACGAGTTACATATTTGTGACTGTGAGGTCTGAAACAAAGTTAAATGTAGAATTTCACACTTCTGTTTTTCCCTTTATCTTGAAACTGTGTGACACCATCTTGGTCCTCTGTCAATCACTGTATAAGCTCTGCTGTTTGCTCCTGTCAGTCAACGTTGAGTAAGGAGAAACAGAAAGAATGTTTCTCCTCCTTCAATGCAATATGTGCCCTGGCTGTGCCTGGACTGAGATGTTGACTGACAAATCCTTAATATAAATTTAAAAGAAAATGGAACTTCACATTAGAAAAAGGCTAACAAGTCAAGAAGTGAAGTATTAGCACAGCGTAGCCAGGTTCGTAAGTGATCTCCCCAGGGACCATCACTACTATGGACTCTGCGCATGTTAATTCTTTCCAGGACTGAGGACTGTGTACCCGTCAGATGAGTGTGCGTGGATCTATTTTAATTTAGGAAATGTATGAGAAGTTCAACTGAGATTGAATCTCAGTTGAACATCTGAGACCAAGAGGCCTTGTTGGCAGGATCTTCACAGAGTTTTAGGCACCCGCTTTAGCGAATACTTCAAAATGTACAGAAAAGAACAGTGCAGAAGAAGTTAAGCAGAAACTGGAGTACCTTGCTGCATAGCTTGGATCTTGCTCCGTGGTTTGGTGTGTGAGGAGCAGACACCATGATCTCTTCCAACATGCGGCCACTGGCCTGGGGACAATAGTGAGAACATGTTAGACCAAGGATAAAACATTGTGCAAAGAATTGCTCCAGAAATCATAGTTCCCATGTGTGTTATGGTCATTCTGCAGGAAACCCCAGTTCTAGAATTCAGTTTTTTTAGCAGGAAAAGAGTGCTTGCGGTAACCTGTTGGAAAATGACATTTGAGAGGACATGTATTTAAAGGAGCAGCTTATGGTGTGCAGTTCCATCAGGTACAGAGCACAGTAATCGCCCCCTCACTGTCCTGCCCTCACTAATGAGCACTGGAATGTGAGGGAGCAATGACTGTGCTTTGCACCCTAAAGAGCTGCCGACCACCTAATGTCAGCTCGGCATCTGCTTTCCAATCTAATCACTGCTGTAATTTTAACCTCTGCTTTTTTACCCTCTGCTGGACCACCAGAGATCATAGCCTCACCTCTGCAAGAAAGGTAAGCACTAAGGAGGGAGGGGGCACAACACAGATCACCATTACAAACATATTACATACAGCCAGGGCACACCACATACTAAACACAGCCAGGCAGACTAAACATTGTAGGGGCCCCAGTATTGCCAACTAAAATTATTTTTGTAGCATGTCATGAGGGACAAGTGGATTTGGTTTCCACTTTAGCCCCATGGACAAGTACTTTTTTTTTTTTTTTAACATTTCCACACCCTAGCACAATAGGGTTTGGTTACACCATATGGCCATATAGTGTTAAAGGGACACTATAGGCACCCAGACCACTTCAATTCATTGAAATGGACTGGGTGCAATGTCCCTGTCTCCTTAACCCTGCCATGATAATTATTGCAGTATCTGAGAAACTTAAATAATTATACTGCAGTGTTAAGACTGCCTCTCGTTGTTGTCAATCAAACAGCCACTAGAGACACTTCCTGCTTGTTAGGAGACCTAGGTCACCTAACTGATGTTGGACGTCCTCACGCTCTGCATGAGGACATCCATCGTTGGTAAAATCCCCATTGCAGCAATGCTTTCCAAAAAAGGGAGGGCTTAAAGCGCTCACATTACTTGCCGCGCATGCACCTTAGCGTCTCCCATCGGGTGACATTGGAAAAGGCAGAGTAGTGAGGGAGATCAGAGCTGGAAATAGTTAAGAACAGTAAGAGTTTATTAACCCTTACAGTACGGGGAGGCACGAGAGAGATATAGTGCCAGGAATACAGATTTGTATTCCTAGTACTATAGTATCCCTTTAAGCCAATTCCAAATATACAAACATGTTCTTTCATCTGTTTTTCAGAATTGACATTAGTCAACACAGAACTCTGTTCTGAGCTTTTAGAGGTGACATTACACTTCCGGGAGCAAAGGAGTTAAAGTTTTTGCAGTACTTTATAGAGAATTACTGCACACACAAACTCTAGACAAAATCACCGAAGTGGTCATGATGCTTGGAGTAATCCTTTAAATATATATTTTTTCTAATATTGAAGGTTTCAAGCAGCAACATTTTAAATGTAATCATTCTACCCTAATGAAATCACTACAGACTGAGTCACAGGATTGTCACCTGTTGTGGGAGAAGACCTGCAGGACCAGGGAACTTTCTCTCCTTTGGGGAAGCAGTCTCCCAAGATAACCTCCGTGAAGTCTGATTAGCTGCTGTGACCAACTGCACCAAGTGATTGGTGACTAAGGGTGTCTGCAGAGAGTTCGATGTGGTCACATGTGGAGAGGAAAACATTGTCTTTGACATTTGGGGTGTTCCATGTAGATGCTTAATTGGAGTGACATGCTGACCAGCCTGGTCGTTAACATTTAGTAACGTGCAGCCAGTTAGAACCTTACGATTCATGTGTTGCTCAGATAGCTGCATTTGCAGGTGTGGCGAAGAATGGGTAACAGCTGGGCCTTTTGCTGATGCCTCTGGGATGATCCTAAAACAGGGTCTCTTAGCTGAGGGTTCCACTGAAGAAGTGTTTACACTTTGTCCAAAACTCCCCCCAACACAATGCTCCTGTAGAATACGCGGGGAACTGGTATGAATATTGAAACTTTTAACCATGCCAGGCTGAGCCCCAGGTATATCCCGCAAACATGGTCGTGGACTCTGGAAGTGTGTATTTTCATTTGGCCACCATTGGTTGGTAGAGGAGACATTTGAAAAAGAGTTCTGCTTAGACACACCAACAGGCATCTCCGTGAAACTCCTAGATTGGGAAAGCTGTCCAGGTCCTGCTCTCACCTCCTCCAACTCACTGCACATAGACAACAGTTCTTCATCATCAACATCCTGAGCAACAGGCGACGCAGTGTGAGTAGAGGAGCAAGGTTGAAAGCAAGGTTGAAGCCCACGGCCGTGAGGGTTCTCAAGGGCCTGGCAGGCATTATGAGAGATGGGTCTTAGAAGTTTGATGTTAGGGGGCACCAAGGTGGGGGTTTTGCTCTCTGCATCCTCCAAAACAGAAACAAAGTCCTACAAAAAAAAAAAAGAACCATCCATACATTAATTTAAAGTGGAGACATATACAACAATTGATAGACGTCATCATATTTTGTATGGTTTAAATAATTCATGGAGACAGGCCAAATGTTGCAAATAGTGGCAGCATATAATTTAGAATCCTAACAAGACATCTGGAGGCATTCAGCTTAAAGAGACACTAAAGGCACCCAGACCACTTTATCTGATTGATGTGATCTGGGTCAAGTTCCTGTACACTCTGGGTGCAGTGTCCACTGGACGTCCTCACGCTTTGCAAGAGGGCAACAAGCGTCTTGAAAATCCCCATAGAAAAGTATTGATTCAATGCTTTCCTATGGAGAAGGTCTAAAACACACAAGGTGCTTGCTGTGCATGCGCATTTGGTCTTCCATCGCCGTGACGTTGCGGGAGGAGTAGACAAGTCCCTCTGAGCTAAAATCAGGTAAGTGAAATGTTTTTTACCGCACTCATGACTGGAGGGAGGGGGCTGCACAGAGGCACTTTAGTGTTAATAATACAGACTTGGCAGGATTAAAGGGACACTCCATTGGGGTGGGGGGTTGGTTAACATGCTCAAATCTTTATAGTTTTTACATAAAATAAAAAAATGTTTTGCAGAATTCTGCACCATACAGCTGCTTTATTAGCTACAGGAAGTTTTTTGAGGGTGTGTGGCTAAAGAGGCGGGTTTATTGTGCAGAATTCTGCTAAACATTTATTGTGTGCAAAAACTATAGATTTCAGCATGCAGAAAAAACCCAAAAAACAGGATTTTAATAAGATACAAAATATATGAAATGCAATAAAGATTGGTGTCGGGAGTGTCCCTTTAAGCTATGTATATCAATTGTAAATCTAAATACACTTTGTTAACAACCCTGAGTGAACTTATAACCTAAAGGTCTACTTCAGGCACATAAATGTTTGCTGCAAAGTGATTAGAACTCCCACAAATATCAGATTCAAATGATGCCTAGCCTTACACATCAAAATATACTATATTTAGCTATATAATGCATCTAAATGGGTTAAATTCAGTCTGGAGCTTCCCATTAATGTATGAAAATGTAGTTAGTATCCATTAATAATGAACGTGGGCACAGTATAAATTGCAATTCACCGACTGTAAATAAGAAGACAGGTGTGTTTTGATTAACACTGGGGCTCTTCCTGTGCTCCTTTCTAATTGACTATCACCTGTGCTCACAGGATTACATTCCAGAAAGTGAAGTATGCTTGGGTAACAATGATTTTTATTATTTCAATGACAGTAAAATAAAGCATGTTTCATATCATTTTGATTATTTGTGAAATCATTATACTATCAAGGGCTTACCTCATCATCAAATTCTTCAGATTCTAATGAAAAGAGGTTTTGGTAACTCATAGCCTAGAAAAGGAGGGGAAAAAAACACAAACATTTTTTAAGTCAAAGTGAGGGTGTAAAACAACATGGGGTGAAGGTAACGCAAGGACTTGGTAGAATGAGAAAGTTGTGAGGAGGCATAGGAAGCTCACAGTGCATAAAGTGTGTGTGGGGGAACACTGGGCACAATCAAAAAGAGAGGATACAGAGCAGAAAGAGGGGGCTGCGGACACAGAGCAAAAAAGGGGCTGTGGGCACAGAGCAGACAGAAGGGGCTGTGGGCACAGAGCAGACAGAATGGGCACTGAACACAGAGCAGACATAATGGGCACTGGGCACAGAGCAGACAGAAGGGGCTGTGGGCACAGAGCAGACAGAATGGGCAGAACAGAGCAGACAGTGGGCACAGAGCAGACAGAAAGGAGCAGTGGGCACAGAGCAGACAGAAAGGGCACTGTGAACGAGAGCTGACAGAGGGAGCAGTGGGCACAGAGCAGACAGAAGGGGCACTGGGTACAGAGCAGACAGAGGAAGCAGTGGGCACAGAGCAGACAGAAGGGGCACTGGGCACAGACAGAGGGAGCAGTGGGAACAGAGGGGGCAGTAGGTACAGAGGGGGCACTGGGTACAGTAGGTACAGGGGGCACTGGGTACAGAGGGGGCAGTGGGTACAGGGGGGCACTGGGTACAGAGGGGGCAGTGGGTACAGGGGGCACTGGGTACAGAGGGGCACACTGGGTACAGAGGGGCACTGGGCACAGAGGGGCACTGGGTACAGAGGGGGCACTGGGTACAGAGGGGGCACTGGGTACAGAGGGGGCACTGGGTACAGAGGGGGCACTGGGTACAGAGGGGGCAGTAGTAAGTTAGTTAGTAAGCACTGATCACACAGTGGGAGAATTGAGATGAGATTCTGCTCAGCTACAACAGATAACGCAGGAGATCCCCATTCCCAGAATCTCACCATATTCTCTCAGTTGGCTGGGATGGAGACACTGCACCACAACTACCTACAGCACATCCTGAGCCACACAGAGCAGCAACTGTGCCAAACTCCAGCACTTCCGGTTAGCCACTTCCGGTATTTGGAATGCACGGATTCAACGTGCGTTTCAAAACTTCGCGGCACGCCCCCTCTGAGACACGCCTCCTCTGAGACACGCCCCCTGCTAGCCACGCCTCTCTAGCTGCTGCTCAGCTGGACCTGTCAGTGAGTGACAGGGACACCATCATTAATATTAATATATAGGGCCCCCACAGAGTGCACAAACCATACAATACTGACATGCTTATCAAACCAACTGTTCCAGGAATGATTACCATCAGGTTAATTACTGAAATTAGAAATTTGGGGAATTAACAGTAAATTTAAGACCAATGTAGCTTAACTGGAAGTATATTTGACTTGGAGAATTTTTACCAAGTTTGAAACGGTCACTATTGCGACCTGACTTTGGAGTGGTTGTGACGGTCACTATTGCGACCTGGCTTTGGAGTGGTTGTGACGGTCACTATTGCGACCTGGCTTTGGAGTGGTTGCGACGGTCACTATTGCGACCTAACTTTGGAGTTTTTGCGATGGTCACTATTGCGACCTGGCTTTGGAGTGGTTGCGACGGTCACTATTGCGACCTGGCTTTGGAGTGGTTGTGACGGTCACTATTGCGACCTGGCTTTGGAGTGGTTTTGACGGTCACTATTGCGACCTGGCTTTGGAGTGGTTGCGACGGTCACTATTGCGACCTGACTTTGGAGTGGTTGCGACGGTCACTATTGCGACCTGGCTTTGGAGTGGTTGCGACGGTCACTATTGCGACCTGACTTTGGAGTGGTTGTGACGGTCACTATTGCGACCTGGCTTTGGAGTTTTTGCGACGGTCACTACTGCGACCTGGCTTTGGAGTGGTTGTGACGGTCACTATTGCAACCTGGCTTTGGAGTGATTGCGATGGTCACTATTGCGACCTGGCTTTGGAGTGGTTGTTACGGTCACTATTGCGACCTGGCTTTGGAGTGGTTGTGATGGTCACTTTGCGACCAAGCCCTGGAGTTGTGCTGGTGAAGGTTGGGTGTTCAAGGCCAGGCTGCCCCCCCAGCAGAACCATTATTCAGTATGATAATAATTTATCAGGATTGTTACCTAAAAGATCTCAAGGTAAAAAGGACAGGATCACATTGCTCTGGACTGGTCCCCGGTAATGGTAATTTATCAATAGTTTTATCTTCTCAATGCTCCAAGGCGGTGGTCCAGGGAAGCACGTCTCGGTTCTGCCGGGCTGTAGAAACCGTAAGCCATGGCTGTCACTATTCAAGTGGTTGAGAGCTGCACAGAATTGACATTAGCCAACGTGGAAAGTTCTGAGCTGGCTGATGACACTTAAATGTGTGACACTGCCACCGCAGCAGAGAGGTTAATCTCTGATCACAGATTACTGAAGTGGTCATGGTACTTGGAGAAACCCTTTAAGTAATAAACAGTGCCTAAAAAAATGACTATACGGATAAATATGATCAGAGATATGCCACATGTTAATATTCGGAACTGCATAGAATTCCAAAACTAGTGGCCCAATTTAAAAAAAAAAAAAAAAAAAGTAGCCACGTGAATAATTCCTCTCATGTTCCCCTCTCGCAAGCCTTCCTGTGGATGAAAGAGTTTGGGATGCAGTCAACTATTATGCGAAGTAAGTGTTATCAAAAGTATATTAAAATATGTTTGTTGCTCAATGTTATAATATATGGCACGTTTGGGGGGGACTATGGAAAATAAATAACTGCTACGTGAGGCAAATTGTGAAAAATGAGGGATACAATATGACAAGATGAGAGTGAGTAAAGTATTATGTGTGAAAAATGGAGAATGAAATAGCTTTATCATTGGATAATCCCGCATTATCGATAGTCTGAAGATATCAATTATTCACGGCTTATACTCCACTGACTAGCAGATAATTACACAATCAATTACCTGATGGATGGGTAGAACTCTAAGGGTTTCTGTACATATGTCATGATTCTAGTCTGCCGCTAGGTAGTGCTATTGCCTACTGGAAGACACATGACAGCAGACACAAAGCTTTAGGATGGAAGACATTCTGAGACTCTGCAGATGAAGATGCTGTGGCTGGCTATAAAGTATTGAAAATCATATGCATTTCAGTCTAAACGCTTTAATGTCCAATGTTATTATGAGCTGGTTGAAGTTGTCTCCCACCCCCCACCCCCGCGCATGCGCACACTATCACACACATCTATTTTTTGTATTTTCTATGACACTTTTGAAATTTTTAAATAATTTAATAAATGTTTTTGTTAAGTTTCAGGGAGTCTGATACCTGCATGCCCACCCCCTCTTCCCTCCAGATTCAACATAGCAATATCCTGCAGAGAGGATGGAGAGGTGTGGGGTAAAAATGACGCCCTTCTATACCGACTTGCAGGTACATACACGCAGTACTATCCACACTATTACACACAACTAGCTAAACACTACTACACTCACTACTACACTTACCCAGGGTTGCCTTTAGAACACTTGGGGCCACTTACAAAGAAATAGGCTGGGGCCCCCAGCATATATTAGCCGACACAAATGCGCCACGCACACACACCCATACACAGAGACACACAAACAGATACGAATTTCTAGACACACGCACACATACAGATACACACTTGCACAAACAGACAAAAACCTCACAGATATAAATTGCCACATACATACAACACAGACATACAAAAAGATACAGAATGCCACAGACACAGATGCACAAATATACGCAGATACATATCGATACACACAGACAAACATTCATACATAGACACACACACTGCCATACAACTAAAAAGACAGGTATGTGGTTATTAGTGAATAACCCTGCATGTTTTAAATTGAGACTTTGCGAGAAGAAGACTGTGACAGCGACGGTAAGGCAACAGGACTTGACAGACATGACTGAATTGGAGTGGGCCGCCAAGCCTTATGCCATTCTCCATCTCTATGCTAAGAGTGAATGGGCACCCCAAACTAGTAGGCTGCCTAGGGCCACGTGCGATCTTAATAATTCTCTGATTTTAACACAGTACTTGAACCAGTGTTTAACTGGATGGCTCCAGAAAGAGCCGAGGTAGAGAGGGCAGAGAATTGTACTTGGCAGTAATAAGACGGTCCAGGCTGGCATCTCCGGGTGCCATTGCTAGAATGAGCAGAGATCTGAAAAGAATTTAGAGTGCAGCAAGGCAGCAACATTTCAAATATCACATTCTGTAGATATAGATTGTAAGTTCTTTTGAACAGGGTCCTCTTCAACCTATCGTTCCTGTAAGTTTTCTTGTAATTGTCCTATTTATAGTTAAATCCCCCCTCTCATAATATTGCAAAGCGCTACGGAATCTGTTGGCACTAAATAAACAGTAATAATAGTAATAATATAACCACTGCATTCTCAGCGATGGTGTGTATTAGTTCCCCCATGATTAGGTACTGCTGGACACTTAATTAACTTGCAAGGCAGTACACCAGAAAGTGTCATGACAATTGCCTGTGGTCTGTGGATTCTAGACAGGCAGACCATCAAAAATGCCAGCATTGATAATAAATAAATAAATATATATATATATATATTGCTCCCTACTGTAGTAGTACAGTATAATTATTCATGCAGTCTCTCTAATACGAGCTCTGGCAGCATGTGAATGCTGCATACTGCTGGGCACCACCTGTAGTTACCTTGATAAATGATATTTATTTAGACATCTGTCATTGTTTAAGTGATTCCCTTTAAATACATGTTTGACTAGGATGGGAGAGGAGAACACAGCCTTTTGCTTTCCAACTTTCCTGCCTTCCCCTCTATTTTTTCCAGAAAACTTATTATTATTTTATTTTTTTCTAAAAAAACAACAAAAAAACCCCAAACTATTATAACCACATTTAAAAAAAAAAAAAAGAAAAAGGAAAAGGCCAGCTGTTACCATGGAAACAGATTCTGTGACCCAGCAAAGCAATCCCCCAGTACCCTTTATAAATGGACAAGGGGAATAAGGGAGATCAGTGAGTGAGAGACACTGAGTCATGATGAAGGATTGATAAAGTGTAAATCTGAATTATTTATTGGCAGAGCTATAGTAATAGGCATACAGGTGTGTGTTTGTACAAATATTTTATTGTTGAGCTAAATTGGGAATATTTAAATAATACTATTTAGGCTTATGGAGCTTATATATATATATATATATAAAAATAATAATAATAATTATTATTATTATTATAATTTGACAGTTTAGACACATAAGGATTTAAAAGGGACGCGGCTCCTTTAAAAGGGGGCGTTGCGACAGCTCGGGCCCGCCCACTAGTGCCGGACGGCACGCCCACCCACTAGCAGAGGCTATTTTTAGGCTCTGCGGGTCACGTGGTCGGTGAGTGACGTCACTGAATGTTGTTGTTGGTGGAGAAAGAGACTGCTCTGAGGAGAAGAGAGTGCACGAAAGAGACGGCGAGGAGAAGGAGAGTGCGAGGAGCAGGGAGGAAGGAGACCATGCACTTAGACTTGAAATGAGAGGGGCTTGTAGGAGGGAGCCAGCTAGCCGTTTGCAAGGAGGGAGATGACAGATTGCTGCATGTAGGCATGGACACTCCCCCTTGAGAGACCTCCAGGGAGCCAGACAGAGAGACAGTCAGTCTTCCACTGTGAGACAGCAATCAACTGACAGACAAGAACACACTACAGGAGGGGAATACATCCATCCATTCACACAGCCACTGAGAGAGTCCTTCATTTACTGAGAGAGGCCATCATTTACTGAGAGAGACCACCATTTACTGAGAGAGACCACCATTTACTGAGAGTCCATCATTTACTGAGAGAGACCACCATTTACTGAGAGAGTCCATCATTTACTGAGAGAGACCATCATTTACTGAGAGAGTCCACCATTTACTGAGAGAGTCCATCATTTACTGAGAGAGTCCATCATTTACTGAGAGAGTCCACCATTTACTGAGAGAGACCACCATTTACTGAGAGAGTCCATCATTTACTGAGAGAGTCCATCATTTACTGAGAGAGTCCACCATTTACTGAGAGAGACCACCATTTACTGAGAGAGTCCATCATTTACTGAGAGAGTCCATCATTTACCGAGAGACCATCATTTACTGAGAGAGACCACCATCATTTACTGAGAGAGACCACCATCATTTACTGAGAGAGTCCACCATCATTTACTGAGAGAGTCCACCATCATTTACTGAGAGAGTCCACCATCATTTACTGAGAGAAGAGATCAGTGAAAGAGACTGCCAACTGAGAGAGTCCACAATCCAGAGCCAAGAGAGAAGTGACACACACTGAAAGTAAGAAATTATATACTGAGAGCCCACTATCCACTGAAATAGTCCACCATCCACTGAGAGATACAAGAACTATACTGAGTGAGTCCACCATCCACTGAGAGATACAAGAACTATACTGAGTGAGTCCACCATCCACTGAGAGATACAAGAACTATACTGAGTGAGTCCACCATCCACTGAGAGAGTGAGGAATTATACTGAGAGAGTCCACCATCCACTGAGAGAACGAGGAATTATACTGAGAGTATACCATAATCTGAGAAAAAATAAATATACTGAGAGTCCACCATCCACTGAAAGAGTCTGCCATACATAAAGAGATAAAATCTAGAGTCCACCATCCACTGAGAGAGTGAAAAATTATACTGAGTCCACCATCCTCTGAGAGAGCGAGGAATTATACCGAGTGAGTCCACCATCCACTGAGAGATACAAAAAATATACTGATAGTCCACCATCCACTGAGAGAGTGAGGAATTATACTGAGTGAGTCCAACATCCACTGAGAGATACAAGAAATATACTGAGTCCACCATCCACTGAGAGATACAAGAAATATACTGAGAGTCCACCATCCACTGAGAGAGTGAGGAATTATACTGAGTCCACCATCCACTGAGAGATACAAGAAATATACTGATAGTCCACCATCCACTGAGAGAGTGAGGAATTATACTGAGTGAGTCCACCATCCACTGAGAGATACAAGAAATATACTGATAGTCCACCATCCACTGAGAAAGTGAAGAAATTTACTGAGTCCATCATTTACTGAGAGATACAAGAAACATACTAATAGAGTCCATCATTAATTTAGAGAAACAAAAAACATACGGTCAGTGAGAGTCCACCATCCACTGAGAGAATCCCCCATCCATAGAGAAACGGCATGTACACCGTGAGAGAGCCCATCAGCCATTGAGAAAAAGAGGGTACTTACAGAGCCCACCATCCACTGGATTAAACCAGAGACAGACACTGAGAGAAACAAGAGAGTCACTCTGAGATACTGAGAGTCCACCATTCAGGGTGACAGTCAAGAAACAAGCAAAAACAAAGTCCACCTTTCACTGAGAGAAATCCACCAAGTAGCTATCATCCATTGAGAGAAATGAGAGACAACCACTGAGAGAGAGAGAACCTAGTTATCAGAGGAAAACAGGAGACACTCACCTAAGAGTTCACCATCCAACAAAACAAGAGAGGTGAATGCATCACTGATAACTAGACTCCACAAAGGTAATACAAATTACAGCATCCACTGTATGCAATAAGTGATACCCAAGGACCACATGAGACTATTGTTTATAAAGAGCACAATATACCTAGCCACTGAGACACGGTATAAAAAAATTAATTAAAAAAACCTAAATCCCACAGACAGAGACTATTGGCACCACACACTTTAAGGAATTCAATAAAGGCTAGTGGCATCATCCACTGTTCGGAACACAAGCTATTCACAATTGAGAAACACTAGTGGCACAATCCACTGTTGAAAAAGGAGACATCCAGCCACTGACAGATCAGTGGGATCATCCACTGTAAGGAAGAAGAGACATCTAGCCAATGGGAGACCAGTGGCATCATTCATATTAAGGAACACTAAGTATCCAACCACTGAGAGAACAGTGACTTCATCAGCTGGAAGGAACAAGAAACATTTAAGCACTGAGAGACCAGTGACATCATCTTTTGTAAGGAAATACAAGGCATCCAGACACTGAGAGACCAGTGACATCATCCACTCTAAGGGACAGCCACCGAGAGCGACAAAAAGAGATAGCTAGCCACAAACCGAGAGGTCATCATTCATCCTGAAAAAAACAGGAGATACATTGAGACAAGTGATAACACAGCAACTGAGTGAGGCAGGGTACCAAACCTCCAGGAGAAACCAGTAACAGGGCTGAAGAAGAATCTGAGTGACAAGTGACACATGGACTAAGAGAGACATCTAGCTGCTGAGTTTCAAAACAAATCAGCCTTGTATAGGTAGTCAGAGACACCTGAGACACCCCTTGCAGATACCAGAGACACCTCCTGGAAGAGACACTACAGATTGGACCAGAGAGAGATATCCAAGAGGAGTAACCAGGTAACATGGGGGTGGTGGGCTGTTGACATTAATTTATATATATATACACATACACACATACATGCTTTCATAAATACACATGAGGTAAGACACTTGGGGTTAAATTCTGTGGTTCGAGTGGACTATATTGCTGTAATGATTGATATGATTCTCCCCCAAAAAATGACCAAAAATAAAATATGTGTTCGTATTAGAGTTTAATTAAATAATAGCATCAGCAGGTGCATATGACTGTTATATGGAGATTGAGAATTAGGGATAGATGGGTGTATTTGATATAAAACTACAACTTCGGTAATTTTTGGCTAGTCTGGTAAAGCATCATGGGAGTTGTAGTTCTGCTGGAGTGATACCCCTGGGCTAGATAGATGTCAGTAAGGTTTACGCACGCTATATTGATTTGATTATTGAGATTTGTGTCATTTGAATAGGTGTATTGGAAATGGGGGAGGGGTTTATTGATAGTTGGTTATGTTGATGGCTTGGTTAAAGGGGCTGTTTTTGAAATTGAGCTGGCTTGATTTATTATGTAAATGTGTGGATGGGAGGAATAGTATTAATGGGATTTTACAGATGGAGTAATACTGGTGCAGGGGTTATTTAAATGGTATTGGTATTGCTGAATGGATAGCATTTGTTATATGGGTGGGAGTATCAGTGCTGGAGTTGTTATAATGTTGGGAGTATCAATGCTGGATTTGTTATATGGGTGGGAGTATCAGTGCTGCATTTGTTATATGGGTGGGAGTATCAGTGCTGCATTTGTTATATGGGTGGGAGTATCAGTGCTGGATTTGTTATATGGGTGGGAGTATCTGCTGGATTTGTTATATGGGTGGGAGTATCAGTGCTGGATTTGTTATATGGGTGGGAGTATCAGTGCTGCATTTGTTATATGGGTGGGAGTATCAGTGCTGCATTTGTTATATGGGTGGGAGTATCAGTGCTGGATTTGTTATATGGGTGGGAGTATCAGTGCTGGATTTGTTATATGGGTGGGAGTATCAGTGCTGCATTTGTTATATGGGTGGGAGTATCAGTGCTGCATTTGTTATATGGGTGGGAGTATCAGTGCTGCATTTGTTATATGGGTGGGAGTATCAATGCTGGATTTGTTATATGGGTGGGAGTATCAATGCTGGATTTGTTATAATGGGTGGGAGTATCAGTGCTGGATTTGTTATATGGGTGGGAGTATTAGTGCTGGATTTGTTATATGGGTGGGAGTATTAGTGCTGAATGGGTTGTTTGGGTGGACACAGATTTGCAGTACCGAATGGATTGTATTGTGGGAGTAGCAGTGTTGAATGGATTGTATGGTGGGAGTAGCAGTGTTGAATGGATTGTATTGTGGGGTAGCAGTGCTGGATGGATTGTATGAGTGGGAGTAACAGTGCTGGATTGATTGTATGTCAGGAGTAGCAATGCTGGATGGATTGTATGGTGGGAGTAGCAGTGCTGGATGGATTGTATTGTGGGAGTAGCAGTGCTGAATGGATTGTATTGTGGGAGTAGCAGTGCTGGATGGATTGTATGAGTGGGAGTAGCAGTGCTGGATGGATTGTATGAGTGGGAGTAGCAGTGCTGGATGGATTGTATGGCGGGAGTAGCAGTGCTGGATGGATTGTATGAGTGGGAGTAGCAGTGCTGGATGGATTGTATGGTGGGAGTAGCAGTGCTGGATGGATTGTATGAGTGGGAGTAGCAGTGCTGAATGGATTGTATTGTGGGAGTAGCAGTGCTGGATGGATTGTATGAGTGGGAGTAGCAGTGCTGGATGGATTGTATGGCGGGAGTAGCAGTGCTGGATGGATTGTATGAGTGGGAGTAACCGTGCTGGATGGATTGTGTGGTGGGAGTAGCAGTGCTGGATGGATTGTATGGTTGGGAGTAACAGTGCTGGATGGATTGTATGGCAGGAGTAGCAGTGCTGGATGGATTGTATTGTGGGAGTAGCAATGCTGGATGGATTGTATGAGTGGGAGTAGCAGTGCTGGATGGATTGTATGGCAGGAGTAGCAGTGCTGGATGGATTTTATTGAGGGAGTAGCAGTGCTGGATGGATTGTATTGTTGGGAGTAGCAGTGCTGGATGGATTTTATTGAGGGAGTAGCAGTGCTGGATGGATTGTATTGTTGGGAGTAGCAGTGCTGGATGGATTGTATGGTTGGGAGTAGCAGTGCTGGATGGGTTCTATGAGCGGGAGTAGCAGTGCTGGATGGATTGTATGGCGGGAATCGCAGTGCTGGATAGATTGTGTGGCGGGAGTAGCAGTGCTGGATGGGTTCTATGGGCGGGAGTAGCAGTGCTGGATGGGTTCCATGGGCAGGAATAGCAGTGCTGGATGGATTGTATGGCGGGAATAGCAGTGCTGGATGGATTGTATGGCGGGAATAGCAGTGCTGGGTGGATTGTATGGCGGGAATAGCAGTGCTGGATAGATTGCATGGCGGGAGTAGCAGTGCTGGATGGGTTCTATGGGCGGGAGCACTAGTGTTGGATAGGGATTTTGAATGTTGCACAGGATACTGTAGCCCAAGCATGTCAAACTCAGTCTGGATCGGCCACATAAACAAGGTTTAAGTTTATGTGGGCCGCAAAAAAAAAAATATACCGTAAATTTTCATAGAAACGTAGGTTTATTATAAACCCCCCGCCCCAGCATCCCCCTCTACTAAACCACAGCACCCCCTCTACTAAATCTCAGCCCCCCCTCTACTAAATCTCAGCCCCCCCTCTACTAAACCACAGCACCCCCCTCTACCACCCTGTGACAAATCTGATCCTCCCGCTGACACACACACATATTCACTGACAGACACACACATACTGACACACACATACTCACAAACACACACTCCCTGACAGACACACACACACACACACATACTCACTGACAGATACATACAGACAGACACACACATACTCACTGACAGACAGACAGACAGACAGACACACACACACACATACTCACTCACTTACAGACACACACATACTCACTGACAGATACATGTATACAGAAACATACATACAGACACACTGACAGACAGACACACACACTCTGCTATAACACCAGCATGTACTCGCTGCTCGCTGGACCGCAAAGACGGTCCTTGTGGGCCGTGAGTTTGACATGCTTGCTGTAGCCATTGCTAACGCCCAAGAGCAGTGCGAGTTTGAGCGCTGGGCTTAATTTTGTATGTTTGTAATTTTTTTTGTATTACACAGCCATGTTACAGACTGCCGCCCACCCCAACCCTAAAAGTGTGGAGGGATTCATAAAAATAACTCTTTTTGTCTCATTAGAGATTTTGCCTTTTAGCTGAAAGCAGCATGGTATATTGTTAATGTAGAACTCCTCTAAGAGGTTTGCCTTGACGGGGCAGATGGGCTTACACTTTTATGGCCTTTTGAGTGGTAGCAAAAAACTTCCATTATTTAAATGTGTGTAGGGATTTGGGATAGAGTGCCGGTAACTTTTTAAAAAAACCAATAATAAATATATATATATTTTTAAAACTAAAATATATTGTGGGAGATAAATGCTATAGCCATTGCTGCTGCCCAGGAGTACTGGGAGTTTGAGTGCAGGGCATAAAAGACCACTCCATTCCTCAAAAGCTCTTCATTTGGGTTAAACTAGGGTTAAATTTGGGTTAAACTAGAATACTCCTCACCCCTAAAAGTGCCTTAGGGGTGAGGAGTATTCTAGTTTAACCCAAATTTATGAGAAATCAGCTCTTTTATAAATTAACCAGAAAACACACCCCCTGCTGTCAATCAAACTTGATGGTGCCTGCCTCCTCCCACACAGACCTCAGATCAGACATGCGCACGTGCGTAAACCAGCTCGCGGGTGTGCGCGTAAGCTCACGCATGCACAAGGGCACCAATTCAGAGGATTCTTAATGAGCATGAATAAAAGTCTATTCCCGGGATAAAGTATGGATGACAATATTGGTAACCACGTTTACTTATAGATAGCGTTACAGTGTAGAATTATCTTATTGATTTATGTACACTCTTCAGCTCCCTCGCGCACCGCGTACTGATACCGGAGCCGGAATATGACGTCATCTTCCGGTATCAGTACGCGGCGCGCGAGGGAGCTGAACAGGAAGCACTCAGGGGAGAGTGCTCCCCCGCGCGCCTGCCAGCCTGCACGCCAAGTGACACCACTGGACGCCAGGGAATCCCCTCCGCTCTCACAAAGGTAAGGAAGCTGGGGGGATTAAATTTTTTTTTTTTTAAAAGTGTGTGTTAGTGTGTCAGTGAGTGTGTTAGTTTGTGTGCGTCTGTTAGTGAGTGTGTGTCTGTCTGTCAGTGAGTGTGTATGTATGTCTGTCACTGAGTGTGTTTCTGTCAGTAAATGTGTGTGTCTGTTAGCTAGTGTGTATGCATCTGTTCATGAGAGTGTGTGTGTCTTAAGCACTTACCTTTCTCCAGCATCGGAAAAATAATGTCAATCCATATACGTATCTCTCCTGATGCATTGACAGCATTATGGCTGTACGAGCATTATGAGAGATGTAGTCTGCAATAACTTTAAAGGCGAAGGCTGCCTGCTTCTGCCTTAGTTCATGGGATTGACTTAATCCCAAATCCAAATAAAATTCAAATTACTTTTTAATAGATCGAACCCTAATGAAACCTATATGCATTTAGTTATATCTAAAAACTGCTTGCAAAGGCTGCAGATCTCTTTTCTGAAGCCTTTGCATTCCTGCCCCCTTCTAACCCCGCCCAGACTTTCTGTGGCTGTCCAATCACAGACTTCTCAATGAGAAGTCTTTGCAAGACAGGTGCTCTTGATAACTGCTGCCTCCTGAGTTAAGCGAACCAAACCAGGAAGCACCATGAGTGTCGGACATGCTGTCTGTCTCCCCAACTTCTGTTAAAAACTGCACTTTTTGTAAATTAAAAAAAAAAAAGACATGCTGCATAAATAAATAAATTCACAAGCCGAAGTGCTTTAGGGGTCTGGAGTGTCCATTTAACCCCTTAAGGACACAACTTCTGGAATAAAAGGGAATCATGATGGAATATTTCCGTCATGTGTCCTTAAGGGGTTAAGTTTATGAAAGTGCATCACCGTTCTTTGTAAACAGAAAACCAGCTCCAAAGGGGTTTTTAGTTTACTTTCCATGTTCCCAATCGAATGATCATATACTGTATATCCGGGTGGTACCTAATTTCCTGTCCAAGGGGCTTAAAGGTGAGTATATATAGAAGTAGGGACAGGGCCAACCTTGCTGTGTTCCAACTTTAGTGACGAATGTCCAATCCAATTCATTTTGAATATAACTATTGTCCATTAAAATGCTTCTCATATGCCAGTACTTGGGGGACAGAGCATATGTAGCTATCACTGTGACCACCAATGCAATGGTCCTCAGTGAGAAGCATTGGACACACACACCCAGCTTCCAGAGTCACTGTACTCTGCATGCCGACGCAGGATGTAGAAATAGATTGTGCAGTTATCTGACTGTTTACTTATCTGCCTCACCTGCCAAACAGGTTGGAAAACAGCAGATGGTAAGGAGATATATGGATAGACAGACAATTATGAGCATATAAAGTTACCGGTATGCAGATTCTTGCAGATATAGGGAAAGGCATGTACAGAGAACTTGGATTGTAGGACACGGATTGATACATGGACATATAACGATGGCATACATTCAGTGATTAAAGGGACACTATATAGTAATAATAATAAAAAAAACAAAACATTGGTGTTCTTTAATCTTACTACAGAGAGAGCGTTAACTCTGAAAAGAGGCTCACACTGAGATCTGTCTTTGCAGTGCCATGACCCAGGTCATTCCATGCTCAGCAGTTTCTTTATACTTTGTACCCTGGTGGCCCTCTGGTTTCCTCGTTACAGAATAGCATCTTCTCCATAGACAATGGTGTTCTGAGACTCCCATCGTAGTCTTTAGCAGCGATTCCCAACTTAGTTCTCGACACAAACAGTCCAGGATTTAGGCATGTGCCAGTTCTTTTCTAATGGAAATACTAAGAAAGCCTGGACTGTTTGTGTGCTTTGAGAACTGGGTTAGGAACCACTGCCAGAACATGACATTGTCAACAAATGTATCTATAGAAAGATACCTCCAAATTCTCTTTGCATTCTTTAAGATGGAGATATGAAATGAACAAAAAGACTCTTATAGTTATGAAATGTTTTCGTGTTCAGTCCTTCTTGACTCCAAATTTAATTCAGTCCTCAATATGTTATTTTTATACACTAAATGCCATAGGATTCTTTTAATGAGTTTATCTGTAAGCTCCAGCTATTAGATATATTTTCCACTTTTTTGGGGGTCGTTTCCCCCCCCCCTTTTTTTTTTTTTAAATATCCAAGGCTCGACCCATCACCCAGAGTTCATCTCCACTTCAGCTCTATTGATATTGTAGAATTTACATGTTCACATTATCCGTTTTAATATGGTTTAACGTGGACAGCAGTGATTGTCCGAGAGTGCTGGGGATGTATTCAGCCTTTCACTGTTGGTCAGGATACTGCTAAGGATTGAGGAAACCATGAATCTGCCGTTAGAGACTGGTTGGGAGAGATCATAAGATCTTTAATGACCAACAGGTAGACATTCCTAAATCCCATTTCTGTGTTGCCATAACAACCTTGTTCGATGGATTTTGCAAAGCCCTGCTAGGAAGTGTTGCTAGTTTTTAGTTTCTAGTAAGTCATATTAGCAGCGATTTCATGCTCTAAATAACTAGAAATACACACTATTCAGAAGTGAAAATGATATTTAGATGTGTTATGTAATGATTGTAATTATTATTTGTTTAAAAAAACCAAAAGACAATTTCGATACCTGTGATTGTTTGTTTGTTTCACGAGAATGTGTTTATTGAGGGATTTCTCATTCAGCTGTCAGACTTCTATATTGGTTTTTTATTTTTTACAGTTTTTATGTTAAACCGACACTATAGTCACCAGAACAACTACAGCTTAATGGAGCTATTCTGGTAAGTATAGAGAAAGGGCAGTGTTTACATTACAGCCTAGGGACACCTCCACTGACCACTCCTCATATGGCTACTAGAGGTGTTTCCTGGGGCAGTGCTTGTGCAGCACTGACAATCAGAGAGATTCTGTGCATTTTTATGAGGAGTTGCTAATGGGCCACGGTGGTGTTTGGCACCTTCCCCGGCCCACCTCCTTGGCTAAGATCATCGGAACTGACAATCTTTCATCTGTGTAAGTCATGTACTGACAACACATGATAACACAATGTGTAGGTAATTAACATGCGCTCTAAAAGTTAGCATTGCTTGGCAAAACGTGGAAATCACAATAAAGCAAAATATAAAGAACTTTAGCACAATCAGTAGCTAACTTTTAGATCCCTATTAGAGTGCGCTAAAATAGAATACATGATAGCTCCTGTTCAAGTTATATTTTTTTTTTATCTAGAGATTCCAAAGTAGTGAAATCATATTTATTTTTAAATATTGACTAAACACGTTATCAGGAAGTTGTATAGGTTAAAATGATAAGTTAGCACCATTACCACTTCAGTGATTTGAAGTGATCATGGAGCCTGGAAATAGAGTTCAGGCTAACTAATGTCAATTCTGTGCATATTCCTATGCACAGACTTTAACTAATTGGCTGAGAGCAGCCAGTTGATGCGCTCAGCCAATGAACGCACGTCACAGCCAGCCTTAAAGAAGATCCGGGGCATGGCAGGAGGAACTAAGAGGGAAAACTGCTGCAAAAACAGATTGTGCCATTATTGGGAAATGAGACCAGAGTACTTCTCACATCACAGCCTCTAAAGCAGGCTTTACCCTTTAAATATGTCAAATTGATGTCTGCACAGTTTGAAAAGGAATGGATACCAAAAACAAAAAACTGCAACAAACTGGTATTGTAACGTCCCGTATTAACACAGAGCGTCTACTGGTGCAAAAGACTAGCAGAGAGAGAAGCTTTACTGGTACTTTTACATGGTTGGGCCTGGCGGAAAACCTTAAATAAGGCAGGAAACGTAGGACCCCAATGAAGGTAAAGAGTAGACCTAGTACAAGCAAAGATTGGGGAACAATGTATACTCATGTAGTTGGCACTACTAGCCAAAGCCAGAAACACTGGACTAGCAAATGTCTAAATGCTGAATTTGATAATTTGACAAGCCAAGGTCAAAAATGAAAAAGGACGCCAAACTGACAAAACGCATTAAAGGGCTAATGATAACCACAAAAAGGCAGTGTAGGAATGAGCTGAGGAATTAAATAGTTAATTAGTGCTGTACTGAAAAGATGTTGTGACAGCTCCTCCATTGGTAGTCTTTATATTTCAGATACAAATCAAGATCCCATGGGGCTGAGTAAACTCTGTGGTACTGCAGCAGGTAAGTAGGATAGCAGGAAACACAGTTATTTTGATAGTGCATCATCTGTGCTTATTAGTAAGGACCCATGGATTGCAGAACTTGTTGACAAGAGAAGGCATTAGGTTGCTAGAGTAGGACCTGCCAAGAATGGGGTACATTGGCGTTGTGGCAGGCTTATGCAATGTCTAATCATATGCTGTAACTAAACCCCTACTATGTTTGCCTAGACGAAGTGTTTAAAAAAACAACAACAAAAAACAATTACATTCTGTGAGCTTTGAAATGGCTGTTTAGTAAATAAGTGAGTGCATTGGATCTTGTATGCCATACTGACAACGATCACTTACAACGGCATGTAAAATGATTACCAGACCTGTATCATCCAATCCATTTTTGTGGGTTTTTTTTGTTTTGTTTTTTGATTGTTTGTTTGTAAGATTGCTTACCATGTGACTAAATATATCCAGAGTAGTTAGGTTGGGAAAGGTCCATTCGCTGGTTCAGTAAGTTGTAAAAACGCCAAGTCATAACAGGTGACTCTACAAAGAACTATGCACCCATCAAGCTCAGACTTTCTCACATCTGTTTCTGCTGTTCATTCAAAACAATTCCTTCTTGACCCTTAGAATGGCAGTCAGATCTCTCCTTGGATCAAGAAGCTGGTACCTCGCAGATTCAAAATTATATCCCTGAATATTATGTTTTTGCAAGTATTCACCCATTTGCTCTTTAAACATCTGTGCAGACTCTGCTAAAACCACCCCTTCAGGCAGAGAATTCCACCTCCTTATTGGTCTTTCTGCAAAAATATGCTTTCCTTTTGCCTTAGACTAAATCTCATTTCTTCTAGTCTAAATGCGTAGCATCATGTCCTATGTATAGTCCTGTTTATCAATATGTCTGATTCCCAGACAATGGTTTGTACTGACCTCAAATATACTTGCATAATAATACGGTACTTAAATATGATAATGCCCTCTGAGGTGCCGTTTTTCTAAACTAAACAGAATTCAATTTGTTAACCTTTCTTTATAACTAATAATCTGATTAACAAATATGATGCAACTACTGGCGTAGTTGAAGTAATGAAGGAAAAATATTGGAGTGCCACGGGGCAGATTGAACAAAGGGCTTGATACACCTACACAGTCTGCCTGCAGTTTAACTAAAACAAACACTCCTACTGCACTCTAGACAATTGTTCCTCAGCACGGTATCACACAATCATTCAGAGGTAAACATAGAAGTATGAAAATGCTTCCAGAGGCGCATGCACAATTGGAAGCGAGGATACACAAAGATTGTTTACTGCTTGGTGGTACACTAAAACATAAACTAGATGCGTTGGGGTCATAGTACAACCATCAGGTCTCCAAATATACGGTTATTGGAAAAGGTTCCACATGGCCTAAATTACAAATTGTTCTTTGCTTGTACCAGGAAAAGGGACCAGAACACAACACCAGCAAAATCTTTATGACTTTTATAGCTTTTGGCCTAAATAATATGCTGATTTTTGCATGTCCGATATTGCATAGTTTTTTTTTTAAACTTTGTTGCATACTGCATCTAAACCTGGCCTTCTCTACCCCACCTCCTTCATGGAAAAACACTGGTTAATGTTCTAGCGATCGCCCGATGTTCTTTTTACGATACTGGGGTCGCTTTTTTGTGTCGATTGCTGATAACCAGTGTTGATATTCTGAACATTTAGTTTTGAAAAGCAACATAATTGCTACACAAATAGGCAGTGGCGTACACACAGTCCATGGGGCCCACTCCCTCCCCCCAACACACACACACACACACATACATACAGACAGACACACATACATACAAACAGGCACACATACAGACACAGACTGACACATAAACATACAAACAGACAGGCACACATACAGACAGATACATACATACAGACACACAATGTTTAAGTCACCCCCCTGTTTCCTACCTTTTTAGGTGCAGGAGGGTGACTTTCCCTGGGGTCCAGTGGTTCCTCAGGCTGGTGGGAGTCAGAGTTCCCACTTTGACTCCCTCTGCTTCCTCCCGCGCGGACTCTATGTATGCTGGGAGGAGTGACGTGCAGTCACTTCCTTCCAGCGTGTGATTTCATCACAGGGGGCCCGGTCGCACTGTTAAAGCACCTTGGACGGCGGCCCCAGCGGTTTGCTGTGCGGTCGGGGCCGCAAAGGATGGCGGCGGGTACCTGGTCGCAGGGGTCCGCAGGGCCCCTGGTGTGACAAGCCCGGTCGCAGCTGCAAATAGGGTATTAAAGGGATACTATAAGTGCCAGGAATACAAAGCTGTATTTCTGGATCTATAGCTCCCTCTGCCTCCCCCTTCCTTCGTGCCACCCTTTATTTACTTACTTGATCCCAGCGCAGATGTCCCTCGGCACTGCGTCATGTCTCCGCCTTCTCAGTCCCGCGACATGCAAATGCTATAGCTGAGGCTGGATGTCTTCATGCAGAGCGTGAAGTTCCGCTAGGTTCCAGGAAGCCCTCTAGGGGCTGTCTGGGAGACAGCCACTGGAGGCAGACTTAGTGCTGCAATGTAAACATTGCAGTTTCTCTGGAACTGAAATGTTTAACATTGCAGCACTAATTGCAATAGGGACACTGCACCCAGACCACTTCAGTTATCTAAGGTGGTCTGGGTGCCTATTGTTTCCCGTTAACTGACCATGCTGACAGCGATCCACTTTTTTCATTCTCAGGCAGCCTGTACATCACTGAGATTCCAGCATGTGCAGCACTGTTACTGATAGGTGTGTGATTGCTGAAATCAATCACACTCCTGTTACTCCTGAACAGTAATACGTAATACTGTCTCCGCTCGCTGAGTGCAAGGACTCCCAGAAGAGAGTAACTTGAGGCAACTGCATGGCGCCTCATAGGATGGGGTTTCCAGATTCGGAAGGGCGTGTGGCGACTTGGAGAGCTAAGTGAGTTATCAGTAATATAAGTAAATTGCAAGACCGATACTGATTATCAGAAATATGCTCAATACCTGCTCGAATAACTGGCGGAACCGATAATTAGTCTATCTGTATAATGTGCGTACGTAAATCCCCTTTTTTTTGTCTTATTTCTCAGCTCGACGTTTCTTACCTTAAAGGGACTCTCCGGTGCCAGGAAAACATATCCCTTTTTACCGGCACTGCAGGTTCTTGCAGTGCCTCTCTCCCTCCCACACCCCATCCCATGCTGCCCATGCTCCTTCCCCACCGACGAGGGAGACCTAATGTGCATGCGCTGCAATGGCCGCACATGCACATTAGACCTCCCCAAAGGAATGCATTATTCAATGCTTTCCTATGGGGAAATCCCTCTAGTGACTGTCTGATAGACAGCCACTAGAGGAGGACTTAACTCTGCAAGGTAATTATTGCAGTTTATAAAAAAAAAAAAAACTGCAATAATTACACTTGCAGGGTTAAGGGTGATGGGAGTTGGCACCCAGACCACTCCAATGGGCAGAAGTGGTCTGGGTGCCTAGAGTGTCCCTTTAACCCCTTAAGGACACATGATATGTGTGACATGTCATGATTCCCTTTTATTCCAGAAGTTTGGTCCTTAAGGGGTTAAGAGAGTTGTACAGATCACCAAGAAGCAAAGCTTTCTGGAAGTTGAACTACATGTCTCCAAAAAACACTCTGAGAGCAAGTCTTGCACAGAAAGCTGAAATGTACTAGTCAACTGCTTACTCTACTGGTGTGATTTAATATATAGATTTTTTTTTTGTGATCTCATATTTTAGCAAGATATTTAAAGTGTCAACTGTCACTTCTCCGGAAATTACAACTACTGCATACAGAAAATCACCTATAATTTGTGATTATTTTTTTCATATGATGCTCCATGTGATACTTTTTAAAATGTATATTAAATATGTAGTGAGGGACCTCACAATTAATTTCAGTCTAGGCAGAACCAGGGCACACAATGCAAATGAGGAACATAAAAGGACACCCTTTATAAAGAATACAGATTAAAGAACAGTGCACACATAAAAATACAGTTTTTCAAATTTTACAAAGCTACTTAAATTCCCATCTCTTAACAAAAAAATCTGGGGATTGAGTTCCACGGTATGGCCATATTGTGTTAAAGCCCATCACAACTTCACAGTTCCTCAATATTGGTGGGTCTTAACTAATTCCAACATGGGAGACAAATTAAATGGTGCTAGTGCTAAATAACCTAAATTGAATTTTAATAATCTGTTGTAAAAGCATTGTAAATATATACAATTTAAATTACTGTGATAAATACAGTGTCAAAACGAAACAATTAAAGTGACAGTGCTTTGATGTATATACTCACAATGCATATCATATATTTTCTCTATGAAAATTATAATTAGTGAAATTACAAATATGGGGATTCATGCCGCCCGACTGCTAGCTTGAGCTCTTAATATTAAATAAATCTGTACATTTCTGCTTGCTGCTTGTTGGCTTGTTTGGCATAGGACTTTGTGTTTAAATAGTGTAGGTTTTCTAACGGACACATTTCCAGTAGTTTCATGTGTTAAATCACTCCAACTTCACATGATTTATCTCATAAATCTACTGGTAATAATATGTAAATAGAAGAACCATAGTATTGAAAGAAATTAAACAGGAGTAGTCCCAGAAGATTGGAAGTTAGCGAATGTTGTGCCCATTCACAAGAAAGGTAGTAGGGTGGAGTCGGGCAACTATAGCCCAGTAAGCCTTACTTCAGTAGTGGGGAAAGTAATGGAAACCATGTTAAAGGATAGGATTGTTGAACATCTAAAATCACATGGATTTCAAGATCAGAGACAACATGGGTTTACTTCAGGGAGATCATGCCAAACTAATCTTATTGATTTTTTTGATTGGGTAACTAAAATTATAGATCAGGGTGGTGCAGTAGACATTGCTTACCTAGATTTCAGTAAGGCTTTTGACACTGTTGCACATAGAAGGCTTATCAATAAACTGCAATCTTTAAGTTTGGATTCCAATATTGTTGAATGGGTAAGGCAGTGGCTGAGTGACCGGCAACAGAGGGTTGTAGTCAATGGAGTATATTTGAAGCTTGGGCTTTTCACCAGTGGGGTACCTCAGGGATCTGTACTTGGACCCATTCTCTTTAATATTTTTATTAGTGGTATTGCAGAAGGTCTTGATGGTAAGGTATGTCTTTTTGCTGATGATACTAAGGTATGTAACAAGGTTGATGTTCCAGGAGGGATAAGCCAAATGGCAAATGATTTAGGTGAACTAGAAAAATGGTCAGAGTTGTGGCAACTGACATTTAATGTGGATAAGTACAAGATCAAGATAATGCATCTTGGACGTAAAAACCCAAGGGCAGAGTACGGAATATTTGATAGAGTCCTAACCTCAACATCTGAGGAAAGGGATTTAGGGGTGATTATTTCTGATGACTTAAAGGTAGGCAGACAATGTAATAGAGCAGCAGGAAATGCTAGCAGAATGCTTGGTTGTATAGGGAGAGGTATTAGCAGTAGAAATAGGGAAGTGCTCATGCCATTGTACAGAACACTGGTGAGACCTCACTTGGAGTATTGTTCGCAGTACTGGAGACCGTATCTTCAGAAGGATATTTATACTTTAGAGAGAGTTCAGAGAAGGGCTACTATACTGGTTCATGGATTGCAGGATAAAACTTACCAGGAAAGGTTAAAGGATCTTAAAGGACCACTATAGTGCCAGGAAAACATACTAATTTTCCTGGCACTATAGTGCCCTGAGGGTGCCCCCACCCTCAGGGTCCCACTCCCGTGGAGCTGAGGGGGGAGGAAGGGGTTAAACTTACCTCTTTATTCAGCGCCGGGCGGGGAGCTCTCCTCCTCCTCTCCTCCTCTTCGGCTGAATGCGCATGCACGGCAGGAGCTGCGCGCGCATTCAGCCAGTCCATAGGAAAGCATTCACAATGCTTTCCTATGGACGCTGGCGTCTTCTCACTGTGAAAATCACAGTGAGAAGCGCGGAAGCCCTCTAGCGGCTGTCAAAGAGACAGCCACTAGAGGCTGGATTAACCCTAATATAAACATAGCAGTTTCTCTGAAACTGCTTTGTTTATAGAAAAAAGGGTTAACCCTAGCTGGACCAGTCACCCAGACCACTTCATTAAGCTGAAGTGGTCTGGGTGCCTATAGTGGTCCTTTAACGTGTATAGCTTGGAGGAAAGACGGGACAGGGGGGATATGATAGAAATATCTAAATACATAAAGGGAGTAAACACTGTAAAGTAGGAGACTATATTTAAAAGAAGAAACCACCACAACAAGAGGACGTAGTCTTAAATTAGAGGGGCAAAGGTTTAACCCCTTAAGGACCAAACTTCTGGAATAAAAGGGAATCATGACATGTCATGTGTCCTTAAGGGGTTAAACATAACTTCAGGAAATATTACTTTACTGAGAGGGTAGTGGATGTATGAAATAACCTTTTACCACTTCAGCTGGAAGTCTAACACAGTAATGGAGTTTAAGAATGCGTGGGATAGGCATAAGGCTATCCTAGCTATAAGATAAGGCCAGAGACTTATGAGAGTATTTAGAACATTGTGCACACTAGATGGGCCGAATGGTTCGTATCTGCCATAACATTCTATGTTTCTATATAATGCAAGACCGGACAAGCCAGAAATCATCAGAGCTCAAACAAGCAGCCACTCATTAGAAGCAGGCTGTATATTACAGACCTGCTTTATAAAGAAAGGCTGCTTAGAAAGTACCAGGCACACTATGTACCAGTGTTCATTTTTGCGGCAATTTTCAATTTAGTTTTGGTCATAGTCTTTTGACTAAAAAGCCATTTTAGTTTTAGTCGTATTTTAGTCATCTGAATTGCCTTTGTTTTAGTCTAGTTTTAGTCGACTAAATCTCCAGTAGATATTAGTCGACACAACTAAAATGTAATGGGTTTAGTTAAAGCCTCAGTCTATCTCTTTTGCCTCTTCCCCAGCCCCTCTGTGTCTCTTTGTGTCCTCCCAGCCCCTCTAGGTGTCTCTCTCTCCCAAGCCCTGGTCTGTCTCTTTTGCCCATTCCCCAGCCCCTCTGTGTCTCTTTGTGTCCTCTCAGCCCCTCTAGGTGTCCCTCTCCCAAGCCGTGGTCTGTCTCTTTTTCCCCTTCCCCAGCCCCTCTGTGCAGTGTTGATTTTGGTAGCAAAGTTCAGTTTAGTTTTAGTAATAGACTTTTGACTAAAAATCCATTTTAGGTTTAGTCGTATTTTTGTCATCTGAACTGTTTTAGTTTTAGTTGACTAAATCTCCAGATTTTAGTCAACACAACTAAAATGTAATGGGTTTAGTTAAAGCCTCTATATGTCTCTCTTTCCCCTTCCCCAACCCACCTGTGTCTCTGTGTACCCCTCCCCCCCCTCAATCCCTCTAGGTGTCTCTCTCCCAAGCCCTGGTCTGTCTCTTTTGCCCCTCCCACAACCCCTCTGTGTCTCTGTGTGCCCCCAGCCCCTCTATGTGTCTCTCCCAAGCCCTGGTCTATCTCTTTTGCCCCTTCCATAGCCCCTCTGTGTCTCTTTGTGTGTGTCCCAGCCCCTCTAGGTGTCTCTCTCCCAAGCCCTGGTCTGTTTCTTTTGCCCCTTCCACAGCCCCTCTATGTCTCTGTGTGCCCCCAGCCCCTCTAGGTGTCTTTCTCCCAAGCACTGGTCTGTCTTTTTTGCCCCTTCCCCAGCCCCTCTGTGTCTCTTTGTGTCCCCCCCAGCCTCTCTAGGTGTCTCTCTCCCAAGCCCGAGTCTGTCTTTTTTTGCCCCTTCCACAGCCCCTCTGTGTCTCTGTGTGCCCCCAGCCCCTCTAGGTGTCTCTCCCAAGCCCTGGTCTGTCTTTTTTGCCCCTTCCCCAGCACCTCTGTGTCTCTTTTTATTTTTGCTGGCAAATTTCAATTTAGTTTTCTGACTAAAAAGCCATTTTAGTTTTTGTTGTATTTTAGTCATCTGCATTGTTTTAGTTTCAGTCAACTACATCTCAAAAATGTCAGTCGAAATAATAAACATTGCAGCAGCTCTGCTTCGAAGAGCACACAGGGCGATGACTGATGACATCACCGCTCTGTGCAGGAGCCTAACGGTCAGATTCTAACTCAGTCCGACCGAAGGTGTATCAATATGGCAGAGGGTTCTAGTGTTCTGTGAAAGTAAGGACCAGATTTTCAAGTATTTTTACATCTACGTCATTTAAAAAAAAAAAAGTCATATCTTTTCATTGCATACTGCAAAGATTCTTATAATACTAAAATATCTGGGGACAGTTGTCCTTTAAGTTTTACTTTTCTATTCTTTTGACATGGCACCATCTGCTTCGAGCCTTGCCAACTCCAATAAGGAATTGGCTAATCAGGAGTAATGTATTCTCAAAGGAATGTGGGCCACTAAGTGTCTTTTGTGTTCTTTGTCCTTTTATAGTACATGAACTCCGGTCGTTGCCATGGCCACTGGCAACAGACACACAACCCATCAGTTTTTTACAGCAAAGTGAACTTAATTAATTATAGTTTGTATGCCTAGTGCGTATTGAAACATCCTAACTCAAAGTACTGAACCGACATAAACTTTCTATGGTGAGTTTTCCATCTTACTATGCTTGCACCTTTTTATTGAAAGTTTTGTTTGAGCTGCCGTACACATAAGAGCTCCATGCACAATGCCAAACGTGGCTGTAATGGTGTAAAAACGCGCCAGCATTGGGCGGTAATGGCTAATTATTCTCTGGAGTGATAAGTCACGCTTTGTCAACTGGCAATCTGATGCAGAATTCTGCTTCTGCAAATGGTAACTTCCATGACAGTGTGAAAGTGTATACTTTTTTTTAAAATTTATAGTGGAATATTAAGGGAACACTCCGGGAAACCATAATAGCATCATTGGAATTCAGTTGTTATGGTACCCGGAGCTTACCAAGTAGTTTAACACCAAGATCTTGTATCCAGCCCTGTTTAGCTCCTCCCCATTATCCTTCCACTGCTGTTGGATTCTTGAAAGAGGAAGCCTCGCAGAACCGTGGAAAGTGGCGCAACTGATTGGCGAGAGCCTCAGCTGACGCTCTAAGCCAATCAGTAGCTCCCCATTAATAAAAGTAGCTTGAGAATTTTTTTACGTTTCGCAAGCCATTTTGTTAATGGGGAGCTGCTGATTGGTGTAGTGCGTCAACGTCTTATCCAATCAGCGGCGGCCCTCTTCTTGGCTGTCCGAGACTTCCTATATCTGAGTGAAATGGAGGAACAGGGGGCAGAGCTAAACGGCGCTAGATACAAGACTTTGGTTTTTATTAACCCCTAAAGCTGGTGCCAGGGACATCCTAACACCATAACAACATAATTCTGATAAAGTTGTTATGGTGGCCAGAGTGTTCCTTGAATAGTCTTGGTCTCGTTTTCTTTGTTCAGGATAGACTGCTTCATTCCAGCAATAAGAGATCCAAGTGCTTCCTAGTTAGTGATAGCAATTGTTTCAGTTTTACAGTGGCTTCATTAATCATTATCCTCTCATTCTGGTCTATTGTGTCTGATCTTATTTCGTAATATCTTACAGTCCCAGCATTTTTTTGTAAACAATCTGCTGTAGGTATAAGCCAGTCTGCGCAGTGAGAATTGGGTGCTGGGTGTATCTACACCATAACCTTCAAAGCATCAATCCAACCATAACAGTGATGCATAGAGTGACCATTCAATGCTCATGAGTTTGGAGCGAAATATTAAATGAGTATATTTTTTGACATAGTATATTCATGAAATGTAGGTACGCCTGGTGGTCTTCAGCCATTTCAGACCAAACAAAATATCCCCATGTATTTATTAAATACTCTGCTGATAAAATCTGTCCTCCCCCCCCCTTCTTCAACCTTTAACTTTTCAAAGCAGTATCGCCAAACGTGCTGGTATCATACTGCCCCCTGTCAGTCTGTCTACTGTGAACATGTGGTTCTATGTGTATACCCCAAAGGGTCTAAGTATACCCGTTCCAGCAGGTATAATAGGTTAGTCACACACAATGGTTTTCTTTCCAGTAAAGAAAAACTGGACAGAGATTTTTGGAGACATATATCCAAACTTCAGAATATTCACAAAATTAGCTCCAAGTGTTGCTCGCTTCCTGGCATGCATGTGTAGAACTCATAGAGTGCCAGAGAAATGCTGTGGACATGCCTCTGGCATGGTTTAAATATGCACGGGGTTCGTTTTATGACAGGTTTTGTGTGCCTTTTTTTACATTGCCGGGATGACCAATACTGCACTGCAAGCAAACTAAGGACTGTAACATAAATGTGTGAGTGTGCTATCTATTTATATGCAGCATTGACGTTCATAGAGCGGGTTCCAGTCACTGGAGATGTAACTGCCTAGACTCCCTCCCCTTTGCTATGTACGTGTGTTACAGGGAAGCCAGTATTTTCTATTGCATTTGTACATCTCTCCTGCTGACTCTACACTCGCGCCCCACCCCCCATCCCCCCCACCACTCGTCTGATTTTTCTGTTTTCTTCCATACTGTCCACCTTATTCTCTTCTATCTCTTCTTCTGCCCGTTCCAATTTTCATTCATGGTTTGCGTTCCCTCTCCATCTTTCTCCCCCTCTGTCTCCATTCATGCTTTTTTTTTTTTCTTCTGTGTATCCATTCATATTCCCCCCCTGCCTATTTTTCTCTCTCTTTTTTGCTCTCTGCCTCTTTGCGTCTCCATTCATACACCCCCTCCCCTCTCTGCGTCTCCATTCATACTCCCCCCACCCCCCTCTCTCTGCGTATCCATTCATACTGCTGTTTTCCACCCACACTCTTCTCCGCTCTCTGAATGTTAATGACTGTGGTGGAGCTGAGGGTCATAGACGCATGAAGACGTGATCTCCCTACATTATGGCTGGAAGGGGGAGGGCAGACAGCCTGAACCAGCCTATTCCATTTTTATAAAAATTGGTGCAGAGAGAAATGTGTGTAATAACTAAAATGTGCTCTATGTTGCATGTTTCTGTAATTCCACCTGTTGATTTATATAACCTCATCATATAACCCCTCATATTGGGCTCTATAACTCCTCCTATTACTCCATATAACCTCTCCCTATAATTCCTCCTATTACTCCATATAACCTCCCCCTATAACTCCTCCTATTACTCCATATAACCTCTCCCTATAACTCCTCCTATTACTCCATATAACCTCTCCCTATAACTCCTCCTATTACTCCATATAACCTCTCCCTATAACTCCTCCTATTACTCCATATATCCTCTTTCAATAAATCATCCTATTACTCCATATAACCTCTCTATAACTCCTCCTATTACTCCATATAACTTCTCTATAACTCCTCCTATTACTCCATATAACCTCTCTCTACAAATCCTCATTTTACTCATATAACCTCTCTATAACTCCTCCTATTACTCCATATAACCTCTACCTATAACTCCTCCTATTACTATATATAACCTCTTTATAACTCCTCCTATTACTCCATATATCCTCTCCCTATAACTCCTCCTATTACCCCATATAACCTTTCCCTATAACTCCTCCTATTACTCCATTAACCTCTCCCTATAACCCCTCCTATTACTCCATATAACCTCTCCCTATAACTCCTCCTATTACTCTATATAACCTCTCCCTATAACTCCTCCTATTACTCCATATAAACTCTCCCTATAACTCCTTCTATTACTCCATATATCCTCTCCCAATAACTCCTCCTATTACTCCATATAAACTCTCCCTATAACTCCTCCTATTACTCCATATATCCTCTCCCTGTAACTCCTCCTATTACTCCATATGACCTCTGCCTATAACTCCTCCTATTACTCCATATAAACTCTCCCTATAACTCCTCCTATTACTCCATATATCCTCTCCCTGTAACTCCTCCTATTACTCCATATAACCTCTCCCTATAACTCCTCCTGTTACTCTATTTAACCTCTCCCTATAACTCCTCTTATTACTCCATATAACCTCTCCCTATAACTCCTCCTATTATTCCATATAACCTCTCCCTATAACTCCTCCTGTTACTCTATTTAACCTCTCCCTATAACTCCTCCTATTACTCCATATAACCTCTCCCTATAACTCCTCCTATTACTCCATATAACCTCTCCCTATAACTCCTCCGAGTGACTAATGACCTAATCTCCGCTAAATCCAAAGGTCATTACTCCATATTAATTCTCCTTGACCTCTCTGCTGCCTTTGACACCGTAGATCATGCTCTCCTCCTTCAAATTCTTCAATCGCTCGGTCTCTGTTACTCTGTCCTCTCTTGGTTTTCCTCCTATCTCTCCCAACGCTCATTCAGTGTCTCCTTTTCCAAGGATACCTCCTCCCCTCGTCCTGTCTCGATTGGAGTTCCCCAAGGGTCTGTCCTTGGTCCCCTTCTATTTACCCTTTATACTGCCTCTCTAGGTAAACTTATTGCCTCTTTTGGATTCCACTACCACCTGTACGCTGATAACACTCAGATATACCTCTCCTCCCGGACCTCTCCCCTGCCGTCCTGCAACGTGTCACTGCTTGCCTTTCTTCCATCTCTGACTGGATGTCCTCACGCTTTCTGAAACTTAACCTCTCTAAAACTGAACTCCTTGTCTTTCCTCCTCCTAATACTGATCCTCCTCTCTCGCTCTCCCTTCAAGTCAGTGATACCCACATAAGTTCATCCCTGCAAGCGCGCTGTCTTGGCGTCATACTTGACTCTGGTCTCACCTTTGAGTCTCACATCCAGTTTGTTGCCAAGTCCTGTAGGCTCCAACTCAAAAACATAGCCCGCATTCGCCCCTTTCTTACGCAAGATGCTACCAAGGAGCTTGTCCATGCTCTAGTAATTTCCCGCATGGATTACTGTAACCCTTTACTGATTGGTCTCCCCAAAAGCCGTATTGCCCCGCTACAGTCTGTAATGAATGCTGCAGCTAGACTGATTTTCCTCTCTAGTCGGTCCTCTCACACCTCACCCCTCTGCCGGTCCTTACATTGGCTCCCTGTATGCTATAGGAGTCAATTCAAAGTGCTAACCCATACATTTAAAGCACTGAACAATTCTAGCCCCACTTATATCTCTTCACTAATCCATAGATATGCCCCTCCTCGTACCCTCCGCTCTGCCCGTGACCACCTCCTGACCGCTGCTCGCACCCGTACAGCCAACTCGCGCTTGCAGGACCTCTCGCGGGCGGCTCCTCTCCTATGAAATAGCTTGCCTACTGCCATCAGACTCTCCCCTAGTCTTCAATCATATAAGAAGGGCCTTAAAACCCATCTCTTCAGGAAAGCTTATGGCCTCCCAGAGTAATCTCTACCTTACATACCTGTCTCCTGCTCTCTCTCCTATGGGACAGTGCTTTGCTCTCTCCTCCAGCTCTGCTTCACTCCTACTTGATATTTCTTGTCCTAATGTTTCAAATACCCACCTCCTATAGTCTGTAAGCTCATTTGAGCAGGGTCCTCTTCAACCTATTGTTCCTGTAAGTTTTCTTGTAATTGTCCTATTTATTGTTACATCCCCCCTCTCAAAATATTGTAAAGCGCTACGGAATCTGTTGGCGCTATATAAATGGCAATAATAATAATAATAACCTCTCCCTATAACTCCTCCTATTACTCCATATAACCTCTCCCTAGAACTTCTCCTATAACTCCATATAACCTCTCCCTATAACTTCTCCTGTTACTCCATTTAACCTCTCCCTATAACTCCTCCTTTTACTCCATATAACCTCTCCCTATAACTCCTCCTATTACTCCATATAACCTCTCCCTATAACTCCTCCTATTACTCCATGTAACTTCTCTCTATAACTCCTCCTATTACTCCATATAACCTCTCCCCATAACTCCTCCTATTGCTCCATATAACCTCTTCCTATAACTTCTCCTATTACTCCATATAACCTCTCCCTATAACTCCTCCTGTTACTCCATTTAACCTCTCCCTATAACTCCTCCTATTACTCCATATAACCTCTCCCTATATCTCCTCCTATTACTCCATATAACCTCTCCCTATATCTCCTCCTATTACTCCATATAACCTCTCCCTATAACTCCTCCTATTACTCCATATAACCTCTCCCTATAACTCCTCCTATTACTCCATATAACCTCTCCCTATAACTCCTCCTATTACTCTTTGTAACCTCTAAGTATAACTATTGTTACTGTACAGCATTCTCCTCTTCATTCAATTCTTTCCCATGTTGTTGGTCAGTTACCCAGTATAGTTGCCTTGATAACGCAATCTAATGCTGTAATTCCTTTATATTCCCTCAATGTACTAATATGCCTCTCATTTTAACAGGACAATAGCAACCAAGAGATGTACTCAGTAGACCCACAGCGCTAACGTCACCTTCCTCGAGTTCCTGTCTAAAGAGCATCCTGGGGCCTTGCTGTGCAGGGTCGGGGTCCACTTCCCATCTTCATGTCTGTCCAACCTTTGGACACCGGGATGAGCTTGCCTACCCAATCTGGTGAGTGATAGCTCATTAAAGGGGTTCTGTCACTTTTATTATTACATAATATTTTGGGATATTTTGTTGTATTTTCCCCCCATATTTAATAGATATGTGTTTGCAAAGTCTTAAAGAATAAGTTAAAATGGCTCCGTCACCTCAAACGTGCCTTTTCTTATTATTTCCTCCTCTCTTCCTCTTTCAGAATCTGTTCTTCTTTCCTTCATTTATAATTTGTTTCTTTTTAAAAAATAGAAAGGTAGGGACTTTATTTTACGAACGCGTGACAATTGTGACAAAAGGGTGGCGTTTAAAGCGATACCGGCATCCATCCCAAAAAAAATCAGTATTTCATACAAAATAGATTCTTTATGAAATGCTCATTATAACGGTGTTGGAATTTAACTTAAATTCACTGACAATTCAACCCATATAGTAACAGCAAAGTAGCCCAGACACTCAAGGTCTTCATACATACAAGCTAGACATCCAACCCAGTCAAGAGGTATACAGAGATAAAGTAGGGACTACTTTGTCTCTGTAGTTCTCTTCTGCCTGACTTTCTTTGACACAAGGTGACACAAGGGGGAGGCTAAGTGTAAATCCCTGCAATCGTCAACAGTGATAGCTGCAGGGAATTGGCTGTGTTTATGAAGGATACCACAGTCTTGCGGGATCACCCATAAACCTCAGTGCTGTATGCTCGCACATGCGTAAGAGTACAGCAGTGACGTCCGCGCCAAGGATCACCACGCCGGACCAAGATGGTGGGGCCCACGAGGGAAAAGTTCAGGTAAGAAATCTCATCTTTACCTACCCCCACTTTTCCATTGGACCACCAGCAGCGATGTCACCGTAGGGAGACTTTGCAAATTCTCCAAATGGTGACCGTGTCGCTTTAAGGCAAGCTCCACTTCCTTTGTCAAGTTTCAGGTGACACTGCTACTTTAAATATAGAAATCCACATCTTTCTCCTGCAGCTGAGAGCCTCCACCTTTGCTCCCTGTCAGTCATTGTTATAGGCTTTGTGTTTGACATTGGCAGTCTGCGTAGAGAAAGCATACAGAGGAGGAGAAACAGGAACTATGATTCTGTATCTCTTTCTCTGATGCAATATGTGTCCTGGTTGTGCCAGGGCTGACATATTATGATGTCATATACTAAATCATTACAATACATTTGAAAAACAAGTGAACATCAGATAACAAAAGTTTTTAACACTTTTTAAAAAGCGTAAACTCCATAGAAGTGACAATTCCAGTCTAGGAAAGTCTATATTATGGCTTACGTACAATTCATTTATAATAGTTAGTCTTTCTATGGTGGGATTTGACTGAGCTCAATGTTTTATGCACACGATACATGCAAGATAAATATATCATTTTATCTAAGTGGTCATTGTGGCATCCCATAATTACTAGCGGTAGGTGGCATGCTAGTTATTATGCATATGTGGGTGGGTACGAGCAGGCGGGTGTGGCAGCCATATTGTTACCAAACTTCATGTCAACATGAACTATAATTGTGTATAGATTGCTGTTCTGAAAGAAAAAAAACACATGCAAAATTAGATTGTCAAAATGACACTTTTTTTTATTTTTCATTTATTTGTTGATCCTTTATATAATGGTAATCAAAAACCTATCACACAAACTCTGAACTATTTGCATAAACGCTAAACTCTAATTTTTCTCACTTACAGTACGTATTCTAAAAGTAGATAAATAAAAATGTCTAATACTCTACTTCTATGCTTTTTAAGGTCCCTGATGGTACTGCTAGCAGTTCAGTTTACTAAAATTGGCTATGGAACGTAAAAGGAATGCCTGAATTTGAATATAATGCCCTCATACAATAGTGTCTCTGTAAAGTTAATAGGGATGTGACAGATCTCATTCACTCCTTCCTGACTGTAGGAATGGTGAGATATTTCACTGTTTGGAAGGTGGTGAGGTTTATAGCCTCTTTGTAGACAGTGAATGGGTGGAATGGTTTCCCGGCAGTGAATTTTACTTGTCTACATCGGGGTGTCCAAAAGGCAGATCCCCAGTTGTTTGAAAACTACAATTTCCTTGATGCCTTGTCATTCTATAGGCATGCAAAGGCACGCAACGTATCATGGCAGTTGTAGTTCTACAACATCTGGGATCCCCCTTTTTGGAACCCCTGGTCTACATGTTCTGCAAAGCTAATGAAAGTTAAAATATGTACACACAGTTTTAAAGGGAGAAGGAGTTAAGCTCTGTCAATCTTCAAAAAATGATTTTTGATGATTTCTATTTGTCATTTTAACATGTCACTATGCTAATCTTCCTCCGCAAGCCAGCTTGTAGCTCTCCAGTTGTTTCAGTGGTTATGGTGCTTAGAGTGCCCCATTTACATCTCGTTGTAGTGGTTATGGTGGTAAAAGTCTTGAACTCTGTCCCTCTTTTTTTCAAATTATTTTGGAGTAGTTTACCAAAACCAGGGCCCTCACCAGTATCTACACTGTCCAACCGAAACTGCAGTGATAGGCTGGGGTGGGTTAGCCTTTTGAAACTAAGGCTTTTAACGCCATTTGGTTGAAATATCTTTGTTCTATACTGCTATGAATGTCAGATGATTCAATAGATGAGAATTTGTACCTCTTCCCTCTTTTATTTCGGTGTGTGTGTGTGTGAGATCCATTTTTACTTACTACATTAAGTGTGACATTGCTGGCAGCTTACATCAGTTGAAGTTTTGTATTATTCCTAATCTTTCTAAAACTTACTTGATTAGTCTAGATTTGTATAGCCCCAGTCCTTTCAGATGGCAATCTGCCATTGCAGATAAGCAAATAGAATGAGGGTTACAAGTATTTAATACTTGGTACTAAACAAGCACTTTAATGAGTTTAATGAAACGGTTTCTTTTGTTTTATTGTATATTTATTTTTTATGGCAGAACGACTGTGGTTTCAAAACCGAAAGTGGCTTAGTAAGTGCCATAACCACTGCAGTTTATTGTAGTAGTTATGGTGTGAGGAGCCTTTTTGGTTTGATTAAAACAGGGCACGACTTCTGCATGGGATGTTATAGTGAACTGCATCCCTTCTAATGTGGCGATATTGCCATTGACCTTTTCATCATTGACCTAGACCACCTACATCATTGTAACATACCAAACAAGAAAAAAGAAAGCCGTCTACAGGCAATGGCTGTCTAAAAAATAGACTAGACCACTTAGCCTGTAGATGGTCACACTTTATAAGACACTCCAGTTGTGTCTTGGGTCATAACCCCTGATTAATAAAACTATAAAATACTCAAAATAACTAGTACCCGAGTATCCACTGGAATAATGAATAGTAATGATTCTATACAAAGTGAGATATAGAGATATATATAATGAGAAAATACAATAAAGGAAAATGGGTCAGGTGAAAGTAGAAAATAACTGCGTAATGGCAAAAAACTCCCTTCCTAATGTCTCTAAAAGTAGATACTGCAGTACACAGGTTTAGACTTTAATATATAATGCTTCATAGGTCAATATCTGTGACTGCAGGCTGGTATCAATACATCCAAAGAATATATAAGAGACATTAAGGACTTGCATTTACCTAGTAAGTCTCAAGCTGTGGCATTATATAAGATATAATACTAAACTAAATGAAAGAAAGGAAAATCCCCTAAGGGCGTTCCTAAACTGGCAATGAAAGAAAAATTGACAATAAAAGTAAAAAATACCCACAAGTCCTAGGAAGTATAGTGTATAAAATAAAGGAAAAAAAAATAAAAATAAAAAAAAAAAAAGCGATAGCTCCTAATATGTGGCATATTATATAACAGATCCATTTGTGGATATATTTTGTCTATTCAATAATTTTGGACTTAGTTTATATGTGGCAGTTATTATGATAGATACTACTCTTAATACATTTTATTTTTTGGATTATTTTATATCCAATATATAGTATCTATTTATACTCTTCTGCTTATTCAGTTACTTATGTCCCAATATGCTAGCAATTGAGTACATGGCAGTTAACATTATAGATACTTTTTTGATACAATTTACTGATTGAATTATTTTCAATAGATCCCACATATAGTATCTATTTATAATTTTCTGCTTACTCAGCCTCTAATGTTCCAATATGCTAGCAATTTAGTATTATATCTTATATAATGCCACATTTTGAGACTTACTAGGTAAAAGCAAGTCCTTAATGTCTCTTATATATTCTTTGGATGTATTGATACCAACCTGCAGTCACAGATATTGACCTATGAAGCATTATATATTAAAGTCTAAACCTGTGTACTGCAGTATCTACTTTTAGAGACATTAGGAAGGGAGTTTTTTGCCATTAGGCAGTTATTTTTTACTTTCACCTGACACATTTTCCTTTATTGTATTCTCTCATTATATATATCTCTATATCTCACTTTGTATAGAATCATTACTATTCATTATTCCAGTGGATACTCAGGTACTAGTTATTTTGAGTATCTTATAATCATTGTTACATAGCTTTTGATATTGGGAAAATTCAGTATCTTAAAAAAAAAAAAAAATAATAATAATTTTTTAAATCAAACCCCCATTGGTGTTGATAGGGGGTGGGTTGAGAAAAATACATACGGTTCTCAAGCCATTTTGTAAATGGGGACCTACTCAGACTCAAGCGGATGTGGAGGGGGCAGATCTGAACGCAGATCTGAACGCCGGACAGAAGACTTTGGGGTTAAATCATTACTTCATAGTTTAACCCCTGAAAGTAACCTGACACCACGGACCTCCAGGCAACATATTAACTTCCTCTTGATTAAGTTGTCATGGTGCCCAAGTGTTCTTATAGCTGTTGATGAATCCAGAGCACAGAGCTTTTAAGAACATGAACATAGATGATGGTTTGGTAACAGGGAAAACTGTAAAATTGAGAAAAATGGAATACTACAACGGTAACTGCCCAGAAGTATTTGCAAGAAATTCCTGCATGTAGAAGAAAAGTATGTGTACCAGTGTACATATCTCATAGTATGTAATGACATGAATGGGACAAAAGGCTCAACAGAGCGATGGTGCTAAGTTGCTATGGTTACACGGAAATGGATTTTACCTGGCTGTGCCCACTGGCTGCAAAGAAGTGGGTTTGCTATGGCGAACATGAGCGTGTGCTTTCAGACAGAGTAAAGACACAATGCAATATATGAGGTCACATCCTCCCAGTACTCTTAAGTCTGTACACTGCACAGCAGTGTAAGGTAGACCTGAAGCAGTCACTGGTGCAGAAAGAAACAGGTCCTCCTCTGCTGGATACCAGGACAACTACCCTCTCACAGCAACAGGACAAATGTGAGGGTGAATAGGGAGGCGGGGTAGTTCTATGTTTAGGAGTTACAGTCCTTATCTGAGAGCATATAGATCCAATCTCAGCATTAATTGACAGGTGGGAAAGGGACCAAACTCTTAAAGGGCAATAAATAAAAATCTATAGGTTTGCTAGCATTTTTACTAGTACAGTGTACATATGGAACTAGTTGCCGTTTAATTTAAGCTAATGTTGTGCTTGGCATGACAGGCACACTTCCTTTTTTGTTGTTTGTTTTGTTTAGATTACATCCTACCCCCCCTTTTAAAGTTAGAAAAATAGAAGTAAAAGAAGAAAATAAACCATTAAATTGATCTGTAATCAGTGATGGGACATTCTTCATTGAAGGAATGTTAAACTCAGTGCTTCTCTGTGAGAGACATTAACAGAGTTCGGCTTCATCATGCTGTTCATAATGACACAGAATATGAAATATATTACATTTTTTCAAAATGTGTATTTTTTTCTGTAAACCTGTGAGACCTGTTCGCTCCTGCTAGGAGTCTTCATTAGCTTTCCTGAGCTAAGCCCTGCAGTGCACGACGAGAGCATCAGCTGCAGTGGAATGGTCCTTTAAGATGTGAGGTTTTGGTCCTTAGAATATTCCTTTAAACTTACTGCTGGCCATATCAACAATACTTTCATCTTGCTAAATTGTTATAATTTTTGCTACAGTCATAAAATATTTTCGCCTTCATGGGAAACTCCAAGTCTGTAGAAAACACCCTATATCCCAACCTCAAATGGCCAGCAGGGTGAGGGGGTGTGGAACTGGGCTATTCTGGGAATTAAACAAACACATTTCTAAATACAGTGTACAGCTTTGTAATATCCTCCTATATACATAAAGGTCTGAACAACCAGGCAAGAGAAGGAGACCTATTTCAGAGATATATTAGGATCCTGAGGAACTTGGACGTTTTGTTAGTAAATAACTAACTCTGCATGTTTTCTACATTTTCACAGAGCATGTGAAACAAATGAGAGCATACACAATCTATGTATATATATTAATAAATCTCTAACCGGGATTGAAAGCAATGTAAGTTCAAACACAGAAATGAAAGATATTCAATAAACAAATTATTTTAATAATAGATTCAAATAAGAATATAGATTGCAAAACAGTTAAAAAATAAATAAGTACAACAACTAAAACAACTCTGTCACCTTCTGGGGTCATTGGATATTTTGCAAAGACCCCAATAACGATATTGCCACTTGCTTCTCAGTAGTCCGAGAGCCTTCATCTGCCAAGAGTGCACATCAGCGCACATGCATAGACCATGCCCTTTTTCCTCACAGCTATCATTAGTGACACGTGGAATTGACAAAACTTGACAGTGAAAACTCTGCGTTTGTCAACTTTTGTTAAAGGACCACTATAGGCACCCAGACCACTTCAGCTTAATTAAGTGGTCTGGGTGCCTGGTCCAGCTAGGGTTAACCCTTTTTTTATTTATAAACATAGCCGTTTCAGAGAAACGGCTATGTTTATAAATGGGTTAATCCAGCCTCTAGTGGCTGTCTCATTGACAGCCGCTAGAGGGCTTCCGTGCTTCTCACTGTGATTTTCAGTGTGGACTGGCTGAATGCGCGCGCAGCTCCTACCGCGCATGCGCATTCAGGTGGAGAGAAGGAGGAGAGCTCCCCGCCCGGCGCTGGAGAAAGAGGTAAGTTTAACCCCTTCCTCCCCCCTCAGCGCCACGGGAGTGGGACCCTGAGGGTGGGGGCACCCTCAGGGCACTATAGTGCCAGGAAAACGAGTATGTTTTCCTGGCACTATAGTGGTCCTTTAAGTGTAGGAAACATGCATAAAACATAGTCCCTACTTTGTCTCATGATTTTACTGTATTTAAATTATGGTGTTAAAGTTACAGGGAACCCACACTCTTTTTAAGGTGCAAAACCAGACCTGAGGCTGGCAGACCCAATACATAAGTAGAAAATGCAATATGGTCCAGGCACTCAAGGGTAATAAGGAGGCAGATTTATTGAACATTCAGTGCAAGATTGATAAAGATCTAATTTGAGGTCAAAACTTTGCTGCTGTTAGTTCACGGACTGAATCTTCAATAAAACTGTATTACCCTTGAGAGCCTGCATCATCTTGCATTTTCCACCTATGTCTGAATGCCCCTTTCCTAGCTGCTTGAGACTATTCCAGCTTTGTACTAAATTAATTTAAATAAAACAAAAGGTTTAAGATACTCTAGATCTAGAATGGATAGTTTTCCCCATGAGTAAATATAGCTTAGACCATCACTTTGTCACTCACAGACATCTCTAAGCACAGCTATCATGGAGTTAATGCCTGGCTGTCAATAAGTTAGGAAGACCCACTCAAGCCTATTCTTTTAGCATATCGGACTGATCCCACACACGGACAGTCTGCAAATTATGTGCAGACAGATCAGCAGAGATAAAGTGTCCCCAGACCGTGTAGGCTTCCTTTGTGAAGCCACAAGTTGAGACCTCTTTAGTGGTTTACTCGCTATAGGATATACTATTAAAGGACCACTATAGGCACCCAGACCACTTCAGCTTAATGAAGTGGTCTGGGTGCCTGGTCCAGCTAGGGTTTCAGAGAAACTGCTATGTTTATAAATGGGTTAATCCAGCCTCTAGTGGCTGTGTCCTGACAGCCGCTAGAGGCGCTTGCGTGCTTCTCACTGTGATTTTCACAGTGAGAAGACGCCAGCGTCCATAGGAAAGCATTGTAAATGCTTTCTTATGAACTGGCTTAATGAGCGTGCGGCTCATGCCGCGCATGCACATTCAGCCGATGATGTCGCTATGGAGGAGGAGGAGAGGAGGAGGAGAGCTCCCCGCCCGGCGCTGGAGAAAGGTAAGATTTTAACCCCTTTCTCTCCCCCGAACTTGGCGGGAGTGGGACCCTGAGGGTGGGGGCACCTTCAGGGCACTATAGTGCCAAGAAAACGAGTATGTTTTCCTAGCACTATAGTGGTCCTTTAAGGTTTTGAATGTTCATGGTGAAGGTCTTCCAAATTGACAAAGATTATATGACTGATCTAGTCTGAACTTTTAACATTGAGAGTTCCACACTTGCCCCTACATATACAGTGAAATATTTGGCATGATAATCAGCCACTTGGGTTTAAATTTGAGATCAGGTTCTAATGGCTAAAGCAGTTTTGTTGTCTTAGTTGCATCCTTAACGCAAAGCTATAAAGCATCTCATTGTAACTGTACTAACAGTGGCTGTCTGTTATGGAGGATATGCTGTTTGCTTCACATGTTAAATATATGTCCCAGAGATGAGTTCTGTGTTAAATAACAGGGTTCAGCTAAACATATAAACACAGCTTACACCATCCTTGTTGCAGGTCTTAATTCCCGTCTTGATGTATTTGTATCGGCATTTTTCATAAGGAATTGCCTTAATGCTAATAGAACAGTATTTATCAAACAGCAACTAGCCTTGTATGTTCCCTACCATGGCTGCTCGCAAACTAATGCCAATCTCCAGCCAAATGCACTAAACTGGATCGACGTAGTCTTGAACCAAGATAGCCAAGTACAAATAAGCTGTGCTATTTATGAGAATAGTCTAGGTCATTGACTGCGTAATCTTAACCGTCTTGTAGATTTGATGGTGGGGTTCTACTCCCATAACCTGGAACTATGAAAAGTTAACCCTAAAACAAGTGACTCATTTGGTGTTTACTAACCATAACAATCTTTGTTTCGATGTGAACTCTCTTAGCCAAAGGAGTATCGGCCATCTAAAACAGCATTGTGGGGAGAGCTTACATTTTGGTTGGGTTTAAAAAGATGTGCATGCATTTGGTAGATGGTGGGCTAAGGGAATTACTGGAGTGGGATAATATGTATGGTCATGTATTTTGGCAATGATGAATTTAGCCTCTGGTAAGCATTTACTCTGAATTTCTGTAGTGCTCCTACTTCGCTGTCTTTAGATGAAGTTCTATTTTTGAAATATCACCATGTGCCTATCTGCACATATACAATTTTTAAAGTACACTAAAATAACCCAATGTCGGCAGGGTTTGGTGGTGTTTACACATGTAGCAGGGTTACATGAGGATAATGTGATGTTTCCAAATAGCCTCTTGCTTCTAGCTCATCTATTGCAAAACTTAAAGGTAAATTCATTCCACTGCCCAAATTAAAATAAAACAAATCACTATTTCATAGATATACCCCCAATGTAAACTTGCATGCATTTAAGCATGCACTTTTTTTTTCAATTTGGGGAATATCTCACTACAGTTTGCAAAAGCTGCAGGTCTCTTGTCTTCAGCCTTTTCAAGCCCTTCCCCTTTTCCCCCGCACAGACTTTCTGTGGCTGTCCAATCACAGACCTCTTTGCAAGATAGGTGCTCTGAGCAATTGCTGCCTCTTGGGTTTAGCTCCACTGAGCTAATCAAACCAGGAAGTAACAGGATCTGTTGTTTGATCAAAAGCCGGGTTGTAACAAGGTTGGTTTATAAATGTGTCAATCTCTACTTTATATAAAATGAAAATGAGGACTCCGTCTTAATACATAAAGCAGGGGTAAAGATGAGTATTTGAACTTTTAAGACGTTTTAATGTAAGTTTAGCTTATTTTAGATTATTTGATAATATTCACAATGTTACATAGTTACATAGGCTGAAAAGACATCCATCAAGTTCAGCTTTTCTCATATCTGTTTTTGCTGTGGAGGAAAAAGAAAACAATAATGTCCTTTTAACCTGAAACGGACAACCTGCATGCTATATGAATGAAAGTGTCCCTTTATTTTATACTTCCCTATAAAATACCAATAACTTGTGATTTCAAAATGGCACATATAGTCCACATTGGGTACCAGTCTTTTGCCATCTTCCCATCTTACTTAAACTCGCTTGTCTTTCCTATTTTTATCTTACATTTGGGTCGGATCCACATAAGCCTGTTGGATGTTTTTTGTTTTTTTCTGCTTCACTTTCACCCTTTATCCATGTTCCTGTCTTATCACACAGGTTTATACACTGAACTTTGAATTGTAATGAACTGAATAACAAAATCCAGGTTAAAATAGTTGTCTTTGAGAATTCTTTTAGCCAAACTCAAAGCTTGACTCTACTATTGGTGCAATATGAAGCTTTTTTTCCCCCGTATTATATATATATTTTTTTTAATCTTCATGTGTTAATCTTTTGGTATACCTTCTCTCCATTTCTCCTCTAACCACATTGCTCACAGTCTCGCCTCATTAGCAATTGATGTCTTCTGCTCACCTCTCTTTTTCTTCTCTCCTTTCATCGTGCTTCAATCTATCATTCTCATTTTTATTTCATTCACCTGTTACTTTATGTATTTGTGCTGTGAATTCCCCTCTCTTGCCTTCACATTGTGTCTTTAACTCCATATTCTTCTCCCTACTGGGCTCTAGGGAAGCGTTCACCCTTTGCAAGTCCTTTATTTAGTCATACACCACGGTGAACATGAGATCTGTGTCCCGAATGGCACAGATCTTCCTCCGCTGCTCTTTCTGTTCGTTATGATGCCATATCCATAGCCTGACATTCTGACAGAGCAGGATGGCACCAAGATCTCCGAGATCTCTCTTTCTCTGCATTCACAGAACTCCAAGTGATAGACCAAGTGCACCAAGACATTTCTCAGGCTTCCTACCCAAAAAAAAATGTAATTGAAGAGAGATCAAGAGGCAAATATAAACATACAAGGTGTGTTTCTCCCAGGTGTGTTGCCTGATGATGTAATAAATATATCCACGTGCCTATTATTTGGACTCTAGTTTTTATTTCACCAATAAAGTTCCATGAAATTCCATTATAATGACCCTGTTCCATCACAATTTCCATGCCCCTTGTAGATTTAACACCACATTTAACAGCTGGATGTGTGGATAATTCCCCTGCATTTCCCACTCTTCTCACTAGAGGCCAGCACTTGAAGGGAAAACTGCATTTGAGTTTACCGGTATATATGCATGTCATTGTAAGTGTATGTGTGTGATTGATAGGGTTCGTAGTGTCTACTATTTTATGTAGAACCACCTGATCTCAATGGTATTGGGAAATAAACAATTTCACTATATTAATTTAACAGAATTGCTAGCAAATACAGACTCATTGTACTGTGCTGGTTAAAGGGACACTACCGTGACCCTTAATGTTTTTATTTTTTGCTTGTGTGTTTGTTTGTTTGTTTTAGAAACCAAAGTATTTACAATACAGTGCTAAGTCCACCGCTAGTGGCTGTCATACTGACAGACATTAGAGGTGCTTCTCCTGCTCTGACCATGTCAAACTCGGTCAAGTGATGCAGAAGCCCACAGGAAAGCATTGCATACAATGCTTTTGTATGAGAAAGCTTGATTGTGCTCATGGTGCTCACTGCGCGCGCAGATTAGGTCCCCAGTGCGCAGGGAGGTGTGCAGCACTGAACCGAGCCTCAGCGCTTGGGAAAAGGTGAGTATATCCTGGCGCTTGCTTACAAATCCCTACATAATGCTGCTCCAACATACTTATCTTCCCTCATACACAAGTATGTCCCGTCGAGACCCCTGCGCTCAGCCCAAGACCTACGCCTATCCTCTGCCCGGTTCCCCACCTCTGATGCTCGCCTTCAAGACTTCTCCAGGGCTGCACTTATTCTGTGGAACTCCCTTCCCTCCTTAATCAGACTTTCACCCAGCCTCCACTCCTTCAAAAAATCTTTGAAAACTCTCTTCTTCATTAAAGCGTATCAATTAAACTGTCAGCAGGTTTCTCATCCCCCACCCCATGACTTCTTTCCTGCAACTGTCAAAAATGACCTACCAAGCACTCAATAAACCCTTCTCTAACAAACTATGTAATTCCCCTACTTTAACCCTTTGTGTCACTATACCCCACTCCCTCTAGCATGTAAGCTCATCGAGCAGGGCCCTCAACCCCCTCTGTTCCTGTACGTCCAGTGGTCTGATCTCAATTATGTGTCTGTTAGTCCTCCCATTGTACAGCGCTACGGAATTTGTTGGCGCTATATAAATAATAAAATAATAATATAATTAAAATGTAAAATTTTTATGGCAAACTGAGCGGGACCTTCATAGATCTATGGACAAGGACATTGTAGCATTAGGAAATACAGGTTTGTGCTCCTAATGCTGTAGTGTTCCTTTAATAAGCTAAAGGGAAAAACGAAATTTTCCGGGATATCACATTCTTACGTGGTGCTCAACAGTATGCATGTGAGTCCATGAATATCTAGTGGAACTGGAACATTTAAAGGAAACCTACTGGACAGAGGTCAGAGAAACAGACGGATCTTATAGTCCTGAAAAAAATTACTATTTTATTTGTTGTTAAGTTTAATAAAGTTAACTTGCCTAGTTTCCAGCGCCCAGACTTCTCTGCTGCTGCCGCCGTCCGTTCAGCCTCCGTCTTCATCAGCAAGCCAGCTGACGTCTCCCGTATTCTCATCCAATAGACAAGAGAAGCATAGGGGAAGAGATATGAATGCGCGACAAAAAGCAACGAATGCCCAATCAAATACTCTCATGCTCTGATCAGCATTTGATTGAAAAAACAATTCTGACTTGGTTCTCACAGAGGAAGCTTCACTGGTGACTGTCAGGAAGATAGCCACTAGAGTTGTGTTTAACCTTGCAATGAAAATATTGAGGTTTCTATAGAACCGCAATGTTTTACATTGCATGGTTTAAACACAGGTACACTGCACCCAGTCCACTTCATTGAAATGATGTGGTCTGAGTGCCTATAGTGTCCCTTTAACGTTTCTTCAATTACATCTCCCATAAACATCCACCAATCAATTTGCTTTCCTTGTGGCCGGGCTAGGTTTATGCAAAAGATAGACATCACTTTGGACTCATTCTGCCCCCTAGTTTTCTTGGAATAATTTAAGTTTGTTCTTAAACAGAAATAACATGACATGATATTGCAGCAATAAACGGGCTCAGATGTCTGCCTATTGGATTTATATGATTGGGAGGTATTGCCATTAGAAACTCAGCCTCGTAGTCAAGAATGCTTGAATTCCAATAAATGTTTGTTAAAGTGTATTACAAAACAGTGTGTTCCACTGAGAATTTAGGACAACATAGCCAACTGAAAAAATATTCTGTTCATCATATATCCAGAGACACTGTCACACGTGGGTTTCAGCACAACCTGTTCACTAACTAAAAAGTTAGCTAACTGTTTCCTTTTTAAATACTGTTTATTCGTTTTTAATTCACATCAAATGCTTGGCTGTTGTAACTGAGCCAGAGCATAACATGCAAATAATTTTAGCTGCCATAATGTTAACGTGTGGGAGCCGTGAGGTCACATGTGTGCCTACAGAACTTTTGAAAGAATGCCCATTTTTTTCCACTCAATAAATAATCTCAAAGCCCTCGAAGTGTTCAAACTACAGGCAGGTTCATTGGATCAAAAGTAGCAGAGCAACAACGTTTCACCCTAATAAGAGGTTGATAAAGATGTCTTAGGTTGAAACGTAGTTGTTTTGCTACTTTTGATCCAATAAACTTGCCAGCGCTTTCTTCTCTTGCCTTATCGTTGTGGGATTTGCTGGTCCTGCTTCAGTGCACCTAATGTAAACGGGAATTAAGTGCGGTTCCTTTTTGATTTTGATTAAAAAAATATTTTTTTTACTGAAGTCTCATTGGGAAAACCTCTTTTTTGAAGAGTCCTGTTAATAGAAAACTGTAAGCACCAAAGCCACTACAGTGCACTGTAGTGGTTATGATGCTGGAGTGCCCCATTGTAAGTAGTCTATACGTTTTAGAATGGGCACCGTGACCCGTCTCCTTTACAGCTCAGTGGGAGACAGAAACCTCTCTTCACTGAATTGGTTAGGAGCTATCAGCTAATGCCGTCAGGTGGTTTAGAAGCGTCTGGTCATTCCGCCACACTGACGAGTAAGTCTGTGCCAGGGAAGAAGAGGGGACTTGTAGTAGCTGGGAATTTCCAAAGCTGATCTTGTCAACCATGTGTATCCGAATGACATTTCCTTGGAAGAAACAATTATAGAATAGATATCCAAGGCTGCTTTTTAGTTTTGTGTTTTGGTGACAAAATATTGATTTCATATATTTAGAATCCTGCTTTGAATATTTGGCTATGAGATATTATTGTTCCTGAATTGTGGTAAAACGCCATATTGTGTTTATAGCACATACCTAAGTGCCAGTGACTCTCATGTTGTATACATTGATTTTGTGCATTTCCCCTTCACAATATGAATTCATTTGGGACCTGTACACATTGTACAGCATATGTAATATGTATAAGTAGCTATGTGGAAGGCTGTTATAGGATTACACAAAAAAGTACTTTAAGTAGAATAGAACTGAGTGGAGCCCAGTAAGTGGCCATTATTCTCCCAGGAAGGGATTGCTGTTGCCATGGAGGTTTGCAGAAAATGTTGGAGTTCCGTTGGCTCTCACTCAAAATAAATCACAGATTGCTACTGGCTTCAAGGATTTAGAAACTGTATTCCTAGTTGGAATCCTATGATTTATATAATTATCCCATCTTAAAAGTGAGCTGGTTGTCCATATCAGTTCTGTAGGCAATTTGCCATAATGCATTAGTTCCATGCCCCATGCTTGTATGAATTTCTTCTCATATGTCTTGCATGGCACAATTTGTAAAATGAAGAATAAGTAAAGAGGAGAAAAGGGGGGTGGGGGGGAATGAAAAGCTCTACTCGACTACAACCATCTCCCAACTGTCTAGAATTAAGCTCCCGTATCAAAAATTCTAGCGGTGAGATTGTAATGATGGTAAGTATGTCTGTTTGACGAGTACCAAAGCCCAGGGTGGGAGCCTCAGGTAACCAATTTAGGATGGATAGTCCCTATTTTAGGTCCAAATCATTTTGTACCTCTTTTGTGCCTTAAGGTCCCTCTTTTCTAGACAGATCATTAACACCCCATAATGTTTTGAACCTACAGTAAATGTGTTTAGAAATCAGTCAATGTAAATAAGATACATTGTTCCTGTTCTAAATTACATTTTAGTTGCAGAAATTGTTACCACTAAATTACCTAAAATGTCTCAGACAGGTCCCAAATTAAAGTGTCCCTCTTTGTCCATTTGAAATGTTGGGACGTGTGGTGTTGGTATAATTTTGATGAGTCCCTTCACTTTTGGTAAAATAGTTTTCAAATAGTTTGTCAAAAAATAGGCTCTCCTAACACCCAAACTCTGGCCTCTCTGCGAGGACAGGTACAATAAGGAACTTCATTAACTTCTCTACATATCTCAAAACAGAATGCACGTGTTATGGTTGATTATATATTTCCTACCTATTCTATGTTAAACTTTGTGTATATTGTGTATAAACCCCTTAAGGACACATGATATGTGTGACATGTCATGATTCCCTTTTATTACAAAGGTTTGGTCCTTAAGGGGTTAAAGGGCCACTATAGTGTCAGGAAAACATACTCGTTTACATACTCCTTGGGTCCCCCTCACTCACTGGGCCCCCCTCCCGCCGGGCTCTAGGGTGAGGAAGGGGTTAATCCCTTACCTTTTCTCGAGCACCCGGCTCCCTTGGCGCTGGTGAAACTCCTCCTCCTTTCCGTGTCATGCTGAATGCGCATGCGCGGCACAAGCCACGCGCGCATGCAGTCAGTCCATAGGAAAGCATTCTCAATGCTTTCCTATGGACGCTGGCATCTTCACACTGTGAAAATCACAGTGAGAAGCGCCTCTAGCGGCTGTCAATGAGACAGCGACTAGAGGCTGGATTAACCCATAGGTAAACATAGCAGTTTCTCTGAAACTGCTATGTTTAAAGCAGGCAGGGTTAATCCTAGATGGACCTGGCACCCCGACCGCTTCATTGAGCTGAAGTGGTCTGGGTGCCTATAGTGGTCCTTTAATATTGTTTTTGTATTTTATTGTACCATAATGTATCAATGCAATGTTTTGTGGACCCAGAACATACTTGAAAATTAGAGAAATCTCAATGTATCTTTCCTGGTAAAATATTTTATAAATCAATAAATAAATAATATTTGTACAAATCGGTGTGCATTCTTGTACAAAAATCAGAGGGGGCATCCTTATAACAAACAACTGTAGGGCCTTTGGACGATTTTAAAAGTGCATGTATGATCTTAAATAGCCATTTTAAACATGTAGCATTTGCCCTAGTTGTTCCCAATATATCTTACGTTACACATTTTATATAATGTTTAAAGCCTGTTATTTTTAGTTTCAGTGACAGGTTCACTTTAAGATGCAAAGTTTACATAATCCCAACAGAGACACTATCCAAGCATAAATTCAACCCTTCTCATCCCAAAATAGCACTTACACAACATCGAGAATAGGGATTTACAGGCAGAATTCTTCCTATGCAGCCATTACCGTGGTAAAGAAGTGTGCTGAGTGCTGATTAACTGATTTCCTCGCATGACGCGTCATTGAAGTGAAAACCAACTGCTCTGATCTCTGCAAAAGTGCAAATTTGTACTGACCCCTTCCCTGAAAGAGACAGGCAGAGTTGTTAAGGTTGGTCTGATTAACATGTCATTAACAACTTAAAGGTGAAATTCTGTCCATTAACTGAGCACTCTACTGTGTTAACAAAAAGATCTGTCATTTCCTTTCCTCTTCAGTAGTTCTAAGTATGGTGAAAGCCACAAAAAACATTCCTGTAATCAATGCAGTCTCCCTGTGTCACATGATCACGGGCTCTTATTATTCAGACCCGTAAAAATTAAGAAAGGGGAGAAATGTCATGTGATTTTAATATTGCAATCAGGAAGGGAAGCCGATGAGGTAAAATCGTTTCTACATTTACACAATAATTTGAAAACGGGTTTATATTTGAAGCCTCGCCCCAGCATATAAAAAGAACTAAGAACGTTCTGCTTTAAATTGTCTTAGCATCGTGGGAGATGGAGTCCACATCAGCTGGCGTGATAAAGTTAAAGGGCTACCCAACCACCATGACCACTTCTGCTTTTAGGGAGTCTGTATGTGCAGTGTTTCTGCTTAAAATGCTGCACTTACAGAGATATTTACATTTGGGTGCCTGGGGTTAGTTGCACGTAGGCAGCTGGTAATTCTGTTGCGCCCTACATAATGTCAGTTCTGTGCAAAAAACACATCTGTTTTCAACGTGCCGGCAAATGGTGGCAATTTGCTTCTCCCCTCTCAGCACTGCCTGCAAGGTAAAACCGTGATTATTCCATCTTTTCTACCTCCCTGCCGCCCTGCATTGATCATAGTTTAATTTTTTTTTTTAATTCCCTCGCCTACCTGGCTCAGAGGGTGTGAATGTGCTCTGAGCCGGTGGAATGGTCCAATTAAATGTTGATGCTACTCTAAACATTTTTTCTTACTTTTGAGATTTTGGTGTGCCTTTTGACCTTGGATGGATTCGGATAGCCCTGTTGTAACATACTTTAATCCGCTTTCTTGGTGAGAAAGCCTTGCATGCTGCTCATTCCACACATTCTTCAATGCCTAATGAGACTGCTTTTGTGTCTGGTGGAGGTAACACAGAGGTAAAAATATAAATGATGAAAATTAGCTCAGTGTGAAGAAGGAAACAAAACGATAAAACAGTTATTTCATGTTTGGGTTTTCACAACACATTTTATAAAATTGTCATTTACAAAAACAAAATAATTTGTACTGTACAACAGCAATGTTTTCAGTAGCATATTCAAAAAAGGTTCGACATGGCCACTTGATTTTGATCGTGGTCTGGGTGCCTATTGTGTCTCTTTAAGACGAAGGGTTAAATACCTGTCCGCAAATGCTATAGGGGTATTTTTATTATTATACATGGGATTTACTGCAAGCCTGAGTTCTAAATTAGACCTATCTGCTTCCAGTAGTAGCAAACCAGTCAAAGATCTCATCTCAATATACTGCTGAGACAGCTCTAACCAAACTGACCAACAATTTGATTGATTACTTTACTCTAATTCTTCTTGATTTTTCTGCTGCTGTCGACATTGAGGAATATCAGCTTCTTTTTCTCGCCCTCTGCAATCTGAGTTGACACGACTACTTTTTCATCGTTCTTATCTTACTTCTACCAATACTCATTCAATGTATTTTTTTCCTGGTATATCCACCTCACCCTACCTCTTTTAATCGGCATTCCCAAGGATTTGTTCTGTTTTCACTATGCACAACTTCTCTGGGTGATCTGATCATTTACTTTGGATTCCAGTGTTACGTTTCTGATTGCTTACACCCAAACCTACCACATTTCTCTTGACCTCTCTCAATTCCTCCCGTAACATGCCACCAGTTGCCTCTCCTCTATTTGTGACTGGAAGAGTGGCCATTTTCTGAAACTCATCCTTTTAAAAGTATAAAATCTCTTCCTGCAAATTCTCGTCTCTTTCTGCACCTTTCCCTTCAGGTCTGTGGTACTGACATTAATTCTTCTTTAGACTCACTGACTCGTTACCAGGGTTGTCCTCCTGCAATCCATAATGAATGCAACTGCCCACCTTCTCTTCCCACTGTCCGTCATTACTTTGGTCCCTCTATACTTTGTAATTACAGGTAAAGGTCTCCATGACAGTTTACCGAACTACCTGTCTTCACAAATCTATTTCATCACATCCTCTCCACTCTACTGATGGATTGAATACTTACTTTGAGAAGGTACATCAACTAGCAAGTTAAATGAACACATGAAACCCCTAAAACACGTCAGCTTGCTAAATATGTTTAGGAGTTCACAGTGTTTCCTCTTTGTCATTAATCAGCACTTTTTTATAAAGTGACCAGATTGCAGCCGCTTGGCTTTCACTCAGACAGCACTATCAGAAGACAATACTACTAATCAAGTATAATGCATCCTGCGCCTCAATGCTTCTTTTGGAGATGCATCAGATTGTCCGTGGGGATCATCAGTACTGATGACCTCCCAGTGGGTGTCGGGAAACTGGGACAAGAGACCTTCTCACCACTGGATTAAGAGAAGTTAACTCTATTTACATGTTTTGGGGTATAAGTTTGCCCAGGAGACTACCTAACTCTTCAACGTTTTAAAGAAATATAGTCTACATAGTATAGGTAACTTCTTTACCGGACGCATGTTCTTCGTTTTCATTAATCCTAGCTTTTCCTTTTTTTCCATATAATCTTTACAGACGTATGTAATTAATACACCTACAATCCATTTTCGCTTTAATTAGCATGTACTTTGCCATTCTTTTTTTGTAGTTTTTTCCCCTCTTTTCGTTTATAAGCTCATTAGAGCAATGCTGTCACCACCATTTTTCTATGTCTTTTCGAACCTACTTGTGTGTCTTATCCATCCATTGTACAGCTTACATTCACATGTATTTGCAGGTATATTGCACCCATCATCCATTTAGGCCAGTGATGTGTTCCTTAGGATAATACGGCAATGTTACTGCTTTTGATTTCTCATTTTAGCTGCAAGGTCTAAATACACAACCATACATCATACCTGTTTTGGGAAAACAGTCCATTGCCAACACAAAGGTCCTGTTAATACTCCATATATAGGGACTGTATGTGAGATCAGAGTATTTTTACAGCCAGCAGATTGATACTATAATCAAAACTGCAAAAAGTCTCTAAGCTGGCTCTGCTTTCATTCCTCCTACCTTGGCCTTAAAGTTTAAATTCACTTAAATTCTCACTTCAGTGAATAACCCTGTAGGTCTCCTAACATTGTACAAATCCTGCCTCAAGTGGGCTGCGGTCAGTGAAATGTGGGCTATGCCTAGGGTTACCAGATCCACCATGTTTTCAGGGACACCTATCAAAAATACATATTGACGGGCAGCACATGAAAAGGGTTGCCCTGTAGTATGTAGAATTCAGAAGAAGGTGTATAAGATTAATTAAGAGTAATTAGGCAATGAAGAATTCTGCGATCATGGTAGATCTGGTAACTCTAGCTATGCCACAAAAATAATATAAAAATAGTAGATGTGGTGGACACCCGGATAGGAATACTGGTTTCGCCGCCAGAGATGTCTTTTTCCCCCTGGTAGCAAACTCTGCTGTAGCAAACCTGGACCCTGTAGCAATCACGAGTATTTTTTCCCATTAGCGATAATCCAATAGCCAGTACAGCTTTCCCCCACAGGCATTAGTCGACACTGAATGATGGGGGTGAACTGGTTTATTGGAGGCCAAACACTGCCTTTTATGCAACAGCCCCTGCAAGTGGTTTCTGACTCAACTTTACAGGGTAATCCCTCCCATAATCCTCTGGACTATTGGAAAATAAACATCTAAATTAAATTATCTCTCAGGTACAGAACATGTACAATTTTTATACACCCCAAAATACACACAACACAATCAGGTACCACCTCAAGTCTTATATCCCGGATAGCCTGAATCTGAGCGCACAACATATTCAGATCCCACAAACGCAGCCAAAATGCCACCAAGGTAAAGTTCTGACCGACCGAACACGAGGCTCCTGCCCAAAATAGTTCCATGGAATCGGTGTTAGCAGTCGATGTCTTTCGGGGGTATGAAAACACACAAAATACCAAACGTAGTTCTTAGCCCGTATGCGAATTACGTGTCCCTCATTCGTGGGGATGCTCCCACTGAACAGTGTTCTTTTCAGATGAGTAGAAACAAACGCAGGCAAGAATGGAAGTTCAACGGTGTTCGGGAAGTCGAGTGTCCGATTTTAGTTCCATGCACTCGACGACCCAACGACAACTGCCTGTATTCGCAGCACAAAATGGCCGCCACCACATGTTCGTACATACGAATGGTGACCACCCAGCAGACCGTTTAGAACACTTCGGTTACAATCGTTATTGAGGTGTTGACAGGAGTGATGGAGGTTAACAAGCAGCATACGGGTGGTCTGGTAGTTTGTGGTTTTGTTCGTTATCCAAACAAAACAAGAATAAAACTTGGGTGAAAACAGTTTACCCAACGAACCGGAGAATAAAAAGGGGATTTAGTAATCCAGTGACAGGGTGTTCTGTCACAGTAGCAAATGCTAGATCAGGTAGGTTCCTAGAAGTTGTAGAAGGCTGGCACAGCATCATGCGAGTTGTAGTTTTTATTCCACAAACAATGGGAAAATGATAATACAAATACACACGCTGTGATGGGGCAGGAAGAAAAACAGCTTAACACGTTTTGGACATAGAGTCCTTGCTTCGTAAGCTCCCTGACATTTCCTTGTATCTGTTGGTTACTGGGTTCTTAAGTGCCAGGAGTTTGCACCTTGCCATAATAACTTGCTTCCAACGTGAGGTAACCCGCTATATATACCCGCAGTCCAATAATAAACACCAGCCTGCTATTTATGTGTGGAATGCAGAGCAGCAAATGGCTGTCAAGCTGCAGAGCAGCACAGTGTGTCTCTACCTGTGTATATGTCTGTGACTCTTTGTGTATATTTTTATATATGTTGTGGTGGCATTATTTTTCCTCAATACACGTTTTAACATTTACAGATTTTTAGGCTAGGTTAGTGTTTGGCCTAGGGGTATTGTGTTAGGGTTTGTGTGTTCAGATTAGTGTTAGGGTTGTGCGAAGATAGGTTTAGAGGCTGAAATTTACTGTTCGGACAGCAGTAGTGAATTTATGTCCTAGAACTGTCTGTGATTAGTGGGAGCTACAGTCCAGGGTGGTATGGAACAAGCTGGATTAAAATAAAAGGTGGTGACGCTTGTAGTATTACTCCCACTAAGCTCGAGCGAATGTCCCAGTTCTGGTGAAGATTTGGGCCCCCAAAATGCACAGAGGTGATTCGGGCTTTATTACCTATTAGTTATGGCAAATAAAAAAGGATTCTAAAACATTATATGCATATCATGTTATTTATATTTGTGTGTGTTTATAGATAGATCATATTTGTGTAATACAGAGAGAGAGAGAGAGATAGACGTTATCATTCATGATAAACCAAGAGAAGAAATATCTCAATAACCCGAAGATGGCCTTATTTGCGCCTAATATACTCTTTAAAAATCAGATTTTTGGGGCAGCGTTTAGTGTGTTAACGTTAGAGCTAAATTTAGAGTCCTTGTCTTTTTTAAATCTTAGGGCCAGTGCTGGCACATCCAGGAACTGATGTGCTGAGATTAGTGGGAGTTAATCTCAGACAGCATCGATTTATTGCAGTAATATATTTATATACACATACGTGTATATACATTACATTGTAGTCTATCTCTTTAAATGCGTGTGTGTGTGTGTGTGTGTGTGTGTGTGTGTGTGTGTGTATGCGTGTCTGGCTGTCTGCTCTGTTCCTCCCTGTTAGTATAGGTTCCCACTCTCCATCCTATAGTTATTTCTGTCTGTTCCTGCGTGGATTGTACCTCAATAAGAATAAAAAAATTAGATCTATTTATTTTTTTAAATAAATCATGAATTAATCTGAATTTATTTTTTTTTAATCTAATTTTGTTTATTTTATTTTTTTCTTCCTGGGGAATTCATATATTTGTGTTCCCTGTCCATCTATCTCTACATCTATATATTATTTTGGAGTACATGTCTATATGACACTGTTACATTGCCTGTATTTTTGGTTGGGCATCGGATGTATATAATGTATACTGTGTACCGCAGTCTGGTAGCCGTTCTCCTTAATCCCTTGGCACTGGCAGCCTTTGTCCGCATGTATACACACCCTCCGTCTCAGTATAGTATTATATTTAGGGTGGGGGGATTATTGCCGAGATCCATGGGCTCAGGGCAGTAAATCCTGACCCACCAAATTGTATATATGTAAATAACCAATTCACTCTTCATATATATATATATATATAAAATTTTATTTTTGTAGACTAGAGTACGTATATAGCTTGTATCTGCCTCTCCCGTCCCCCCCCTCGTCCCCCCCCATCATGTAAAGCTGGTTCTATTGTTTGTGTCTTTACTGCATCCAGTCATCCAGCTTCTGACCTCAACTCCCAGCATCCTCAGTGCTGTATTTAGACAGGTAGAGCAACTGTAACTGGTCTCAGCTCCACATTCCCTCCATGCATGCAACATTCACACTGAACTTCACGCAGATACACAAACATACACAATCTTCGCCCCATGTGTTTGATGTCTCCCCCCCACCTCCCCAGTTTATTTGTCTCTTGTGTGACAGCCAGGCTGTGTTATTCCTGAGCAGTCCTTATCCCCCAGAGCTCTCTCTTCTCTCCCTCTCGCTCTCTCCTGTCTATTTTTATCTGGCTCCTCCTTTCAGTTCTATTTCAGTCTCTGTGCTGCAGAACCTTCCACTTGCAGCCCAGCGTTCACTAGGCAGGAGGGGGAGGGAAGGGTGCAGGCCTAACGAAACCTCTACCCACCTTCTAAACACCCTGGACACTGCCACCCCGACTTCGGACATGGATTAACTGTCCTCCGTGGGCGCCCTGAGCCTCTCTTGAAGAAGACACAAAAGTTGTGGGCTTGTTGGGAGAAGGGTGGACTTTTTAAATTTTTTATTTTTGTGGTGAAGACAGTTGGTTGCTGGTGGAGGGCAGGATTGGGAGAGTTGGGGAATGTTGCTGGTTCCCAGGGCCCTGGCGCTGCCTGATATGCTGCAGACTATCTATGAGACAGAGCCCTGTATGTCCTCTGCAGATGGAGTGAAGGGGCGAGAGCCAGCGCTGGAGCTCCTGAGCCGGGCACAGGGACACACGCTGCCTGCTGCAGGTGAGTAGAACCCCACCTCTGCTTCCATCATTCCTTTCATCCACGGGGAATTACTCCTGTTACAAACAGAAAGTCTCCCGTCACTCTACATCCATCTCTACAGAGAACAGAGTCCACGTCTCCATTGATTGAGAGAATCAAGCTCCACTCTCACAAATAAACATGCTGATCTGTAGGAGACTTTAACTATCTCTCTCTGTGCTCTGTCCATTAAACTGTTCTCTTTCCTCATTTGTTGACACTTTCACTTCTCCACCTGTTATATGAGCATGTTTTCTTAGCCCCTCTCACCAATTCTCTCAGGTCCACTCCGTTCTTGATGATCAAGGACTGTCCTAGACACTTGTAAGCCTTTTGTGTTCTGCCCGATATTTCTAGCAATTTGCAGGTATTGGCTCATCCTTTGCTTATAATTCAGGACCTCTGTTTTCCATATGTTGAACATTAGGTCTCAGTAATTAACACTGCATGTTACCCTGTCTGTAATAACATCATAACCTTTATTCCTGAAGCAACATTTGAACTCCATACAGTCCCACAAATCGATCTGCCCTACTCCCCTTCTCCAGTACTGAAAGGTGTCCAGAAATTACCCTCACATACTATGTTTTAATGCTGGTTACACTATAAGGGACCGACTTGTTAATGAACACATCATATTTCTCTTACACCCTGTAGATACCCCCGTTTTCCCTCATGTGTACCCTGTGACTGTGCTCCCCTGAGTACTCTTACAAACCCCCAGTTCTTCCTCACTGCGTATTTTCTGGGTTCCCCCAGTGAATCCTCTGGGCTTCCTCTGGGCTCCCTTGGTTCCCCCCATGCTTCCTTTGGGCTCCCTTGGTTCCCCCCGTGCTTCCTGTAGGCTCCCTCGGTTACCCCCATGAATCCTCTGGGCTCCCTAGGTTCCAACTGTTCGTCCTCTGGGCTGCTTCGGTTCCCCCTGGATGTACTTTGGGATCCCACGATTCACCCTGTGCATCCTCTGGGCTCCCTCTGTCTCCCCTGTGCATCCTCTGGGCTCCCTGTCTCTCCAGTGGTTACTCTGGGCTTCCCCTGTGCATCCTCTGGGCTCCCTCTGTCTCTCCAGTGGTTACTCTGGGTTCCCTCTGTCTCCCCTGTGCATACTCTGGGCTTCCTCTGTCCCCCCTGTGCATACTCTGGGCTCCCTCTGTCTCCCCTGTGCATTCCTTGGGCTCCCTCTGTCTCCCCTGTGCATCCCTTGGGCTCCCTTGTATCCCCCTGTGCATCCCTTGGGCTCCCTTGTATTCCCCTGTGCATCCTCTGGCCTTCTTTTTATCCCCCGTGCTTCCTTTTGGCTGCCTCAGTTCACCCTGTGCATCTGCTGCAGCCCCTCTATTCCCCCTGTGCATCCTCTGTGCTCCCTTAGTTCCACCTGCCCATCCTTTGGGGCTCACCTCTATGTACTTTGGGCTCCTTTGATTTTCCCTGTGAATCCTTTTGGGGATCCCCCTGTATGTAGTTTGGGCTACCTCTGTTTCCTGTTCGTCTTCTGGGCTGCCTTAGTTCCCTCTGTGCATCCTCTGGGCTCCTTCAGTTCCCATGTCATCGTCTGGGCTTCCTTTATTCACCCGGTGCATTGTCTGGGCTCCCTTTATTCACCCTGTGCATTGTCTGGGCCCCTGAATTCCTTCTGCATCCTTTGGGGTCCCCCCTGCATGTACTTTTGGTTCCACCTCTGCATCCTCTGGGCTGCTTCAGTTCTGACTGTGCATCACCTGGGCTCCCTCTGTTCTCCCCTGTGAATTCTCTGGGCTCCCTTGGTTTCCCCTGTGAATTCTCTGTGCTGCTCCGGTTCCTCATGTGAATCCTCTGGGCTATTTCGTTTCCTCCTGTGTATCCTTTGAGGTTCCCCCTGTATGTAGTTTGGGCTACCTCAGTTTTCCTGTTCATCTTCTGGGCTCCTTCAGTTCCTCCTGTGCATCCTTGTGGCTGCTTCAGTTCCCCCTATGCATTGTCTGGGCTCCCTGAATACCCTCTGCATCCTTTGGGGTTCCCCCTGTATGTACTTTCGGCTCACTCAGTTCCCCCTGAACATCCTCTGGGTTGCTTCAGTTCTGACTGTGCAGCCCCTGGGCTCTCTCTGTTCCCCCCTGTCAATCCTCTGGGCTCCCTCGGTTTCCCCTGTGCATACTTTGGGCTACCTCTGTTCCTCCTATGCATCTTCTGGGCTCACTCAGACACTCTGTGCATCTTCTGGGTCTCTCGGTTCACCCTGTGCAACCCTGGGGCTCCCCAGTACCCCTTGTGCATGCTCTGGGGTTCCCCCTGTATGTACTTTGGACTATCTCAGTTACCCTGTGCATTCTCTGGGCTACCTCGGTTTCCTCTATGCATCCTTCATTTCCTACTGGGCATCCTCTGGGCTGCTTTAGTTCTGACTGTGCATTCTCTTGGCTTCCTCAGTTATCCCTGTGCATCCTTTGTTGTTCCCCCTATATGTACTTTGGGCTAACTCAGTTACCCTGTGCATCTTCTGGGCTCCCTCAGTTCACCCTTTGTATTCTTTGAGGTTCCCCCTGTATGTACTTTGGACTTCCTCAGTTCCCCCTGTGCATCCCCTGGGATCCTTAGATTTCCCCATGTATTCAATGTATTTCCCAGTTCTCTTGTGCATTCTCCAGTTCTCCCTCTCAGAGTATCCCTTGGGCTTCCTCACATCCTTCTGTGCTTTGCGCCTATTCTGGGCTCTCTCATTTCCCCACTCCCTTTATCCACTGGGCTTCCCCAATTCCTTTCTGTGCATCCTCTACGCCACCAGCTCTCCCCCCTGACATCCTTTGGGCTTCCTGATCCCTTTCCCAGTCTGTTGACTCTCCCGATCCCCAATCCCCCCTGTGCTTCTTATGGTCTCCCTTGTTTTCATGTGTTTACTTTGAAGCCCCAAACCCATGCTTACCCTTGATCCCCAAGTCTTTCCTTATTTTCCATCAGCTTCTCTCAATTTCAATTGTACTATATTTGATCTCCCTGAATTTCTTCACCCATTCTTCCTTTGGATTTCCCAATTAACCCCCTTGGTCAATTTGAGCTCCCCGATTTCCTCTAGTGCACCCCAATTTCCTCACATGCTACCTATGGGATTCTTCTGATCACCCCAACTGCCCTCTCCCTATGCCCATCACCTATGCCCTGCTTATTCCTTTTTTTTTTCTACCCTGGGCTCTCCTGGATTAAAACTCATTTAAAGTCCCACTACATTATCTCTCCTCCCCTAAATCTGCTTTGGGTCACCACTCATCCCTCATTTGCAGGTTATATTGAGTCTTAATCCCCTCCCAAATTTGGAGATTGAAATGCTATGCATTCACCTCCCCAACACTAGTAATGCTTTTGCCTTCAAACATTCACTATTATTAATTTCACAAACCAGATAGTCACTGAATTTCAATGACAGACACACTTCTCATTCCATAGGGTCTATATGTCCACATCACAGACCCGAATTGCTGTCTCTGTACCTCCATTTACAGGCTGTTTTTCAGACATATTCAGCCTCTCTTCTGACCTTATCTAATCATTCTTTATCATGTCGCTGTACCACATACCCATCTAATACACAATCATCATGCTTCTCACCACCTAATATAAAGGCAACAGGACACATGACATACCCCTCACAACCTTCTTAAATATAAACACATCAGCACTCAAATCTTTCACTTTATCATTATATGCAGTTATCAGGATACTTATATCTCACCGCTGGTTAATCCAAACATAGATATCTCTCACCTCCTCCTAATAACACGTATCAGAGCATGAACTGCTTGCATTCTCCAAATACACCATTGCCAAGAAACATCTCTCATGTCTTCCTAATACACATACATAGGGGTGATTACCTTTCACCTCCTAATCCACATACCTCACAATACATTGCCTCTAACCTCATAATCCACAGACTCCAGCACACATCACCTCTCACCACCTAATCCAGACCCCGGTACACCTCACCTCTTAATCCACAGACCCCAGGTTACATCACCTCCTAATCCAGACCCGAGCACACATCACCTCCCACCTCCTAATCCAGACCCAAGCACACATCACCTTCCACCTCCTAATCTAGACCCCAGCGCACATTACCTCTCACCACCTAATCCAGACCCCAGGACACATTACCTCTCACCTCCTAATCCAGACCCCAGCACACATTACCTCTCACCTCCTAATCCAGACCCCAGGACACATTACCTCTCGCCTCCTAATCCAGACCCCAAGACACATTACCTCTCACCTCCTAATCCAGACCCAAGCACACATCACCTTCCACCTCCTAATTCACAGACTTTACGATACATTACCTCTTGTCTCCTAATCCAGACCCCAGCACACATTACCTCTCCTCTCCTAATCCAGACCCCAGCACACATCACCTCTCACCTCCTAATTCACAGACCTTACGATACAGCACCTCTCACCTCCTAATCTAGAACCTAGCACACATTACCTCTCACCTCCTAATCCAGACCCCAGCACACATTACCTCTCACCTCCTAATCCAGACCCCAGCACACATTACCTCTCACCTCCTAACCCAGACCCCAGCACACATTACCTCTCACCTCCTAATCCAGACCCCAGCACACATTACCTCTCACCTCCTAATCCAGACCCCAGCGCACATTACCTCTCACCTCCTAATCCAGACCCCAGGACACATTACCTCTCACCTCCTAATCCCAGCACACATTACCTCTCACCTCCTAACCCAGACCCCAGCACACATTACCTCTCACCTCCTAACCCAGACCCCAGCACACATTACCTCTTACCTCCTAATTCACAGACACACATTACCTCTCACCTCCTAATCCAGACCCCAGCACACATTACCTCTCACCTCCTAATCCAGACCTCCTAATCCAGACCCCAGCTCACATTACCTCTCAGGTCCTAATCCAGACCCCAGCGCACATTACCTCTCACCTCCTAATCCAGACCCCAGGACACATTACCTCTCACCTCCTTGCAATACACATGCCACAGGACAAAAACCTCTCACGTCCTCCCAATACAGATGCCAAATCACATCCCTCTCATATACCCCAATATTTGTAGAAAGATTCAGTGTGTGCTATTAACTGGTGAGATATATAAAAAATTTTTCTTTCTTTTTTTGTTTTTTTTGGTGCATGAAATCCCAGAATTGTTTGTTTATTTTTTGTTTTTTTGGTTATGCCACACATATAGCGTGTGTTAATATTCAGACTTACTACAAACACATAGTAACAGATACTGCTTGGTATAATAGGGTGTTTCTCTTGGTAATGAATCCACTGCACAGTATATGCTAAAGGCAGACCAAAACCAAAGGGAAAATTAGGGGCAGCTGGTAGCTAATCAAATTGTTATAGGGCTCCCCAGGAATCCTGTAGTAAAAACAGGGGGAAAATGTATTTTTCCCCTTTTATTAAAAAAAATGGGGGTCCTTTGGACCCTTAGTAGCTAGTGAGGGTCCTATATTGTGCCCCTATACTTTAAAAAAAAATGTAGTGGGCTCTTTGGTTTTGTCAATAGCTCCCTTCCTTCAACCCATGTTTTGTTGACAGTAATTTTACCTGGCTGGAGGCAGCGAATACACTTCTGTGTGATGAACATGTAGGGCCGTGGTGGCCCATATTTTATTAGAAATACATCCCAATTCTCCTGTTTTCCCGTAGGTGAGGCCCTCCGAATTTCTCTAGCCTTAATACCACGACACACCAGTAATCCATCGTAAAGCGCATTCCTTTGGTCGTATGAGTCTACCCCCACCCCCAACACATTCTAGTGGCCTGAACACCTGGTTACTTAGTTGTTTACTACCCTAGAAGTGGGAAGGTTGTTTTGGTCCGCTATAAATGTAATTAAAATAATAAATTAATAAAACAAATAAAGAACAACAATAGCTTCATACTTAAAGGGGAACTGCCATCGTTTTGCTATTAACAAGTCTGTTTCACTTATCCCATTAACCCCTTAAGGACACATGACATGTGCGACATGTCATGATTCCCTTTTATTCCAGAAGTTTGGTCCTTAAGGGGTTAAACTTTATTGTATCGTCATCATTAACTGTGATGTTGTGTGCAGCAGAGGAACGTATAACTATAAAGCACATTGTCCTTCACAGAACAGTATTCTGTGTGCACGCAGAAGTGTTAAAAGGACATGCACATGCTGCATCATGGGATATCTGTGAATTGCATCATATACTAATGTGCTTTGATAGCTTTTAATATGATGTAAACACAATGTAAAAACAAAAAAAATGATAACTGGCATTTACTTCGTTCTCAGTTTATGCAAAAATATTCAGGATGAACCTTGTTTAGAATATTCAGCCCTTGCATCTTCATCTTCTGGCCGTGGAAAGAAGCCCTCTCCTCACTAATGACTCTCTGCCCATGTGCTATGAAGGTTTTACATTGGGTAGAGTCTAATACAGTTGTTTTCCATTATCAGTTTTGTTTGGTACTGCATTATAATGGGAACACATGGGTGGCCTAGTTGAACGGAATCTGTAGTCCTGAAAATAACAAATGTTGTTATTTCAAGACTATTCTCTCCCTTCCGCTAATACACAGACAATAGAACTCCACTCTCACCTTCTATTAGAGAGATACCAGAACTAATCCCTCTCACTTTTTGCTAATACACAGACACTAGAGCTCACCCTTCTTACCTTCTCATAATACGCGGACACTAGAACTCATCCTTCTTACCTTCTCATAATACTCGGACACTAGAACTCATCCTTCTTACCTTCTCATAATATACGGACACTAGAACTCATCCTTCTTACCTTCTCATAATACGCGGACACTAGAACTCATCCTTCTTACCTTCTCATAATACGCGGACACTAGAACTCATCCTTCTTAACTTCTCATAATACGCGGACACTAAAAACTCATCCTTCTTACCTTCTCATAATACGCGGACACTAGAACTCATCCTTCTTACCTTCTCATAATACGCGGACACTAGAACTCATCCTTCTTACCTTCTCATATTACGCGAACACTAGAACTCATCCTTCTCATAATACGCGGACACTAGAACTCATCCTTCTTACCTTCTCATAATACGCGGACACTAGAACTCATCCTTCTTACCTTCTCCTAATATGGAGACACCAGAACTGTTACCACTCATCTCATCCTAATACAAAGACACAGGGACATAAACCTCATATAGCCTAATACAAGAAATAGAAACCAGGACGCCTACCTTAGTTGCTATCAGTTTAAGAAATACCTGTGTATACACTGATCAGCCACAACATTAAAATCACCTGCCTAATATCATGCTGTGCCCCTTGTGCTGCCAGAACAACTAATGCGACAAGGCATGGACTCCACAAGACCTCTGAACATGTGGTATGGTCCTGTGGTATGTGCACCAAGACATTAGCAGAAGATCCTTTTAAGTCCAGCATGTTGCGAGTTACGGCCTCCAAGGATTGGATTTGTTGAAAATGTTCAATCAGATTGAGATCTGAGAAATTTGGAACCAAGGCAACACCTTGAACTCTTTGTCATGTCCCTTCAAACCACTCCTGAAAATTTTTGCTGGCAGGGTGCACTATCCTGCTGAAAGAGGCCACTGCCATCAGGGAACACCATTGCCATGAAGTAGTGTACATGGTCTGCAACAATCTCTAGGTTAGTGGTACGTCTCAAAGTAACATCCACATGAATGCCAGGACCCAAACTTTCCCAGTAGAACATTGCCCAGAGTATAACACTGCCTCTGCCAGCCTGCGTTCTTCCCATAACGCTTCTTGCTACCAACTCTTCCCCCAGGTAAACGACGCAGACCCACCTGACCATCCACCTGATCTAAAATAAATTGTGATTCATCAGACCAAGCAACCTTCTTCCATTGCTCTATGGTCCAGTTCTAATGTTCATGTCCGTATTTAAAGCGCTGTCTGCAGTGTATAGGGGTTACCATGGACACTCTGAAGGGCCTCCGGCTACGCAGCCCCATACACAGCAAGCTGCTGTGTTCTGACACCTTTCTATCATGGCCAGCATTAAGTTTTTCAGGAATTTAAGCTACAGTAGCTCTTCTGTTTGATCGGTCCAGACTGGCTAGCTTACGCTCCCCACGTGCATCAATGAACCTAAGGCGCCCATGACCCTGACTCCGGTTCACTGCTTGTCTTTCCTTGCACCACTTTTGAACCCACTGAAACCAGGAACACCCCACAAGACTTGCAGTTGTGGAGATGCTCTCACCCAGCTGTCTAGCCATCACTGTTGGCTGGATCAACCGCAAAAACAGATGTGAGAAAGATTGAACTTGATGGACGCATGTCTCTTTCCAGCCAATGTAACTATGTAAAGTCACTCAGATCTTTTCGCTTGCCCTTTTTCTCTTGCTTCCAACTCATGAAATTCAAGAACTGACTGTAAACTTGCTGCATGATGTATCCCACCTGTTGACAAGAGCCATTGTAACCAGGATATAATCCTATCAGTGGTTTTAATGTTGTGGCTGATCAGTGTGTATGTACATCATAATTTCCTGTAGAATTTCAAGCTCTGCACCATGTCCTATAGATACCGTCTTTCCCCGGGTCTTGTATTAATTGTCCCACCGAAAAACACACTAGGGCTTATTTTCGGGGGATGTCTTATTTTCGGGGAAACACGGTAAGTCGAAGTCCAAGAAACACTTTTACCCCTGAATTATTTACCCTTTTCTTTACTTCTTAAGTATATAATATAGTTTATAAGGACATTCACAGTGCTAGATGCTGATTTTGTATAATCCGCTATTATTGCAGTATATATTTTTTTTTCTGAGTATATACATGTATGTTTTCCCTTGTTTTTTTCCAATATGTTTATATGAATAGCAAATACATCGTAGCTACCATACACACAGTGTGATGTATCTTTTTGTCTATATATAATTCCAACCTGTATATTTTTAGCCTCAGTGATGTCTGCAGACTGCTGGAATGCTTCTCATGAACACTATCCCCCACTAACCCCTCTGCTGTGTATGTGTGTGTCTTATATTCTCAGCCGTTTCTGTCTTTCTAGATCTTATTTATTATGCACATTCTGTCTTATCGATATAGCTACCTGCTCATATTCCATATTACTCTGTCTGTCTATCAAAAGCCACGTTACCCAGCATTCTTTTCTCTCCTCCCGTTTCTAAATCACTGTCTCTTTCACTCTTTTGATGCAACTGTTTTCTCTGTTTGTCTATATTTAGCTTTGTTAATCACAATAAAAGCGCACAGGCTCTTTTTATCATACATTTCCCTTCTTTTATTTTACTGAAAAACTCCCTTACTCTGTATCTGGCTGCCTCCGTCCGTTTTCCAACTCATGCTATCGGACTGCTCCCTCGCTAATGCTCTTCCATGCCTTCTAAGCTTTTGGTCCATGATTCCGATCTACATCCCACTGCCCGTCCACCACTGTTTATACCTCCGATATCCCTCTAAATCTTGTCCCCCTTCTCCTCACATCAAGTTCCACTATTCCTATTTCTCCCATATCCTTTACACTGTCACCTATTTCTCTTTAGCTTACACTCTTTTATCTCTCTCTGATATATTTCCATCCCCTTTTGATTGTGCTTTCCCACCCCTCTCTAAAAACACTTTTCCATCATTTAGGAGATCACACTGTCCCCCCTTTTCCTTCCTTTTGGTCCACCCACTTGGGATCACAATCTGCCATACTTTTCAACCTCACACTTTGTCGTCCTTCTTAATTTCCCCCTTCTCACCCTTCAGGATCCCACTCTTTGCCATCTTCTCTCAATCAAAAGGTCCGCCATCCACCCTACAACCCATGCTCTATCATTCCCCATTCTCCCAGTGTCCCTCTTGAGTTCATGCTTTCATATCCCCCTCTCTACATTACACACTCCCAATCTCTCTACCTCATCCTTCCTATCTGTTTCTACCTAGCCCTATCTATTTCTCTCTCTGACACCTTGTACTCTGTCCCTCTCTCCTTAACATGCTCCTGTTCTTCTCTGTTTCTCTCACATACTGCCATACCTCTCTCTCACATTCTCTCCTACCCTTCTGTAGCTCGCAGTGTGCCTGTCTCTCTAGAGCACACAATGCCTGTCCCTCTAGCTCGGCGGGGGGGCCTGTGTCTCTAGAGCACACAATGCCTGTCCCTCTCACTCGCAGTGTGCCTGTCCCTCTCACTCGCAATGTGCCTCTCCCTCCCTCTTCCCTCTTGCTCTCAGTGTGCCTGTCCCTTCCTCTTGCTCGCAGTGTGCCTCTCCCTCCCTCTTGCTCGCAGTGTGCCTCTCCCTCCCTCTTGCTCGCAGTGTGCCTCTCCCTCCCTCTTGCTCGCAGTGTGCCTCTCCCTCCCTCTTGCTCACAGTGTGCCTCTCCCTCCCTCTTGCATGCAGTGTGCCTGTCCCTACCTCTGCTCGCAGTGTGCCTGTCCCTCCCTCTTGCTTGCAGTGTGCCTGTCCCTCCCTCTTGTTCGCATTGTACCTCTCCCTCCCTCTTGCTCGCAGGGTGCCTGTCCCTCCCTCTTGCACGCAGTGTGCCTGTCCCTCCCTCTTGCTCAGTGTGCCTAGTGTGCCTGTCCCTCCTCTTGCTCGCAGTGTGCCTGTCCCTCCTCTTGCTCGCAGTGTGCCTGTCCCTCCTCTTGCTCGCAGTGTGCCTGTCCCTCCTTCTTGCTCGCAGTGTGCTTGTCCCTCCCTCTTGCACGCAGTGTGCCTGTCCCTCCCTCTTGCACGCAGTGTGCCTGTCCCTCCCTCTTGCACGCAGTGTGCCTGTCCCTCCCTCTTGCACGCAGTGTGCCTGTCCCTCCCTCTTGCACGCAGTGTGCTTGTCCCTCCCTCTTGCACGCAGTGTGCCTGTCCCTCCCTCTTGCACGCAGTGTGCCTGTCCCTCCCTCTTGCTCGCAGTGTGCCTCTCCCTCCCTCTTACTCGCAGTGTGCCTCTCCCTCCCTCTTGCTCACAGTGTGCCTGTCTCTCTAGCGCACACAAAACCTGTCTTTCTAGCTCACAGTACTCCTCTTTCTCGTGCTTTAATGCTCCATCCGCTGTCTAGCTAAGCCTCTCCCATCTCTCTATTTCTTCCCTCCCGAGCTAGTTTGTGTCAGTTTTAGTCGCTCTCCCTTCTGTCTTTTGATCACACTCTCCTTCCATCACTTTTTAGCTTGCGCTCCCCTCCCCACCGCATTTTACCATCTCCTTTGTACCTCGCACTCCCCTGTCCCTCAATTCTCTATCCCTATAGCTCACTCTCTCTTATTGTCCTAGTTCACACGGTCCTATTCCTTTGTAGGTCACAATTCTTCATCTGTATATCTCCTATTCCTTTACAGCCCACACTCACCTCCCTGTATATACCATCTTTATAGCTCATACTCCTTCATCCCACTATCCACAATGCCCCTTAAGCTCAAATGCTCCTGTTTTTATTCTTCAACTCTCCCTTGAAGAGTTTCTTTTCCCTTTAGTTTTAAGTACACAGAACTCTTATTGTATTTAATACATGTTTGCCATTACATAACATTCAGATAAACGTCTTCATTCAGCCTATGAGTTCACTTTGTTTCTACATGAAACTCACCCTTTAACCTAATTAGGTTGTTACCACTGTGGATAAAATACATGAATCACCTTATTGTTTCGTGTAAGTTGAAATTCAGGGGATTAGATCACTCTTCTTGGCCTTCTTGTGTAAAATTTCCAAGTCTGAGTTTGAAAAATACCATAGGACTTGTCAGGCAATTTGCCCAACCCACTGGAACACCCCAGAATCTCCTTTCTTCTCTGAGGTCAGAGAGACCGCCATACAGCACTAGAGAAAAGACTGTAAATTGAAATACTGGGCTTAGTCTCTCTTTAAAAACCCTCTTTTCAATATGATGGTTAATTAAGGTGTACTGCAGGTGAATTCAATGACATTAGTCTCTAAATTCTATATTCCCCAGAGGCAGAATGTGTTGGTGTGCTATAAAAAATGAATAGCTAGGAAAGTTTGGTTGACAGTAACTAGGTGTCATGTTCTTCCCTAATTAGACTCCTGCTAACAACCTCTTTCTTTATTTTAAACAGTAGAGGTTAGCCCTCTGCTCTCAGCAGCGGTGCCATCTCCCAGCAGTCTCCCCCAAAGTCCTGGGGAGCTGAGGACAGAGCCAAGAGTAGGTGGCGCACCTGGAGGAACCTTGGATCCTGTGACACGGGAACAGCAACTCCAACAGCAGCTACTTCTCCTCAAACAGCAGCAGCAGCTACAGAAACAGCTCTTATTTGCAGAATTTCAGAAACAGCACGAGAATCTGACCAGGCAGCATGAGGTCCAAATCCAGAAGCACCTCAAGGTGGGGAACGTTGCCTTGCGCCATGAGTTGCCAAATGGTAGATCTTCAGATGTTGCAGCACTGCAGAATCTACCTTGCTTTATTAGCTGTAAGGCTGGCAAAGCATCATGGTAGTTGTAGTTCTACAACAGCTGGGCATCTGATTCCTGGCCTACACAGCTTTGAACCATTGCTTGTGCCTCACTAGTGACTGCTCCATCTTTGCTTCCACTGCAACCACTACTTCTGTGTCCACGTCACTGTAAAGACAGTTCGACATTTTTCTTTAATTTTTCTTCAACACTGCTCCACACAAAGAAACATCCTTCTCACCAATTTTTAAGAGTCCAGAGTTGGTTCCCAATGCACCTCAGTATCTTTGCTTGGGACAGCTTATTGGCCCATCCAATCTAAGGTTTGTTCTTCTTCTCTTCAGAACCTTACCACTGCCTCTTGCTTCCATCAGTGAGAATGCAATAGTTTTCTTTCAACCATAAGAAACCTTTACAACCTGTAACCAACACATGGACTCCGTCTCCCCCCTCTCTCCTGGAAGAGACTTTCTCTCTGCAAGGAGTGGTCTTTCTCCCCCCACTACATGAACCCTCCCTCACTTCCCAGCAAAAGAGACTATGCCTATCTCTTCTGTGACTGTTCCTATCCTCTGCCTCTCTCTCCTGCAAAGAATACACGTTCTCTCTCCAACCAGGTACTACTGTCCCCATTCCAAGTAAATGAGTTGTTTTTATTACATGTTTATTAAATGGACACTATAGGCATCAAAACAACTTTAGCTTAATGAAGTAGTTTTGGTGTGTGGATCATGCCCCTGCAGTCTCACTGCTCAGTTCTGCCATTTAAGAGTTAAATCACTTTTATTTCTGTTTATGCAGCCCTATCCACACCTCACCTGCCGGTGACTCACACAGCCTGCATGAAAAAAATGGTTTCACTTTCAATCAGATGTTAAATGTGCTTTAGACGTTTTTACCTCCTGTTCTGTAAATTGAACTTTAATCTAACACCGTGTCTACCTGCTGGATCTAGAAGGCTATCAACAGAGCAGAGGATAAGAAATTCTAAATAAAACCAAATGTGCTATAAAGGAGGAAGTTTAAACTTTAGACCTCTCTTTACAGGAAATGTTTAGGAAAGAAGTGTAAGTCACATGAAGGAAGGAGTGACTAGGGCAGTATAAACAAAGTGATTTAACTCTTAAATGGCAGAGTATTGAGCTGCGAGACTGCAGCGGCGTAATCTATACGCCGAAACTGCTTCATTAAGCTAAAGATGTTTTGGTGCCTATAGTGTCCCTTTAAATCGTAGTATGCAAATACTTTCTCTCTCCAAGACCAAATACCACTCCTCTTCTCTCCTCTAACCCAGATACTATCACTTCTCTCCTCCAACCAACATACTGACACTTCATTTCTCTTCTCTAACCCACATACTTTCACTTCTCTTCTCTAACCCACATACTGCCACTTCACTTCTCTCCTCCAACCCACATACTGCCACTTCACTTCTCTTCTCTAACCCACATACTGCCACTTCACTTCTTTGCTCCAACCCAGATACTGACACTTCACTTCTCTCCTCCAACCCAGATACTATCACTTCTCTTCTCTAACCCACACACTGCCACTTCACTTCTCTTCTCTAACCCACATACTGACACTTCACTTCTCTTCTCTAACCCACATACTGCCACTTCACTTCTCTCCTCCAACCCAGATACTGCCACTTCACTTCTCTCCTCAAACCCAGATACCGACACTTCACTTCTCTTCTCTAACCCACATACTGCCACTTCACTTCTCTCCTCCAACCCAGATACTGACACTTCACTTCTCTCCTCCAACCCAGATACTGACACTTCACTTCTCTCCTCCAATCCAGATACTGACACTTCACTTCTCTTCTCTACCCAGATACTGACACTTCACGTCTCTCCTCCAACCCAGATACTGACACTTCACTTCTCTCCTCCAACCCAGATACTGACACTTCACTTCTTTCCTCCAACCCAGATACTGCCACTTCACTTCTCTTCTCTAACCCACATACTGCCACTTCACTTCTCTTCTCTAACCCACATACTGACACTTCACTTCTCTCCTCCAACTAACATACTGACACTTCACTTCTCTCCTCCAACCCACATACTGACACTTCACTTCTCTCCTCCAACCCACATACTGCCACTTCACTTCTCTCCTCCAACCCACATACTGCCACTTCACTTCTCTCCTCCAACCCACATACTGCCACTTCACTTCTCTCCTCAAACCCAGATACTGACACTTCACTTCTCTTCTCAAACCCAGATACCGACACTTCACTTCTCTCCTCCAACCCACTGACACTTCACTTCTCTCCTCCAACCCACATACTGCCACTTCACTTCTCTCCTCCAACCCACATACTGCCACTTCACTTCTCTCCTCCAACCCACATACTGCCACTTCACTTCTCTCCTCAAACCCAGATACCGACACTTCACTTCTCTTCTCTAACCCACATACTGCCACTTCACTTCTCTCCTCCAACCCAGATACTGACACTTCACTTCTTTCCTCCAACCCACATACTGCCACTTCACTTCTCTCCTCCAACCCAGATACTGACACTTCACTTCTTTCCTCCAACCCACATACTGCTGCCCTAATCTCCCAGTTCAGATCTCCTGACCCCCACTTCACACTCCCCACTCAGGATATGTTCGCTTACTCCGTACATGATGTATGTTTATCTATTCCATTGACATAATTCTGCAACGCCTCAATCCAACGACCCTTCGAACATCTTCTATTTCCCTGCTCTGCCCTTACTTACCTAGATACTCACACCAACCCACATGCTTCTTTTTCCCATATGTATTTCTTTCTCCCTTTTCTTTTTTAAACACCTTGCTTTATCTTTATTTCTTGTGCCTGTCTTCCTGTCTGCAGCAACAGCAGGAAATTCTGGCCGCAAAGAGGCAGCAGGAACTGGAACAGCAGAGAAAACGTGAGCGACAGAGACAGGAGGAGGCCGAGAAGCAGAGACTGGAGCAACAGCTGCTGATACTGAGGAACAAAGAGAAGAGCAAAGAAAGTAAGAACACACTGGAAACCAGGAAAGGTCAGGAAACGGTGACCCGCCTGTCATGCTAAGCTGTAACCAGCGTTTGTTACTGAGCCTAGAAAGAGACCAACAGAATCTTACTGGCTTATACTGGCCAAACGTATGTTTGATCTTTGCTGTATGCTAAATGTCGTCCTTAACCTGCAATATCATTTTAAGGTGCCATTGCCAGTACAGAAGTAAAGTTGAAGCTCCAGGAGTTCTTGCTGAGTAAATCTAAGGAGATGCCGGGGAACCATTCCATCTTGCAGCACCCAAAATGCTGGTAAGAGTGGGTTCTGCTGCTGCTTCTTCTTCCAACTTCTCTGATCGTTATTCTTCTCTTTGCTGGTCCTTGTGCTCAGTGTTTCCCAGTTCCTAGGAAAGTCCACTGTCACCTGTCCCTCTGCTTCTCTCCCTTTTCTCCTGCTATAGTGCCCTCATCTTTCTCTAAAAATACAATCTCTGTTAACGCTCCATCTTTGCTTTTAGGGGCACCCACCATACCTCACTGGACCACAGTTCCCCTCCACAAGCTGGCTCACCCGCCACTCCTCCCTCCTACAAGCTGCCTCTTATGGGGAACTGCGACGGGCGAGATGACTTTCCACTCCGCAAGACTGGTAACTTTTTGAAATGTAGGGATAAAGGGGCGGGGGATTCAATTACACAAAGCACGAAAAAAAAGTTGTGAAGATAACTGAGAGGACTGTGGGAGAAGTAAATACTTTTCTGGATGGCCAATACTAACATGAGTTAACAAATAAGTGCTACTCGCACATGATGTGTTGTGTGGTTTTTCCTATTTATTGATAATACCAAGGTGCATGTACTCTGCCATCCATTATTCTTTTTTTCCATTTACAGCCTCTGAACCCAACCTTAAGGTACGCTCCCGGTTAAAGCAAAAGGTTGCAGAGAGACGCAGTAGCCCTTTGCTTCGCAGAAAAGATGGGACCGTTATCAGTGCATTCAAGAAGAGAGCCATTGAGATCCAGGGTATGAATGATACTCTCTATTGTAGCCCTCACTTCCCTTCCATGCCCCTTTATTCTGCATTCAGCATCTAACTCCTGTTCCCCCATGCTCCTTCAACTCCAGAATGCTTTGCGCCCTGTTCATGTTGCCTTGCACCATCTGTCATCAACCTTATGCTAGTCTCCTACTTCAGAACGTTCCTTGCCCTCCACCCTTCATTCTTCTTGTAAAACCCTCTGTTCTGCTGCTTTCATTACCCATCCTGCTCCGTCCCTACACCCCCAGTCTCATCGCTGAGGTGTTGGTGCTCACCCTCCCTGCAGTGTCATCGGTGTGTAACAGTGCTCCAGGATCCGGGCCCAGCTCTCCAAACAGCTCGAATAGTGCCATCTGCGAGAACGGACTGACTGGGAGTGTGCCCAATATTCCCAGCGAGGTAAGGCGTTTTATAGAAAAGGGCATACAAAAGGGGGGAGGTAAAAAGGATTCATTATACTGATGAAAATTCATAGACTTCTAGAAGTGAAATGTGGTTTTCTAAGAAAAATAAAGTTATGAGAGCAACTTAGAGACAAAAGAAGCTTTTACTCTTAGCTACTGGGGAATAGTTGTGATGGTAAAGTTTTTGAGTAACTGGACTTTGTATGGCCACAGACTGGCAACTAAGCTCTATTTGTTCCTCCATTCTTTGTAGATGCTTCCCCAACAGAGAGTTCTCACCCTGGAAGGGACAGGCGGCCCTCTAGGACTATACACCTCTCCCTCCCTGCCCAACATCTGCCTGCAAGGGAGTGCCAGCAACCTCAGCGTAAGTACCTGTACAATTTAATGGAATTGATAACCGCCATCGTAACTTGACCATATACTGTTTTATTCCTGGAGTACAGCTGTGTTACCTCTAGGGCTCTCTCTCCAGGGCCAGTTCACCCCCCAGGAGGGGGCAGAGCGTCAGAGCCTGCGCCCAGGTGGCCCCTTCCTCAGTACTGCGCAGCTGCCCAGCCTGGACGGAGGGGAGATAAGCGGCCTAGGAGCTCCTTCACTTCTTCAGCATGTTCTATTATTAGAGCAAGCAAGACAACAAAGCGCCCTTATTACAGGTGAATCTGCGTATAATCATTATTTTCCTTCATGGTTTTATTTTATTGTTTATTTCTGTTTCTCTTTTATTATTCTTCTCTAAATCCATGTTTCTCCCCTTTTAGTCCCTTTTCTCACCTTCTCTCTAACATCAACTATTGAACTATGTCTGTAATCTTTCCTTTATTTCTCTGTATATTTTTGCTTTGCAGTTCCCCTGCACGGTCAGTCCCCCCTGGTGGGTGGGGAACGTGTCTCCAGTTCCCTCCGGTCTGTCAGTAAGGGCCAACGGCATCGACCGCTGAGCCGCACACAGTCTTCTCCCCTCCCACAAAGCCCTCAGGCCCTCCAGCAGCTGGTTCTCCAGCACCAGCACTATCTGGACCAACAACAACTCAGCAAGGTGAGTGTAGATGCCCTATTAATGTGTCTGTACCGTTTGCCCCATTCTAGGAGAAGATGACACGCATAGTATTTTCTCCCCACAGGGTGCAGAGAGTATTCGACAGCCACCTATACACCCCGAGGAGACAGAAGAAGAGTTGACGGAACAAGATGGAGGAGACAGGTGTCGTGCCATATTCACCTTAGACGGAGGTACAGAGAGTGAAGAAACGCTAGATGATGAAGATGGAGGAGAGGATGAGGAGGAAGAAGAAGAGGAACGGACCAATGGTTCTGAACATGCACTGAAAAAGGTTAGGATAGTTTAGGAAAGGCACATTGTGCATGTGGCTGGAGTTGGGAATCGTGCTGTTGAGTGAATGAGAAGATCCAAATGATGTTTTTTCAGTAAGTGTTTGGAGTGGTTTTATTAAGGATATTGACGTAAACACAAATTGCTTATGGTTTGACAGGGAAAGGGATTTATTTATGTAAAAGGAGGAGTGGAGAGTTAGCATGATCAAAGAGGCAATAATTTTCACTGCTGTAAGGATAGGAGGCCATTATGGAGAGCAGTAATAAAGTAATGTGAAGATTAAAAATAATAATATGGAGGAGCAAGGATGCTATTCTGTGAGAATTGCATTGTGTCCTGTATGGTTGATGAAAGGTGGTACAGGTGTGTACGGTGTCATGTCAATAAAGAGGAGAGATGGATGCTGGGAGGGAAAGAGATGAGCAAAATGGTGATGTTTAAAATGGAAAGGAGCAATGGATGCTGTGTGGAGAAGAAAGAATCGAGGGATTCTGTGTCTGAGGAGAGAATACTGAGTGATATGCTGTGCAGGAGAGATGGTCAGGATACGGTGTGCAGGAGAGAGGGATGCTGGGGGCAAGACAGGATCAAGGGATTCTGTGCAGGGAGGAATGAGGGAGGTTACTGTATGTTTGGTGGGGGGGGATGTAATAATAAAAGATATAGAGTGGGGAGAGGAGGAAACAGGTATATTGTGCGGGGAAAGACAAGATTGCAGGATGCTGTCTGAGGAGACAGGATTAAAGGACGCTGTACAGATGGAGAGGAGGGATACTGCAATAGGGGGTGAGGAGGGAAGCGGTGTGGGGGATTAATAATAAATAGGGATGCTATGCAGGTTAGAGGGAGGAAAGGGTATGTGCAGGTAAGCAAAGCCACATGGGATATGGGATTCCGTACTGGGAATAAATGACTGACATGTCTGCTGACAAATACTCCACTATGAGAAGAATAACTAGTAATATTCTGCAGGTGGAGATGGCAGAAAGGAGGAGTGATACTCTGCAGTGTGTACACACTGTGCTTGATGTAGAAGCATAGTTCATTGATGAGCAGTGTGTGAGTCACTCTCTTATGACTCATTTTCCCTCTGGTGACTGTGCTGTGTTATGGCACCTCCCCTTTGACCTGCTCATAGAGGGGCTGCAGGTAGTGGGAGGGAAGTGGGACCTGTCTGAAGAATTGATTGTGAGACGAGGTGACAATGCCTGCGTCTGCTCTTCCCTCAACCTCCCTCCTTTCTGTACCATTAATATGTCTGCCGCGTTCTTCTCCCATCTAATTCACTCTCTCTCTCCCTATCTCAGCTGTTCCCGGACACCTTGCCCCTATACCAGGGCTCGCTCTCCCACACGGCACTGAGTCGCACCCAGTCCTCCCCTGCAGCTCCACTCAGTGCCTGCAGTACAGAGCCACGTCGCAGAGTGCTTTCCACCACTGGTGAGACAATATAACGAACACCTTCAATCACACACAAATTATGTACGCACATTCACATGTCTATTCATGCTCGTTTAATATGTGGGGGCTGCTATAGAGTAAGTAAAGATTCACCTACACTTTTAGCATATTACAGATCATTAAAAAAAACGTTATGTTATAGACTGAGTGGCGATACAGAGGCAGATCTTTTAATTTAATTTATCTACTTTATGTCAAAAAGGAGGAATAGTTCATATTTTCCAGGAGATTTTTGGTCAATTAGTCCTCTTTATGAGAAAATCGACCGCCCACTAACTGGTTGTAATGGGTGACAATGGAGTGGAGGTTATAGGAGGTCGTGCATGAGTGCTTTTGAGAAAAATTTGTATGAATCAGAGAAAGTCAAATATTATGTTAGCCAAATTTCATCTTTTACCATCTTACTTTTTATTTATAAACCATTCTTATCGAGGGCTGTTATCCTAAGCACTTTACAGAATATAGCTACTGATGGGAATCCAGATAGAACAGTGTATCATTAGACACTCTGGTAGGAAGTGAGCGGAGAAGCCTGTCTGTGGTTAGCAAAATGGGCATTCCAATCATATTACAGAATCTTCTGGACAATAAATGATCAGATTATCAATCAGTAAAATCTCAACTGTAGCCTGCTTTGCCCGCAACTAAGTAATCGCTTACAAATAAAATTGAAATGCCCTTATATTCCGTAACCTTACCAATCATTTGTGTTCACAGAATGTGCCCTGTAAAAGCAATTTAGAATAAAGTACATGTTGTAAATGTTATTTTATTTTCATTGGTGTGTTTATTGGGCATTTAATGCCGTATCCTCCGACTGCCCTTAGAATTTGCAAAGCAGGTTTGGAGCATGCGGAGAGAAAAGACTTCAAACTAAGAATTTCAATAAAGAAGCTGTACTCCTTTCACCTTTGCAATGGAGAGAGATTCAATTCTAGAGTGTTTACAACATACTATAATTCCCAATTTTCTATGTGTTCTAATTTTCATCTTTTTATGATGTATTCTCACACTAAAGATTTTTGGTAGTCTGAGCTTGCAATACCTGCAAACAATTCCAATACCAATCTGTGTGTCTAATATTGCAGAGAATATATGGACATATCTCTTCTCTGGAAATTGCACTGTTCAATATGGTGACTATAGATGAGAATCACGTAAAAATTTGTTAACCTTTTTCCATTTGGTGTTTGTTATTTTTGCTTGTTTTTTTTTTTATTTTATTGGATTTTAACCCCTTAAAGACACATGACATGTGTGGCATGTCATGATTCCCTTTTATTCCAGAAGTTTGGTCCTTAAGGGGTTAAAGGGTGCCTGTCATGCCCAAGATCACTAATGCTCTTTTGCATAAACGTTTGCTATTAACAGTACATGTCCAATGTAGGGGACTGCACTAATTTCAGTAGGACATGTCCTTAAAGGGTTACTATAACTCTTTGGAGCAGGGGGACCTTTTCTGTGTAGTATGCCCTATTGGGTACTATGCATAAGGTCCCCATGCTCTGATTCTAGTAAAATCTGTTTAAAAAAAAAAAAAAATTGGGTTTACTTGCGTTGAATCCAGTGCCAGGACAAAGATTCCAGTGCTGCCTCCACCTTACATCAATGTGGTTGGACTAATTGCTGGCTTAGAATATATGTGCGCACTCCGGCGGGCCAGCTAGGGGAAGGAAGGTCTTTTTTAACACAAATAAAAGGAAGGAGGCAGGAGGGTTTGCGCACAGGGTGGGGAGAGCTAGCTTACGTTTGCAGGTGCACCACCTAAAAGTGGAATATGTTAAAGTCTGTCTGAAACATGCAGTGTGCGCTAACGACAGATGTAATATATGTACAGGATTGACAGTTCTGCGCTGCTAGTTTAACGTGTACTGGGGGTACAACCAGCAAACAACTACAAGTAAAGTGATCATTGTGGCTGCAGTATTCCTTTAAGTAAAAAAGAAAAAAAAAAAATTAAATAAGTATAAACGTGATGCTATAGACCCTGGGCTTGACCTTAACCCCATAGTCACAGTATTCAAACGAAAAAAAGAAGGGTGGTCCAGTCATTTAACTTTTAAAGTTCAACAGCCGTTTAATGTAGCCTATCAGAAGGCTTCACAGGGCGACCCCAAGTGGGACGAATTAAAGAAGCGCGCAAGAGATGATCAGTTGCAGGATAAAGAAGTGTTACTATAATTTGTCACACCTCATAAATACATTACAAATACTTAAAAAGGGCAGTTTCCCTTTAAAATTCTTTAGACTGTCTCTGAGCTGCAGTTGATCATATTACCACCGGGGGCATCTGAGAGCACCCTTTTAAATGGAAAGATGTGCTTCCCATACAGCCACTTTTAATTATAACTAGAGGACTATATTTATTGGATTGGCTATCTTTGGATAGCCTGTGTGTGCCAGAAGTATTTTTAGCATGCCATGTCCCTGGGCCATTAGATATAATGACCTTATTGAACCAAAGATATTATCAAGGTGAGAGAAAACAAGATGGCTGCTTATACCAGACGATGATCAGACAAAACATCTTTATTTTAGTTGGGTTTTCAGTTAAAAATTACATTGTTTAGATTGCAATGTATAATGCTGGACAGTGGGTTTTGTTGTTTACGAGTAGTTAAACTGTAAAAGGGTGCTGCATGTATTTAAAACAACATTGAGGCTTCCCGAAACTTTAGTTATAATGCATTTTATATAAGTGCCAGAGGGCCGAATCACACGTTTCATTTGTTGCTGTGTAATGTTTCAGTGCTGGCAATCATTTTAAAGGGTAACTGTCACTCCCGTTTATTTAAATATAATCTATACACCCTATATTTAACAAACCCCCATATATTTAACAAATTATGTCTTGTATGGTCTGAAAAATAAAATTGAATTCTGGAACTGTGTGCCTCCATTTTGGATTTGAAAATAGTAAGTGGAAGAGGTGAAATAGAAGCTGTGTTTCTAATTCTCGCCCTTTCAATGCAATGCGTGCCTTGTTTGTGCCAGAACTGAACTGGACTGTGATGTCCGTTGCTAAATCCTTAATATAAACGAAAACAGAGCGTCTCATGAAAAAAGGTGACTTGTAGGTGAGAATTGATGGTAACTCTAAAAATAAATTAAACTTTGTAGTGTTTCGATCTTGTCTCAATGTAATTTTTTTTGTTTACTTGTCTGTTTAAAGCAAAAAACGAAATTTAGCAAATCTAGTTGCTGACTGCACTCATGATCAATTTGGGAGACCTGTAAAATGATTCATTCAGCTGGTTTGGAGCAGGCTTAGCCTGTCTCTGAATGGGCAGCAAGTGATAGGGGATGATTTGCTAAACTGTGAATTGTAGTAAGCTGAAAAGCACGTTTGTAAGCTAAGCCTGTTTTGGAAATATTCTCCAACCATTAGAATTTTTTAGCCCGAATTTGCAACTCTGTTTCAATTCGCTTCCGTTGACTGATTAGTAAATAAATCCTATGGGCCGAAACGGTTGAAACAGCTAGATGAGTATTGACTGAAGATATTTGTAGCTTCCTGCTGGTGGTCATGTGAGCAGCTCTCTAAGGTGAAGGAATTGCACAAGATTTTTGGAGTTTTCTTAAAGGGGAACAGTCTCTTCTCAGAATGTTTGTTTATTATTATGTTGATTTATCCCTTACATTGAACAAACATCTGTTTGTTAGGTTAAAAAAAAATAAAATGCATAAATCTACACTGCGGTATTGAAGCTATCATGGAACTGAGCGCCTCCATCTTGGCTCCCTGTCAGAGATTGTAATACAATCTGCCCTTTGCACCTGTCAGTCAGCATAGAAAATCTGGATTGTGACATAAATTGTTAAATACATTTACTTGGTCTCTCTGAGTACTATAATCACCGCAGTCTAATAGTGGTTATGATGGTAGGAGTCCCATGGCACAGTCTCGCTGTTTTTGAGAGTTTGAACACATAACTGGATCGTATGGGTGTCCGTAGTTCAGCCTCTCCTCACAGATTTCACTAAAGCAAAAATTCTCCTTCCACTTTAGATACAAAAATTTGTCAATATTTGGACGGAATTAATTGGTTGAGAGTAACAGCTGACTCTCCTCAACCAATGACCTCTGGCCAATACAAACAGTATTGGTATCTCTACAGCAGACATAGAAACTACGGCTTTTGAAATATTTGCAAAGAAGGACCTGACCTCTGGCACCAAGGGTACCCAGGTCAGTGGAATGGTGCCATGGAACTCCTCCTGGTTGTAGCGTTTATGGTGCATAAACCGAGCCCCATGTGGAAAAAAACGGTTAACAAAGTTATTGGTTTTGGTTTTTATTCAGTGGTGTATATTCAGGAACGAGACAGTTTCTCTTCAAAGAAGTTATAAAGAGTGTTTAAGAATATTTTTGCGAAACAAATACCCTCAAATCAATCCTTAATCATCATGTTTCATCTCAAAACTTCCCCTCTCTCTTCTAGTGTTTTTTATTTTATTTATTTTTTATCACTTCTTCCATGTTGTCTAATGCCCTTTTCCATCACAGGCCTTGTCTATGATACCCTGATGCTAAAACATCAGTGCACATGTGGGGACACCAACAACCATCCAGAGCATGCTGGGAGAATACAAAGTATCTGGTCCCGCCTGCAGGAAACTGGTCTTTTGGGCAAGTGTCAGGTGGGTTTATGAATATCCACAGAACAGTGAGTGATTGGGGTTCATTAACGATTCAGTGGGATAAAAATACCAACAGAAAATGGGGAAGACATGGGGAAAAATAGGGGAAACACAAGTCACTAGGGAAAGAAACATATCATAGTCCAGACATGTTTTTTTGCTAACAGAAGCCAAACACATCTTTTTGTTATTTTTTTGGAGGGACATATCGGGGTGGTTTTTGTTTTGGGTGGTGGGGGGAGGAGCACCCAGGAGGGACAATAGGAATGACGTGATGTTCTTGTCACAGCGCGTGCGGGGCAGGAAGGCCACGTTGGACGAGATTCAGACGGTACACACAGAACATCACACCCTTCTGTATGGGACCAGCCCACAGAGCCGTCACAAGCTGGAGAGCAAGAACCTGCTGGGTGAGGGTGGAGGAAAACAAGGGGGTTGTGGTAGAAGACAATTGTGATTGAATATGTATCTTTAAGATAGGGTTCTGGAAAGGGTTTTAGAGCTTTGGGAAATGAGCTGGTCAAAAAGATAGTAGAGATATAAGCGTAGGAAATGTAGTGTGTGATATGATAAATGGCATTTAAAGGTCGTGTAATGTTTGCCCAAGAAAAGGATGGAGGGTGGAGCAGCGAGGCACATGGGGGAAAAAAGAGCGGACAATTAGGTAGAGCTATTGCCTGTCCTCTAAGCATATACACTTGTCTATTTAAGCATAATACACCATATTAAAGGATCAACCATGCTTTAATGTAAATGCCTTTTATACAAATTACCATGCTGAGACAAATTCAGAGACACGAGAGAAAGGTGTGAACTTCACTATTCCAGACAGAGAGAGAAACAGGAAGATAAAAACTGACCCATTTGAAATCAAAGTTGGATTCTTGTAAGCCGAAAGCACTGAGCACGTTCTCAGTCTGGAGCTGGGATTCCAATCTTAGCTAGTGACCAGCGCATCAACACATGAGTCTAAATTAATGGCAGTTTGCAGGCTGCTGTAAAGTGCAGATTTTCTGCCATAAAAGTATAACTTAGCACTTTTAATGACGTTAATATAACTTTTTGAACTTCTCTTAATGTTCAGCATAAACTGAAGCTTTGCTGTACCTTAAATTAAGACGTACCATTAGGTAGCGCAGGCAGATTACCCTGTCCCTCTATCTACACTTAAAATATTGGTGACTGTGTGTGATTTTTTAAATTTTGTTTTGTCTTGTCTTCTTTTATGAAACCTTTCTGCAGGACCTTTGTCTCAGAAGCTTTATGCGGTTCTACCCTGCGGGGGGATTGGGGTAAGAATGCATCCATAATTCGATCTATGGAATTTGCCACACTATAATTCATATACGTTTCAATTTAGAAAGTGCTTCTGTATGTCACTGTGGTGTGTTATGGGCAATCTTGCAGGCTGAGTATAGTTTGTGTTTTAGTTGATCAGCTACTACTTTGTACTAATGAGCTTATTGCTACCTAAATACGTCATCATCTAAAGGGACACTAGTCACCAAAACCACTTTAGCTTAAGGAAGCCGTTTTTGTGTATAGAACATGTCTCTTAAAGGATCACATTTATTACTGATCCTATAGTACTAAATCCACCAATGAGGTGGCTTGCCCCCCCTTAGCACCTCTATAAAAATTTTAAACTCACCTTATTTCCAGCGCCACGCGGGTCCGCCTGCGCTGGGTCAGCCCCCTTCATGACATCATCAAAATGACCGATTTCCTTAGTTCCCAAATGCCGTTTTGGCCAATCAGGACCTCCTCATAGAGATGCATTGAATCAATGCATCTCTATGAGGAAAATTCAGCGTCTCCATGCGGAGCATGGGGACGCTGAACGGCAGGGCTGCTTACTGTGCAGCACTGAGCCAGGAAGCACGTCCAGTGGCCATCTAAAGAGTGGCCACTTGGAGGTGTCCCTAAAGGCAAAGTAAACACTGCCTTTTCCCTGAAAAGGCAGTCTTCATATGAAAATGTCTGAAGGGAGCCATTATACTCACCAGAACAACTACATTAAGCTGTAGTTGTTCTGGTGACTATAGTGTCCCTTTAAGTTTCACTGCTCAATTCTCTGCCATTTAAGAGTTAAATAACTTTGGTTCTGTTTATGCAGCTCTAGCCACAAATCTCTTGGCTGTGACTAACACAGCCTGCATGAAAACAAAATGATTTCATTATCAATCAGATGTAACTTAATTCAAAGGTTTTCATCTCCTGCTCTGTATATTGAACTTTAATTGCATTCAGGAGCTCCTGTAGGGTCTAGCAAACTATTAATAAAGCAGGAGGTAAGAAATTCTAAATTAAACAGAATTTGCATTAAAGTAAGTTTAAAGGGACACTCTAGTCACCCGGACCACTTCAGCTCAATGAAATGCTTTCCTATGGACACTTTGAATGCGCGAGCGGCAGTTGCCACGCATGCGAATTCGGCTCCACTGATGTTGGAGGGCTGCTGACGTCGGCAAGGGAGGAGAGGTCACCAGCGCCAAGGGAGCCCGGCGCTGGATTAAAGTAAGTAACTGAAGCGGTTTTAACCCCTTCAGCACCACAGGAGGGGAACCCTGAGGGTGGGGGCACCCTCAGGGCACTATAGTGTCAGGAAAACCGCTTGGTTTTCGCGGTTTTCCTGACACTATGGTGATCCTTTAAACATTAGATCAGAGGTAGGCAACCTTTTGGTAGTACTATGCCAAAACATGAATTTGGCAGTCCCTTAGTGTGCCGGTCCAATTTTTTTAATTTGAGGTGTTTCTGCTTGTGTTATTTATGGGTGCAGTTGCAGTTGCATTGTAACGTATATGTTCATGAGTAGTTTGTGTTTTTGTGTATGATACCTATGAATGGGGGCTGTTTGAGGAATTGTGCGTCTGGATGATATGTCACATTGTGTGGGGCGGTTTGTGGTATAGCATGAGCGGCTACCTGTGTGCTTGTATGTGTATTGTCAGTGGTGTTGTGTTTGTGGGCACTATGTTTGTGTTTGTGTGTGGGCTGTTTGTATTTGTATAAGGAGGAGGCTTCTTCTACAGCTCTGTGTATATCTACCAGTGTGGATGGCTTTGCTGGGGTCCAGTGGGGAACGGGTTGGTAAGGTACCAGTCAAGTGCAGGAGCTGCGATAGCTGCTGCAGGCTGATCTTCTCCAGTGCAGATTCCCATTCACAAGTGCTGGGAGGAAGTGATCTGAGATTACTTCCTGTATGTGCTGCAATGAGTGAATTGAGTGTCTGACATCATGCAGTCACTGCCTGGTTTGCAGTAGAAAATATCTGAAGTCCCACTGGGACTTCTGATAGGCCAGAGCCCTTTTGTCTCTGGCCGCGTCGAGTGCCGTGCAAGGACGCCTCAAGTGCCATGCGTGGCACACATGCCATAGGTTGCTGACCCCTGCATTAGATGACTCTTTACAGGAAGTGTTTAGGAAGGCTTAGCAAGTCACATGCAGGGAAGTAGGGACTAGGGCTGTATAAACAGTGATTTAACACCTAAATGGCAGAGGATTGCAGGGGCATGATCTATATCTATATCTATGATCTATGATCTATAGACCACAAATGCCTTTTAAGCTAAGTTGTGTTGGTGCACATACTTGCCACACAATGACCTGTCCGCTTGCATTTAGAGATCTATTCTTGCGCTCTCCATAAGAACTTCCAAAGTGTTTCCACATAAGGTTTCCTTCGTTCCCAACTGTGTTTTCAATTGTTGGGGATTTTCCTTATAACGTTGCATGGTTTCTACCCATAAATGACCCTCACCCAGTACTTGCAGTGTTTTCTACTTTTGGACATTGTTCCACTACTCAAATAGTTCTCTACCCGCCTATGCTTCTCTCCCAGTTTTCTATAGTGTTGTAAGTTTAGACTAGACTCCTTTGGGAAACTAATATGTTTATACCTCCAGTGTGTTGCAGTGGTTTCCACTTGAACAGATATGATAGGACCCAGATATGTTTTTCCTTTGCAAGGTTGCCTTTCTAGGTGACCCAAATCTTTTCCTTCAAATAAATAATGCATCTCTAATGGCAGGTGGACAGTGACACAGTATGGAATGAACTACACTCTCCCCCTGCAGTGCGGACAGCCGTGGGCTCTCTCCTCGAGCTGACTTTCAAAGTGGCATCTGGAGAGTTGAAGGTATGTCACCATAATGGATTGAAATCAGTCAGGCAGGTTAGAGTCATTGTGAAGTGCTGACACTAATTCCCCCGTCTATGCTTCTTCCTAATGTTCTTTCTTTACTATTCTTTTCCACCTTACCCTTGTTTGTCCACATCTACCCTTTCCCATTATTGTCCTCCTCCTTTATATTACTTTCTATGTACAATTCATCCTCCTGAAGAATGGCTTTGCAGTTATCCGTCCACCAGGACATCATGCCGAGGAGTCCGTTGCCATGTGAGTATTGTGACAGTATTGTCTTTTTAGCAGTTCTTCTACATGTACTAAATGAGTGTTCTTCACTTTATTCTGTCCAGCATCTGTCATTCTAATCTTCAGAATGTTCTGTCTCTCATAACATGCTTCTCTATCTTGTTTCATTCAGACATGTCTGTCTTTCAACCAACCCTATCCATCCTACCTTCTATAGAATTGTCTATCTTGCGTACCATACATAACCATCTTATCTTCATAACTCACATCCATTTCTGTTTCCTCTTAGAACTTTTTTTGTCTTGACCTTCTAATACCTTGTATTTCCTTGGGAACTTTCTAGTGACATATCTATTCAATTTTTTTTGTAGCTTTATATCTCTTGACATTCGTATCAATGCAGTCTTATTCAGAAGTGTATCTTTCTCGTCATACACATATATTCATATTTTCTTCACAACCCTTTCCATAACTACTGATTTACATATCTATCTAATTTTCTTAAGAAATTTGTCTCCCCGTGCTCCCCAACTCTTTGTGGCACCCTCACTTTTTATCTTTTTATCGAAATACCAGCTGTTCTATCCGATTTGTGTCAATCAGTGAACTTTTCCCCATTCTTTCCCTTCTAGGGGTTTCTGTTTTTTTAACTCTGTTGCTATTGCGGCCAAACTACTGCGCCAGAAGATGAACGTGGGCCGGATACTGATAGTGGACTGGGTGAGTTACTGTAGGTTCATGACTAATATACGAAAATATGGGACTCTGAAGTTGGTCTAAACCTTAAGCCAAAGGAGTTTGGACTTTCAGGATGACCAACAACTTCCATAAAATCTCATAGGCAAAACATAATCGTACTAGAATGAGATTATTAACGGTATATATTTTAATATTTAAAATAAATGTTGCTTAAATGTTCATTTGGAAAACTGTAAATCCATAAAATATGTCCCTGTCATTTAACACATTTTGGTACTACATGTGACTAACCCTTTTACTCATTCAACATGTCACTGCTATTGAGTCACTTTGCTACCACATGGGCTGATTCTGGAAGTCATTAGCGTGTCACTGTTAATTGGGCTCCATTTTGTTTCGTGTGAAACTAACTCTCAATCATTGTGGTTGTCTTTCCACTCCAGGATATTCACCATGGCAATGGCACTCAACAAGCATTCTACAGTGATCCAAATGTTCTCTATATGTCTCTCCACCGTTACGATGATGGTAACTTCTTTCCAGGCAGTGGCTCTCCAGAAGAGGTGTGTTGGGTAGTGGGGATGAGGAAGACTAGGACAGTGGTGGGTGGGTAACTAAAGAGGGCACCATTCACCAGAAGGTGTATTTTTTTATGTCACAGGTGGGCGCTGGCTGTGGAGTGGGGTTTAATGTGAACATTGCGTGGACTGGTGGTGTGGACCCCCCAGTGGGTGATGCTGAATATCTTGCTGCTTTCAGGTATGTCCCAATGTTTCATCACATCACCATTTTTTGCTTCTTTTCATTTCTCATCATTGACGCTTTCCCATAATTCCAAACAACTCAACGAACATAGAGTAGTAATCGGGTACAAATGTAAAATGTAAAATCTATAAACTTTGATGGCATATGTCGGTTTGGGTTTGTAACAAAAAAGACTTTGTCCCTTTAAACTCAGCAGAAGTTTAGTTTATTTCCTCTTTTCTCTCTGTACCTGCTGCCCTTCATGCATTCTCATTGCTTGTCACCAAAATCTGTTTTCCTTCACATCCCTAATCCGTACTCCAATGGGGCCTATCCTCATTAACGTAGATGGCTCCTCCAGATTTTATTTAACCACACCGGCCTTTATAAGGAAATGCTAGAGGTGTTTTTCGAAATCCTTATCAAAGCTGAAGTATTAGCTTGTAAAAATAGTATACAATATACTGTAATACTCTTTAGACATTTAATTCCAAGTCCCCCAATGCCAAGGCTGAGACCAGAGCTATGGAGTAGGACAATAAGTATTTTGTTATGACCTGCACGCTGGTTTATAATAGCATATACAAAGTGGTTGGATCACAATGAGAAATACACATTTGCAAACAATGTACAACCCACCTACAGCTTGGTATAGATAATTAACACAGGTAAATGTCCAGTAGTTGGTAATACAAATAGGTATGTCACAATAACACAGGTAAATGCAGAGTAGATTGATATGGCAATTTAATACATATAATTGTATAAGAAAGAGGGAGTAGCACCTCAAAGTGTTCTCAGATGGTATATGCAACAAAACAGAAGGCATAAACTTGAAATATATATATATATATATATATATATTATTTTTTTTATTATTATTTATTTTAACTCTATTAATACTTTAGTTTAAAGACTTTTCTAGATCACATTGGTGTACTGCAAGCATGTCAAACTTGCGGCCCACATTGAACATATTTGCGGCCCGCCTGCCCTGGGGCTGCTTTATGCTGTGGCTGCGACCAGCCGCAAGACACGAAAGATATTTTGTCTTCTCTCCGGCGGCCACAATAGTGCAGTGTGGCTGACTGTCTGCAGAGCAGGCAAACCACTCCCCCTTCCCTCCTGCTCGCAGTGCCGGCCACTCCCCCTTCCCTCCTGCTCGCATTGCCGGCCTTCCCTCCTGCTTGCAGTGCCTAGAGGAGCGTCTGGCCTGCTTGAGCAGCGCTGGAACTGGAGGGCGGGCAGTTCATCTTAAGGTAGGAGAAGAGGGGCTTGTGGGGGACCTTACTGTGTAATGTAGTGTAATTTGGGGTAAGGAAGTGCAGTGTATTAATTTAATGAAGGCAGGGGGACAGTGTATTTTAATTTCGGAGAGGGAGGGAGGTAGCCAGTGTATTAATTTAATGAAGGGAGGGGGCCAGTGTATTTTAATTTGGAGGAGAGAAGTGGCCAGTGTATTTTAATTTGAAGGAGGGCTGGGGCCAGTGTATTAATTTGAGGGAGGGCGGAGGCAAGTGTATTAATTTAATGAAGGGAGGGGGCCAGTGTATTTTAATTTGAGGGAGGGAGGGGACAGTGTATTAATTTGAGAGAGGGAGGGGACAGTGTATTAATTTGAGCGAGGGAGGGGGCCAGTGTATTAATTTGAGCGAGAGAGAGGGCCAGTGTATTAATTTGAGGGAGAGAGAGGGCCAGTGTATTAACTTGAGGGAGGGAGGGGACCAGTGTATTAATTTGAAGGATTGAGGGGGCCAGTGTATTAATTTTGAGGGAGGGAGGGGACAATGCATTTGAGGGAGGGAGGGGGCCAGTGTATTAATTTGAAGGATTGAGGGGGCCAGAGAATTAATTTGAGAGAGGGAAGGGCCAGTGTATTCATTTGAGGGAGAGAGAAGGCCAGTGTATTAATTTGAAGGAGAGAGAGGGCCAGTGTATTAATTTGAGGGAGGGATGGGACAGTGTATTAATTTGAGGGTGGGTGGGGGACAGTGTATTAATTTGAGGGAGGGTGGGGGGCAGTGTATTAATTTGAGGGAGAGAGAGGGCCAGTGTATTAATTTGAAGGATTGAGGGGGCCAGTGTATTAATTTGAGGTAGGGAGGGAGGGGACAATGTATTAATTTGAGGGAGGGAGGGGGCCAGTGTATTAATTTGAAGGATTGAGGGGGCCAGTGTATTAATTTGAGGGAGGGAGGGGACAGTGTATTAATTTGAGGGAGGTGGCAGTATAGTTGGGGAGGGTGGGGGCCAGTGTATTAAATTGGGGAAGAGAGTAGGCACTGTGTTCATTTGAGGGAGGGAAGAGTCCAGTGTATTAAATTGGGAGAGGGCCTGTGTATTAAATTAGGGAGGGGGAGCAGTGTATTCATTTGAGGGAAGGAGGTGGCAGTGTATTAATTTTGGGGAGGGTTGAGGCCAGTGTATTAAATTGGGGGAGGGGGTGGGGCTGTGTATTAGAGTGGTGGAAGGGGACAGTGTGTTAAATTAGGGGGAGGGGCAGTGGTGGGAGGGGGCAGTGTGTTAAAATGGGGGAGGGAGAGATGCAGTGTATTAAATAGGGAGGGAGAGGTGCAGTGTATTAAATGGGGGCAGTGTTTTAAATTAGAGTGGTGGAAGTGGGGGCAGTGTGTTAAATTGGGGGGAGGGGCCGTGTATAAAATTAGTGGTGGGAATGGGGGGCAGTGTATTCAATTAGAGTGGAGGATGGGCAATGTATTAGATTGGGTGGAGAGGGCAGTGTATCAGATTAGATATGGGGGCAATGTATTAAAATGGGGGGGGACAGTGTATTAGATTGGGTCTGCATGGAGACGCTGAATGCTCCCCATGGAGACGCTGACTGGCCATGCAGCTTTTTGCCACACGTGCACAATAGCCTCCCATTGACTTCAAAATTTACAGCTGGGCAACAACATACATTCATCATTTCAGTCCCATTACAAAACTTTTCTTAATGTATCAAGGTAGTTGGACTGATTAAAATAAATTCGCTCTTTTATTTACTTTGAAGCCTTACGAGGGTGACTACATCCAGTGTCAGGCAACTTTTTTAAAATTGTACTTTTGGAAATAAACCAAAGTTTCTATGAAAACTTATTTTTTTTTTTCGAGCCACTTAAATCTTGGTTTATTTGGCCCGTGTTAGCCTTTGAGTTTGACATGCTTGGTGTACTGCATAGAGAAGTGAAGGATAATGCGAAGAATCCTGTTTTTTGTCAGTCTCTAAACACAATTAGAGTAATTTATTATTGTTAAGGGAACAGATAGCGACAGCGTTTTTTTCAGAGATTTCATTCTACAAGCATAAACTTGGTGATGAACTAAGTGCAACTCAGTAGCACTTTGAATTTGCAAGAGTGTCTTGAGAGTGTGGATGCGCCCTGGTACAATTACAATTTTTTAGACTGCTGGCATTTGAAGTTAAATTTCATAGACACTGTACGACCAAACGTCTGTTATTATATTTAAAAATTGTATTCAAAACTACAAAACCCAACAGAGCTTTTACAGTGATAGAATCTAATGAGTTGAAGCTGTTGAGTTCCACTAGAAAACAACTTTTGAGTAGAACGCCTCATTTAGGAACCATTTTGGGGCTTAGAGTTTGGAGAATCTTGGTCTGTGCACTGACCCAGATGTTGCTGAATTACAACTCCCATGATTTTCTGTCTATTTCATTTAAAGAATCATAGGAGTTGTAGTTCAACAACGATTGGAGGGCCAGAGTTTGGAGAACCCTGGCATAGACCATAAAATCGTAATTCCCCCCTTCTCTTATTTTGTTTGTCCCACCACCCTTAGTCCTTCATTTGTCTTATGGAAATGTTTCCCGTTGCAGAATGGTGGTCATGCCCATAGCCAGAGAGTTTGCCCCAGACCTTGTCCTGGTTTCAGCCGGATTTGATGCAGTTGAAGGACACCAGAGTCCACTGGGGGGCTACTCGGTGACAGCAAAGTGTAAGTTTGAGTGATACTGCGATATTGTTTTTTTTGTTTAGTTTTGTTTGTTCCTGTATGTCAATATACCATTCTCCTACCTGTTACTAATTGTCTGTATCCACCTTCACCAACTCATTTCACGCTTATCTACCCGCTATTGATTGTTTGAACATGCCTCAACTATTCACACGTTCCTTTCTTGACATATACAAGTAAACCTCTCTTTTCTACAATCCTTCCCCTTATTTATTGAGCCCCTAACCTAAATCCCCGCAACCGCTAACCTATCATGATCCCTTCAAGGTTTTGGACACCTCACAAAGCAGTTAATGACTCTATCTGGAGGACGTGTGGTCCTGGCGCTAGAGGGAGGTCATGATCTAACTGCCATCTGTGATGCCTCTGAGGCCTGTGTGTCGGCTTTGCTGGGCATGGAGGTGAGGGCAGAAGGGGGCACTCACCATCTGGGAGGGGACACTCAGCTGTTTTCTTCTGCCTTTTGCCCTCTTCTATAACCTTCTCTTTTTGTCTTTAGCCTGCACCACTTGATAACAGTGTCCTCCAACAGAGGCCTAGTGACAACGCATTGACCACTCTAGAGAGAGTCATCGCTATCCAGAGTGAGTTGGAGAGGTCCTTAAGAGAATTAAATAAGGAATAATATGAATGTTTATGTTGTACTGAATCAGGGAGCTGTTATGAGGTGTGTATAGTTATAAATTAAAATAATGGGTGATAAGTTAGTGAGGAATTGTTAGATTTTAATATAGTTTATACATTTATGCACCAGTGCTTTGTATGCAAAATACTGCCGAACCCAGTTGCAATCATTTTGATATTAGAGGCCGATATAAAACTAATTCAGTTATTTGGTATTTATTTATAAAATATTTTACCAGGAAAGATACATTGAGATTTCTCTCGTTTAAGTCATCAATTATAATAGGTGTTGGAGACTTAAAGGAAGCACGGGAGAGAAATTATAGAGCGTTTAATGGGTTAACAAGGAACCTGTGAGAGGAGTTATAGAGCGGTTTGCAGTTTGAGGGCACGGTGGGTTTGAGGACACACAATGGCCTAATGGGAGGAGTTACAGAGAAATTGAAAGTCATGTAGGGAGTTTATGGGAGGAGTTATACCGCTGTTTGAGGACACAAAGAGAACTCCTGGGAGCCATTATAGAGCAGTTAGCGGACACAGAGTGAACTCATGGGAGGAGTTATACAGCTGTTTGATGACAAATAAAACTCATGGGAGGAGTTATACAGTTGTTTGAGGACAAAGAGAGAACTCATGGGAGGAGTTATAGAGCTGCTTGATGACACCGAAAGAACGTGTGAGAGGAGTTACACAGCTTTTTAAGGACATAGGAAACTCATGGGAGGAGTTATACAGCTGTCTGCGGACATACAGTATGCATGTGGGAGACGTTGTATAGCTATTAGAAGATGTACACAGAGCCCATGAGAACAGATATAGACAGCTAAACGATATGCAGAGGTTCCATAGGAAGTTAAATAAAGCAGAGGAAACATGTGGGATGAGTTAAATAGCTATTAAAAAATTCACACTGGGAAGCCTATTTGAAGATTCCTAGAAGTAAGAGGACTTACAATGTGTGCATGTGAGGGAGCTAAGTGCTTTAAAGGAACGAAAGATGTAGGAACTATAGGGCAGTTAAGGGACCCCTCATTCAATGTATATCTTTATTTCTCCCACAGGCAAACACTGGAGCTCATTAAAGAGCATTGCTCTGGGACGATCCCTCCTGGAAGTGCAGCAGGGAGAGGTGGAGGAAGCAGAAACAGTCACTGCAATGGCATCACTATCTGTTGATACAGACCAGAACCCTACAGACTCCAGGTAACCTGTCCCCCCTTAACACCCTCTCCCCTTTCACACTCACCACATACATGTAACTGGATTCCATGTGAATGGCCTGTTGATCCATCAGGCTGTCTCCTGGTAAAAGATGCCTGGTAAAAGACACTATCTCATATACACCCAACTAAAACAATTGCTACGAGTTTACTACTGGTTAGTCATATAGAGTGTGTGCAAATTTGAGGAAGAAGTCAGCATGCAGGATCCACCACTTTTTGTCAACAATTCTAGATCCTGCACAGATCTTGATGAAGACCTTTTAAAGGTCGAAAAGTAGATTATTATTTTTTTTTAATGCAAACTTCAATACATTCATTTGATTCATTTAAAAATCCAGTGAAGGCTCTCATTTTCTCGTTGGTCTATATATACAAACATCGTCAATAAAAGCATTCCGTGGAACCATAATTTTTCCTTTTTTACTTGGCATGTTGCAAACACTACATCATCAGAGAATTGAAAGAACCATTGCTCGATTCTTGTACAGTTGGAAATCAGGGGCTGCTTTGCATTCTAAATGGCTGCTGACATTACGTGCCGTTTCTTTTTCAGTAAATGTCAGTGTGAATGTGGAAATTGTTAAATATTTATAAAATGACCAAACAAACTTTAAACTCTACAAAATAATTCCAGCAAAATTTACAGTAACTTTTTTTTTTTTTAGTCCAGAAAAATAATCTGTTAGGGTTATTGTCATGAGTTGAATTCTAAATAAAAAACAAATTGTGCTGGTGGCATTTTAAATGGATTTCCGGAAGACCCATGCCTCACATGCCTGTACTCCCTCGAGAGGTGAGACTGTTCACTGTGGAACATTGGTCACCAAAAACACATTGATTTTTTTCAGTGACACTTGTCCTGACACTTCCTTATTTGCGTTGGCAGGTCATGGCAAAGAGCCCACATGCAGGGTTTTGTCTCCTGGAACCCCCTGTGGAGACTGAAAATGATCTTTCCTGCTCTAGAGTTCTGATGTGCTTACTGGGTTAGAGATTGATTGGCTTACAGTCAAATCTTAAGAACAAAACCAGACCATTGTTTTTTTGTTTGTTTTTTATCTTTTTTTAATCACACTGTGATTCTTCACACTTGTGATGCTCTGTCCATTATTAAGCAAAAAATATAGGTTCCATAACGTACACGAGAAGGGTACTCTTAATACCATATCCACTATAGCTCATTGTAGTGGTTATGGTGCAAAAAGTATTTGGGTGACATCCCGTTGTTTTGCATTAAACCAAAAGCTGTTTGCAAAACCTGGGGCTGTCCACACATCTAATGCCCATCCACTCTGCCACCACTGCGATAATATGTACATGTAGATGTACATATACAATTATATATTCAGTGCATGGTGGCTTTGGGCGGTCATTTATTTTCAATATGTTTGTAGATCCAGTGTGGAATGTGTATAAGCCTTGCAGTTTTCCTCTAAGTTTTGTTTAATGATGTTGGCAAATTCATATTATGAATCTATTTATTTTTCTCTTTGCTTAATGTTCCATTTTTAAGTACCAATAAGAATGAGTTATAGCTCATTACCATACTGTATAGAACAATACATCCTCACTAAAAGTGTGAATTGCTGGGAATTCATAGCAAATTTTTAGGCCTTAAATTAGAAATCAACTTTGAATTCACATTTCATTGAAATACCCTGTAAACCTTTCATAGTCTGAACCTTGGTTAAACAGGATGTTTTATCTTGAATTTCTGGCTCCTGTTTGCTATATTGTTGTTTGTGCTCCGATTTGTGGTGTTTACTCTTTTTCTATCTCCTTCTAGATCCATAGAAGAGCCAATGGAAGACGAACCAGTGCCGTGAGACACTCTCCCCTACTCACCCCAGAATCCAACACACCACAGTTCTTTTTTTCTATTTTTTTTTTTTTTTTTCTTAGTTTTTGTTAAGGTGATCTGTTTATTTTTTCTATTAAAACCGAAAAACAGGAAAGAAAAACAAAAAAATAATATTACTAAATGGGTCCGATGTCCAGAGTCCTCACAGCCGAGGTTAGCACACTTACTACCCCAAACTGGGACCTCTCTCTTGTTAAGTCGCTCCCCATTTCTGCTGCTGTGCTGAATCTGGTCTCACTGCTGCCCTCAATGGGTGGAAACACCGTAAAGACAACTGCCAACTTCTCCTCATTCTGTGCCTGATACAACACTAATATATAAACATATATATAACTCTATATGGACACACACATTAATGCACACACATGCCTTATATTTATGTAGCACTTGATAACTGGCCCAAAACAAGTGAATTTGAATTCAGATTTCAAAGAAATCTGGTCTGTATTCATCAAAGGCCATATTTATTTGCTGTTTTTCCAACTAGCAAAACAAAAATGGGAGATTAAAACGTCGCTATAGTCCATATTCGCGGCCTACTGATAATGCTGTGAATGTGAGATGCCTGGCAAAGATTTAAATTGAGGAATTTTGCACAATAAAATAATTTCAGGCAGCAGTTACCAATTCAGTTTAAACTCAGGGGACTGTTCACTAAACTTAACTGGCTTTTAACCCCTTAAGGACACACGACATGTGTGACATGTCATGATTCCCTTTTATTCCAGAAGTTTGGTCCTTAAGGGGTTAAAATGTAAATCGCTGAGTTGTAAAAAAAATAATTAAAAATAAAATAACATCAGATTTTTTTACATTTGATATTATCTAAACTCAGTTTAGTATTTAATGAGCCATGATAGTCCCGTGGCACTCAGAGTTTTGTTTGTAGAAGAACAATATTAAATAAACTAGGTATGGTTTAACCTTTTTATGAACCAGTGATGTTCTGTGTTGTGCATTGCATTATGAGACTGTCCCAGCGCTATATTGCCCCTGGCTGAATTCTATAGAGCAAATCGGCTAATTTTAGGAAACCCCAGCTTAGTTGACTGCTAGCTCAGCTTTCTTTCTTTCAATAACTTATCACGGCAGTTTGAATGAACAATAAATCTATCACCGGAAGATTTTTTTTAAATGGTTAAATTGTTTCTTACAGCTAACCTAAAGCTACAGTTTATTAATCTGTGATTACCAGTTAAGGATAGAACAGTTTTTCAGCTTGAAATTGATTTATGGGTTTTAAAGCCTTTGTCAAACTGCAGTTTGTCTCCGATGACTTTCGCAGAGACCGATTTCACTGAAAAAGCTTCCTTAAGTATATGCTGTTAGCATCCAATTAGAACTGCTGATTAGTTTCCTAAAATTCCATTCTACTAGGGTAAATAAATAAAACGCTATAATGGTCTAATGATGCTGTATGACCACTATACCAAGTGGTAAATAACTGAAATCTACCAGTAACCAGGTACAAACTGTTTTCAAAGTCAAAAATGACATTTCTGAACAAGTACCCTCTTCAAATATTTTTTCCCAGCATCAGATGCTTGCGAGACTAATGTCAGCAGCTCACAGCAACCACTGGGAATTCGATTGTTTTTCCACGCTAAACACATTTAAAAAAAAAAAAAATTAAATTGTGATTACATTGAAACATCATTGGTTTCTAGTGGGTTAAATGTTTAGTTTAATCAGAAATCTGGTTACACCAGCAATCTCGAATCCCCAAAGTAAATACCGCTTTGATAAAGGCCAGTCTCATTACTTCATAACAAAAGTCATTTTACAATTTGCATTTAAAATGCTACATTTAAAAAAAAAAAAAAAAAAATCTATATATTTTGTTTGTTTTGTCCTTTTTCTCCAGTATGTCATTTGATACATTCTACAAACACCAAAGAAAATATGGCAAAAACAGTATTAAAAAAAATACAAAAAACAGACAAAACTTAGCCTTTGATAAACTTGCAACTATATGTGTGTGTTTATATATATTTATATATATCTTAACACGTGCGTAAATTGCATATTTTATCCTTCTGTAGCACTCAACTGTCCCGGACTATTGACATTATATGTACTTAATATTTTATAACACTATGTGTATGTAAATGAGTATATATATGTAATCGCACGTGTGTGTATTCTATATATTGTGTAGTTGGAGAGGCAGTCCCACTAAGGACCAAATAAAAATAAATCGTAATCTTGGATTTGAAACATTTCAAATAAAAATTAAAATAACCCAGGGGAATGATATATATATTGGCAGTATTCAACACAGGGCTGGGAACAGAATTCACTATTCATATATATAGATATTCCTGCCATGTGGGACTGCCCCTTTATACTTTCATCATGGGTTGGGCAAATGTTTTGTGAAGAAACATTGAAAATGTAAAGAAATGATGTGTTACACTGACAGAATGGAGTTTCTTTTGGCAATTGGGTCCATTTTTAATATGTTGAGATCTGTTAATTGACTTAAAAAAAAAAAAAAAAATTCCATTGTTTTAGAGCTTAAAGGAAAAGCGCTTTTGCGTTGTTTTTTTTTTTTTTTTTACAATTAAAAATTAAAGATTGATGTGTATATATCAGGGCTGTGAATTTTCCACTAGCCTTTGGTGAGTAGAAATGTATCTCTAGTTACTGTGCCATGGACTCACTAGACTTGAAGTGAAGAACAACTTTTAAGGCCTTGTTAGCAGCATAGTACTTGAAATTGTAAGCCCTGTATCCAGTTTTTGTGCGTATATTATTGTAATTCATACATAAAAAGAAATGCGTTTTTAGTGTATTTCCTGGCTTACTCTTGCACTATGGGGGCAGCCATCTTTAAGTCCTCTTTGGTCAGAAACACTTATTCTACCAAAGACCACACTGGCAATTCAGAGCTGTCATGCCAAAGCTCTAGGCAACTCAAAAATGCAGTCTTAGCCAGTTTCCAAATAATTGTCTGTTTGGATAAGCTGTGCTTCTGAACAAAGAGGACTTAAAGATGGCTGCCCCCATAGTGCAAGAGTTAAGGAAGGAAATTCACAAAAAAATAGATATTTACAGATATATACGTATTACAATATAAACAGAAACCGGCTATATTACATGTAATCGTTCACTTTTTTTAATATAGAAAATAAAATTTTTCCTTTAAGTCTAAAATAATTAGCCTACCTAGAAACATTTTACATTATCCTTATTGCTAAATAGGCCTCAAAATCTTTCAATCCATTGTAGGAAAAGAGAAATCATTTTTGTTTTAAGATTTTCCTACAGGCATTTTACTATTAATCCTAACTTTATAACATGGGAAGTAGCTTCAGCATAGGTTCTCTCTTTTTTGACATGTATAAAATTGTATTCTATGCTGTGTACGTTTTCTATTTAAAGTTTAATACACAGCATTATGGCCATATTGCCAAATTCTAAATCAGATATTGTTTAATAGAGGAGGATTAAAAATCACAGGTTTTATGAGCTAAAAGGGATGTTGAATGACTTACTTAATAAGTTGTTAATTTAACAAGGGAAGCTTGTGTATGTTCAGTTTTATGAACCGACACCTCCAGAAAGGTAATCTAAAGCAACAATAATGCAACTTGTACCTAAACTTAAAGAGACACTCTAAGCACACTAAACACTACACATTTTGCAGTGGTTATGGTACAAGGCATCTTTGGTTGGTGCCCCCATTTTTAGCCTCTTGCCAGCCACTGATAAAATGCGAACATTTCAGATAAGCAGTATAATGTGAGTAGCAGGCAAGACCTACATGTGGGTGCCAGGAGAACGAAACCTGTTCTCAAACTGTTCAAAAACACTTTGACAGGAAATGAGGGGGCAGCAGCCAGAGACTCATAGCGCCATAACCATTACAATACATTGTAGTAGTTATGGTGTTTTAAAGTAGCCCTTTTAAATACATTTTGTTCAGTTTACAAAGGTATAAAGTGGCATTTATCCGCCTACTCAATGTTTTTAACTTAGACTACCTAAAGCTTGCAGGGTACCACTTACTGTTAAAATCCTCTACAATAAGTTTTTCCCATAAAGAAATGACTTGCTTTAGAGTAGATTTTGCACATTCATTTTTCTGCGATGTTCAGTTCCTTCTTTATATTTATATTAGGACTTAAAAGGCTGTAGTGAAGCGCCCACGACATCTCCTACAACTATAATCATAATCCTTTTCCCATCAACATATTAGGCATAATAACCTTTTTGACATCTTGTAAATTTAATAGATTAGTTTTATTTTCAAAACAAGTTATGTAAGTTGTTTTTATACGAGTAAAAAATTAGTAAAAAATAATAATGTTGATTCCAGGTCATACAATTAATTAATTAATGGATTCTCAACGTATTAAATAAGGGAATTTGGTTTCTAACATTGTTTACAATTTCTTTTTCCCCTTATGTTAAAGACCAGAATGAATCTGGCAGGGAAGATAACGGGATGGTATGTGGTGGGTTCACCTTGTGGTGTACATACCTGCACATTATTATAAGATGCATAGCAAAAAAAAGAAAGAAAGAAAATGCATAGTGCAGAGTTGCATAGCAACAATGTAGACCCTGCCTATGTTTTGAAGGTCTTCTCTTATTAAAGCAGGGTTAGCAATCTCTGTCACTCCATCTGTTATGATTTCTATAAAGTCCACGTCCTCTGACGCTAAACCAACATTGTGGAGTGCAAGACGTTGTCGAACTTGATATCCAATGATAGGTCTATTTCACCTTTAAATGATGTCTTAAGGCTTAAACCCCTCTCACCATCACATGCAGTGGACTTGTGCAACTGTCTCGTAATTTGTTGTGTAAATAAATATATATATTTTTTTCTAAATTAATAAAAAACCTCACATGTTGTTCGACAGTATTATGTGCAGAGTTAGGGATCAGGGTGGACACATTGAAAGGCAGGTCCGCTGTAAGCTCCCCTTTTGTGCGTCTGTGTCTCCCTCACACGCTGTGGGTATGAATTTTCATCTGAGTATTTTGTAATATGTCCTGTTTGTCCTTGTGTAAATAAAAATGTGCTCAGACTTGCGAAAAAACCTCTTGGTGTTTGTGGTATGGGGAATTGGTATTGAAACTTGGAAACAAAGAACATTAATATGGTGGTTGACTTACAAAACATATGCCCCTTGTTGAAATAGACTGTTCAGTTTTTTGGTTGTTTTTTTTTTACTATTGAGAACTTTGCTCCACATTCATTGCTTCCATTTACAAATGTGCCAATTACTAGCAACCTTTACTACAGTGAGACTTTTCTCGGCTGCCTCTATGGAAGTAGTATGTCCAACTGGAGGATTTAGAAATAGGATCTGACCACAGTGGACTCTTAGAGGCATTTGCTGTAAAGCCCTGACCTAAAGTATATATATATATTTCACTGAAATTCAAACCCGGTCAAAAGCAATAAGACAAAATGGGGACTTCTGTGTCTTACGTATTTTTAGATTAAAGTGACACATTCTCCTGGAACTATACACATCCAACAGTAAGCATGTCAAATACAGCACAATGCAAACTTAGAGGGATACTCGAAGTACCAAAACAACTGTAGCTCAGCAAAGCCGTTTTAATGTATAGATTATGCCCTTGCAGTCTAACTGCTCATTTTTCTGCTACTTAGAAGTTCCCAACGTTCACCTCCTCATCCAAAATGAGGATTTCATAAAAATAAAATATTTGAATGAAGTACTCGCATTGACTGTGTTGGAAGTTCACTGAAATTTCTACCCAGTCAAAAGATATACTGAGACAGAGTAGGGACTACTTTGTGTTAGTACGTTTTCTAACCTTGAGAAAAGGCAAAGATACTACTGTCACTATAGTTGGCTGACTGGGGGAAGCTTTGTCTATGGCGGATATTGCGGTATCCTCCATAGAAATCAGTAATACATGTGCGAGAATACAGCACTGACGTCGGCCCCTTGCAGAGGAAATGTCAGGAGCTGAAGCGGACCCCGTAGTAGAAGATGACAGCGGCCACGAGGGACAGGTTCAGTTAAGTAGAACTTTACCTGTAACCGTCTCACCTCCCTGCAAGCAGCAACGTCACCATCTGGGGTGTTTGTAACATATGCAAAGACCCCAGAAATTGACCGTCGCTTTAACACCAAACCCTTATCTTAAAGGGGAACCGTCACTTGTCTGGTAATTACACCACTGAATTAAACCCTAAAATGTTATTGTATTAACATTTCTTTCATTGGGAAGCTACACTTCTATGTGCATTAAAGATTTCGTAAATGTTACAATCCAGGCACACAATGTAGTTATCTAGAAATAGACAATGGTAGAATTTACAACACTGACTGACGGGGAGCCAAGATGATGGAACTTGGTTCGATCAAATAATAGAGGTGTGGATTTCTACAATTAATTTTAGTCTTCAGCCCTCACACACATATATATATATAAAAAAGAAAATTGTGAGAAGGGTTGGTTCCCCTTTAACTAGTGTAATTAAATGTCACCTTGTCTAGAAAAATCACAGTGAAACACATCACATGACTTGACACATGGTTTGATGTACTCGTAAAACAAACAAGAGAAAATATAAGTAAGATTAATTCTTGTATAAAAATATACAAAGAGATAGAGGGAGAAATAGACCTAATACATATAGCTCTAAAACTGGATAAAAATAGGGATCCACCAAAAACCTATTAGACAATGTTAAAAAGATATTTACCACTAGATCAGCAGTAAAAGGAATCCAGGAGCTAGCAAATAAATAAATAAATTCTAAAGGAATGTGAATAAAAATGAAGATACAAGTAAATAAAATAAAATAAAAATAGAAATAAAATAAAATAGAATAAAAATTATTGCCGAATAAAGAAGTGTTTGTAGATATGTGTGGCAGGATTGTTAACCCAGGTGGTGAAAATCTCTGGGCAACAACAATCTATGCCAATTAATATACTTTCATACACAATATAATTTAGAAAGATAAACAGGCATAGTTCCCTCAAAATATGTAGCCTGCCTTCAAGAAAAATACCATATATATTATGGATCTGTAATAGTAAGCAATCACCAGTATACAGAAAACTGGCTGCTCAAAGCAATGTAACAAAAGATAGCTTGGTCGCTAGAGAGTAATAAAGTATCAGAATAAATTTATTGAAAAAATATAAAAATATATAAAATAAATGTGTCCACAATTAAGGCAATGAGTGATAAAAGGTAAAATTAGTACAGAGACCTTTAATGCCGGCACGGATGGATGTGGATGGTGATTCCTCGTACAGTATTGTGATGCTGGTAACCGGTGAGGTCGGTTTGCGTGTCACAGTGCGTTCCACCTCGAGCCTCACTTCGAGGGGAATAACACTGCTCTCCAGGTCGTGCTGTTGGGAAGAATGAACTCCAAACCGATTGCCGGATTGTTGTGCTCGTGTCCCTTCACCTTCACACTCTATCGCTGTGTGGACTCTCTCGAACTGGTCTGACGCGTTTCGTAGGGATTAGCCCTACTTCCTCAGAGACATCTGACTTCAACTCTCTATGGAAGTGTTTATATACCTCTCCATTGATAATTGTTTAATTAATGAGTACATTGCAATAAGATAAATTAAATAAAATGGAAAAAATATATAATACATAATTCAAACAGTATCAAATGAAAATATACATAAATATATCTAGGTATAGCTCTAAGCTTATTATACAGTAAAATGAGTAAAACATTACATGGAATAGATGATTGACATGACAATAAAAATGAAAAAAAAAATAGAAGAAAATATAAATAAATGAATTAAAAAATGAATGAATAAAAAAAAAAAAAATCCTGATCGTGCTTTATTAATACATTGCTCTTTAGTTCATATTGACTCTAATAAGGCTGTAATTATCACTTCGCCTTCTAATACATATCACTTGTTTCCTGGGAACAACCTGAACACTTTTGTTAATATTGAACTATATAATGTTATGAGTTCAATATTAACAAAAGTGTTCAGGTTGTTCCCAGGAAACAAGTGATATGTATTAGAAGGCGAAGTGATAATTACAGCCTTATTAGAGTCAATATGAACTAAAGAGAAATGTATTAATAAAGCACGATCAGGATTTTTTTTTTTTATTCATTTTTTAATTCATTTATTTATATTTTCTTCTAATTTTTTTTTTCATTTTTATTGTCATGTCAATCATCTATTCCATGTAATGTTTTACTCATTTTACTGTATAATAAGCTTAGAGCTATACCTAGATATATTTATGTATATTTTCATTTGATACTGTTTGAATTATGTATTATATATTTTTTCCATTTTATTTAATTTATCTTATTGCAATGTACTCATTAATTAAACAATTATCAATGGAGAGGTATATAAACACTTCCATAGAGAGTTGAAGTCAGATGTCTCTGAGGAAGTAGGGCTAATCCCTACGAAACGCGTCAGACCAGTTCGAGAGAGTCCACACAGCGATAGAGTGTGAAGGTGAAGGGACACGAGCACAACAATCCGGCGATCGGTTTGGAGTTCATTCTTCCCAACAGCACGATCTGGAGAGCAGTGTCATTCCCCTCGAAGTGAGGCTCGAGGTGGAACGCACTGTGACACGCAAACCGACCTCACCGGTTACCAGCATCACAATACTGTACGAGGAATCACCATCCACATCCATCCGTGCCGGCATTAAAGGTCTCTGTACTAATTTTACCTTTTATCACTCATTGCCTTAATTGTGGACACATTTATTTTATATATTTTTATATTTTTTCAATAAATTTATTCTGATACTTTATTACTCTCTAGCGACCAAGCTATCTTTTGTTACATTGCTTTGAGCAGCCAGTTTTCTGTATACTGGTGATTGCTTACTATTACAGATCCATAATATATATGGTATTTTTCTTGAAGGCAGGCTACATATTTTGAGGGAACTATGCCTGTTTATCTTTCTAAATTATATTGTGTATGAAAGTATATTAATTGGCATAGAATGTTGTTGCCCAGAGATTTTCACCACCTGGGTTAACAATCCTGCCACACATATCTACAAACACTTCTTTATTCGGCAATAATTTTTATTCTATTTTATTTTATTTTTATTTTTATTTTTTTGTATTTTTTTTATTTACTTGTATCTTCATTTTTATTCACATTCCTTTAGAATTTATTTATTTATTTGCTAGCTCCTGGATTCCTTTTACTGCTGATCTAGTGGTAAATATCTTTTTAAGAGAAAATATAAACCTCCGATACATAAGAACCAGATAGTTTGGAATGAAGTTTAGAGTGAAACACAATTTTTTTTTATCTTTATTTTTGCTGTGTGTAAGAGTACAAAATATCTTGCGAAATACGACGACTAACGCAAGATTGACAAACAAGGAAACACATAGCATGAAGACATCAGACATTATGGCGATGGTGCAGCACAGTTTTGTAACATATAGATTAAGTAGCATCAGACATGTGCTTAGCAGGGGTTAATTCGGACTAACATAATAACGGCACGTAATACATAACATAGTAAGGCACAGAAACAATAAAACACATATGTGTGCTGAATAGGCCTTGGTCTTTTATTTAGGTTACAAATTATACAGACGTAACTTATTACTTTAAAGCACGTAATTTGTAACCAATCATCTCCGGTCTTTAAACCCCCAGAGATTTAACACACAACTCACCAGAGTTCTGCCCTATTAGCCAGAACTTAAACAAAATGATAACAACAGCTAGTCCACCTCCCCCCCCCCCCTTTAAATTAGGCACGTGACCTCAACCCCAATAAAAGACCACAACAATTGAACTATAGGGAGGAAGGTGGGGAAAACAGCTTTACAATTAACTTTTTTTCTTCTTTTTTCTTGGCGCCAAATATCACCTCAGGGCACCTTATATATCCCGGTTTTTTCCCGCTCCAGAGCACTGTCCGTGCGGACCCCCTTCATGGAACGTTCACAAGGGCATTGCAACAGCGTTGCTGATGCCCTCACGAATGATCGCTATGCGCACCGCACCTTGACCCCCTGAATAACCCCGCAACACGTGTACCTAGTCAATTGACTAGGTACATTCTACCATGTCCGAGTGATTAAAGGTAAACAGAATATGCAATCAAAAAGGATAAGTGTTATACATGACTGTCGGCATGTAAGAACAGGCAACGCAGGAATCTGGGGTAAACTTATAGGAGACTAATATGCCTGTGTGTTTGGCATCCACTGAAATCTGTGCCATGAGACATTACTGCACTACACAGTGTTAACTGTAAGTAAACAAGCATAGGGAAACTAGGCAATGACAAAACGTCCCTTAACCTCGATTGTAATAGGACAGAATATCAGGAGACAGCTCTTTAATGGCGATAGATCTGCAGGTGAGTCTCCCGATCCCCAGAAGCAGCCGTTTTGGTGAGTATCGAGGAGTGTGCACGCGGGCAGCATCATAGCGCTGGAGCAGAGCCTCCCTCCAGCCCCAGGCCTGTAAGAGGGCCAGCATCAGCAGTCCACAGACTCAGTGATTCTCAAGTGCCAAGTCTTTCCCCGCGGATATTCTTTGGCCTGTGTGGTCAATGCCAAGAAGTGATGCCTCGGTAGGCTCTCATCCCAGGTGGGTGAACAATAGGGAATTTAGATGCTCAGAGATTTGGTTTGCCCCGAGGGGGTCTACTTTTCCCCGGCTTGACACTTCCCTGCGCATCTCCTTCTGGCTTAGTTACAGGGACTTTCGCACGATCTTGCAACCTGTGCCAGAAGGCCAGGCAGGGTAGGTCGTGGTGCAGTCACCATCTTATGTGGTTGTTACAGTCAAAGCAATGTTGGAACGTAACAGTTGAAAAGGTAAATGCAGCAAGGTACTCAGTGGGGATCGGGATAACCCCGCCGGTCCTGGGTGAGGGGGAGAGGAGTGTAGCGGGACCACGCCACAGACTGAAGAGTGAAGAGAGTGGCCGCCTCCCCTCTGCTCTGTCCCCAGCAGGCCGCAACAACGATTTTTGGGCTCCCGATGGAGTCAAAGCTGAGGTAAGGACTCTAAGCTGTCTTCCAGGAGTCCCTGTCCTTGAAGGTGCACATTAGTCAAGTAAATTAGCCGATCGGCCAGGATTAGCACCCCAAAAGCGGCTGAAAAATCAGAAGCTTGTGCACCACACATCTGCTCTGCTTGACAGTTAACCTCCGTCCCCGAAACCCCATTTTTTTTTATGTCAATGTGAAGATGTTAAAATAAGAAACGCAGTGGTAAATTTAGTGGTATTTGTTTATTATTTTTGTTTAAATATTCTTTATTTCATATTTTTTGTCATACATAGAAAAAAGTACAAAATACACATACAACATTGACATACAAAGACTTACTATTTACTCATACATATTACACATAACCTGTGAGGGAAAAGGCCGAGTTGGGGGAGAGCAAAACTTATCTATTCCATATAAAACTTATATTTTGAGGATTTAAAAGTGTTTATTTTACTCAGATTTTAATAAATGCCGACGCTACATCAAGAAATTTCTCTCTTATAATTTTATTCCTGACTGAAGAATTATTTCTCCAGCATATACCCAATTCCATCTTTAGTTGGAGCGTTCGTTGTTTTGCCTATTGATTATAACTAATATCTATAGATTGTTTCCAGTTTGTTGCTATGAGAATTTTCATAGCCAAGAAACATTGTGTAACCAAATAACATTTTGATGCTGTTATATTCGGCCAACCCATATATAGTAATGCTGTCATCGGACTTTTATCTATTTTTGATTTTAAATTTTTGATTGATTTTTTGAGTCGCTCATCTGTGCAAATATTTGTTTCATATAATTAGCGTTTTTACTTTTTCCCTTGTCAAAATTTCTAGAAACAAGTGATTTAACTCTTAAGTAGTTGAACATTTCGGATTTTGATAAGTTATATTCGGATATTAGTGGTGCGAGAGTTTTAATTTTTCCCTCCTTCATAATATTATTTACATCTTTCATTTTCTTTTCTCTCCACCGGTCTAACTTTAGATCACCTATAAGCGACTCTTTTATCTCCAACTCCATAAAACAATATATTTTCCCCGCAGTTTTTTTTTCTTTTTTCTTAATTTAAACCATACCGGGAAAATTTGGGATAGAATTTTATTTTTAACCTCTTTCAATATCCGGTATCCTTTTTCATGCCAAACAAGTTTATTTATGTCATTCTTATTCAATAACTGGGTTTCTAATATCAACCGTCCTGTTTCCCTCACTTCTTTTTTGGTTAAGATTTGAATATGATTGATTATACTGGCCTCATTATGTTTTTTTAATATTAGGGGAAATTCATGCCACCTTGACTGGGGCTATTTGTCAACTGATCAAGATTAATGGGTGGTCTCTTCCCTCTCCACACAAAGTTCTTAAAACTTCTCTGAACAATCTCTAACCAACTGTCTGGTATTTTTAAAAGAATCATTTTGAAAAATATATGTCCACTTGCGGAGTATATAAGCATTAATAATATTAATTCTGCCTAACCAGCCCAAAAGCAAAGTATTCCACGTTTTTAGCGTTAGGCTTGTTAATCTAATCAATATAGGTATCTGCAAGCACACTGAAGGCATTACTATCAGTACAACTTAGAAACATAGAAACATAGAATGTGACGGCAGATAAGAACCATTCGGCCCATCTAGTCTGCCTAATTTTCTAAATACTTTCATTAGTCCCTAGTCTTATCTTATAGTTAGGATAGCCTTATGCCTATCCCACGCATGCTTAAACTCCTTTTACTGTGTTAACCTCTACCACTTCAGCTGGAAGGCTATTCCATGCATCCACTACCCTCTCAGTAAAGTACTTCCTGATATTATTTTTAAACCTTTGTCCTCTAATTTAAGACTATGTCCTCTTGTTGTGGTAGTTTTTCTTCTTTTAAATATAGTCTCCTCCTTTACTGTGTGTGTTGAGAACAGGCCGGACTGGCCATCGGGCATACCGGGCAAATGCCGATGGGCAGCGATGGCCGAGGCGGCGGGGATCTCCCGGCCGGCCTGCAGAAAGCGCTATCGGCGCCCGGCCCATGTGTGCCCCTCCATGGGCGGTGGGGAGATCCTGAATCTCCCACACGGCCCTGGCCCTATTACAGGCGACTGCCCGGCGAGCTGGGGAGGGAGGGAGGGAGGAAGGAGGAGGAGAGGACGCGGGCTCTAACAAAGCTCGCCCGGTCCTCAGCGAGTGGCGTTGCCAGCGGTTACCGCGGCAACGCTCAGATCTCGCGAGAGTGAACTCTAACCTGCAGGTTAGAGTTCACTCTCACCACTGGACCACCAGGGAAGGCAGCATGGTCCCCTCAAGGCTCCCCCTCCCAGGCAGAACGGCTCCCTCCCCCTCCCAGACTAAAGGTAAGAAGGGAGGGGGGGGAACATAACTTTTTTAAAATTATTAATTATAATAATATTATAAATTATTAATAAAATAAAAAAACATATATTTAAAATAATTTCCCTAACAGCCCCCCCAGACACACACAGGCCCCCAGACACACACAGGCCCCCCCAGACACTCCACAGCCCCCAGACACACAGCCCCCCAGACACACACAGCCCCCAGACACCTGGCCCCAGACACACGGCCCCCCAGACACACAGGCCCCCCAGACACACAGCCCCCACAGACACAGCCCCCAAACACACACAGCCCCCCAGACACACACAGCCCCCACAGACACACAGCCCCCAGACACACAGCCCCCCGACACACACAGCCCCCCAGACACACACAGCCCCCCACAGACACACAGCCCCCCCAGACACACACAGCACCCTCAGACACACACAGCACACAGCCCCCCACAGACACACACAGCACCCAGACACACACAGCGCACCCACAGACGCAGGCAGCACCCTCACTCCCACACATATACAGCACATATATTATATAAAAAAAAACCTCAGTGAGTTAACAGACAAAATTAGAAACCCAGAATGTGACGGCAGATAAAAACACCCTCACACACAGCACCCCTCTTACACAAACACGCTGCGCACCTCACACATACAATACGTCCAAATATATTTTATATATATATATATATATATATATATACAAAAATCAAAACTGAGGATGCACTCACAGAACTTGGTTAAAGTGAAAAAAAGGGACTTTTAATTATTCCATGTGAAATGTATAGAAAAATCAATTTTCCATTCACATGGAATAATTAAAAGTCCCTTTTTTTCACTTTAACCAAGTCCTGTGAGTGCATCCTCAGTTTTGATTTTTGTATATTTCTGACGTTTGGGATATAGCACCCAGGCTATTAGTTCTTTCTTATTACTTAAAGGAGAGTGCCAAGCATCCTGTTTTTTTGCTATATATATATATATACACACACACACTACAGCACCCCTCACACTGCACCACTACACACATTACGCTCCAGATACACGCTAGATCCCTTACCCTATATGCACTCTTAATCCTCTACACACACACACACACAATCTTCTATACACACTCTGGGTCCTTTACACACTAGATCTCTTACACACACACACTGCACCACCTACACACACACTACATTCCTTGTAAGCAAACACATACAACATTCTCTAAACACACCCTCTCTACACACAGTAGTGTGTGTGTATAAGTGACACACACTACGTCACCTATACACACACACTACTGCCCGTATGCACACACTCGCTACATCCCCTATAACACTATGCCCCTATACACGCACTCTCTACAGCCCCTAGCCACACATATTACACCACAAAATTGACCTATTTACACAATACCACACCACACTCTACACACAGGCAATCCCACAAGCATGCGCCAAACACATGCACCATACACTTTCCTGGCCCTTTTGTCCTCTGGTATCCTACTTGTGGAGACACCAGAGACAATTTAAAAGCAAACACAGCGCAAGCATGTTATTACATTTGCTTGCGCTGCGCAGAACAAATACAGGGCCTTTTTCTAATGCTAGAGCTCTTCAGCGGGGCTCTGCGCATTGAACCAACATGCTCACTTTCTCTGGCCCCGCCCCCTTTTTGGGGGGCTGCTCTAATTTAAAAAATGCCCGGGCCTAATTTTTTTTCCCAGTCCGGCCCTGGTTGAGAAGCATCTCTACTTAAATTAATCAGCATACAGCCACTGTTTTTCAGTTTGATTACTACAGGCTTATTTTTAACTTCTTAGAGAAAAAGCAACTGCACCCGTGTCAGCTTGTACACAGTAAACTCACGTCCCTGGGTGGGCTTGAACCACCAACCTTTCGGTTAACAGCCGAATGCGCTAACCGATTGCGCCACAGAGACAGCAGAATGTGAAATGAATGTCTGCGCTTCAGTAAAAGGTACAAACAGATGAAGAAGATATTCAACTGGACTTCTTTCATTTTGTTACTAAATTATTATTTTACTATAATGATGCTACCACTGTTACATATAGTTTACTACTGTCATTTTTTGTACTTAGTGTTACATGTAGTTATTAATAATCTGGCTGATAGAATTTTAGTTAGCAAATATTTAATTTTATTAAAGACCCGGAGGCTTCTATTATGCTGCACTCTTTCTTTAATTCCCTCAGCAGCAGAGAAACATTATTTGGGGAAAAAAAACATTTGAACAGGTATAAACTTCATAATGATAATGTCCGCCTAGCAACATGACCCTCCAATCAGTGACATCCTTCTCCTATAGTAGGCGGAGCATCGGATGACCATTTCCTCTTTCTTTGCTGCTCCCTCAGATAAGTACACCTCTCACAATTCTCCTGTGATTGCTTCATATGCTACTTGTTTTCTGTTACATTTGATGTTTTTATCTTACTGTACCTTTAAATGCTCATTCTTATTTTTAGTGGTACCTTTAAATTTTAACCTTAGTATTGTGTTTGCTTATTTTATATTACACCAGATTCCCTGCAATTCCACATACATATTGTACATATATACACCCAATACATTGTCCTTCCCTGTGCTACTGCACATTATCTGCTTTCGCCCATTAGTGCACCAAACGATCATTTTCGCGGGCGGTTGGACTCCCGCTCCGCCGCGCATGCGCGTCTCGCCAGAGACACCCGGCGGCCATTTTGCGGACCGGTTGGTTGTGCGGTCGGACAAAAATTCCGATCGCGCATTCCATCATTATCGCTGACATGATCGTTAGTCATGTCACCACTGCGGCCACCTCGCTCACATTAGAGATCCGTTTTTAACCGCGACGAGCATCTGTTTGGTGCCCGTTTTCGCGGCGGCCATTTTCTGCAAGGTCCTTCCCGCCTTTTTTACTCTGACACGCCCACTCCGCCCTCTGGTCGGAGTGGGTGTCCAGAATTAGTGGCGGATGGTTCTCTGTGCTTTGCTCTCCCCTTTTGTGGCTGTGAGTAGTTGGCATTGTTACAATCTTTATTTCTATTTGGCTATAGTCAATTTATCTGGGTTACTTAATCCAGTTCCTCTGATTTCTTATCAATAAAATACCTGGTTTAACTATAATACTTGGCTTTACCATTACTACTATTTTCTAAAAACAATATGCAGTCATCCAATAATTTGCCTGGGCCATCTGGGGTTCAATCTAACCCCCAAGCTTCCCTGGAAATTCAGGCAATAATGGACACTACTGTGTCAAAAGCCCTGGCATCTGCTATGGACATTATATCCTCATCTATCTCAAAATCTTTCGCACAAGCAATTTTACAAGCCCAATCAGCGGTCCCTCCGGCAGCTATACCATCCGCGATACCCACGGTCTCTCATCCTACACACCCCGGCCGCAAGGCCTCGGCCAAAGTAAAGCACTCATCCAAAAAAATGATGGACGGTTCTAAACCTGCCTCAGATAGCACGCATAATGATCCACCGCGCAAGAGAGCCTCTGGCCGGGCAAAAGCGGCTATGCATTGGAAATGGGCAAAAGCCCAGCAAGATTACACTGAGTCTGAACTCAGTTCAGAAGAGGAAAGTGCATTTTCACTGAACTCAGACCACTCAAATGATTTATCTGATTTAGATTCAGACTATGAATTTGGTGAGGATTCAAAGCCTCTACTGACTTGCATACCACAGACACATCTAAATCTGATCTAATTAAAGAGGGCAAAATACTCGACCCACAGGGCGAACCCTTATTTGAACTTAATGACTTACGTCACCCCCGCTCAGCAGAATGGTCACCGGCTGGACATGTGGCGCAATATGTCGCATCCCGGGTCTGCAAGGCCCTAGATAAAGCGCCCCGAAATAAATTAAGGGCGGAATGCCCACGCCCCACTGTACCCGACGAGGTTTGTAAGACCCCTCAAGTTGATCCCAAAATTATCCAGTTCCTAAGCAAAACTGGATGGAAGCCTAAAAAAGGCTTAGATTTCTCATTATACAACTGTCAAGATAAGGTTCTAGATATTCTAGGCCCAGCAACCAAAATATTTTAAGCTGTAGAAGTGTCAGGGTCCCGCGGGCGGCTGCGAGGGGAGGCTGCAGTCCGCTCGCGGCACTCACCCTCCAGCCGTCCGCGGTCCCCCTTCAGCCGTGTGCTCGGCGGGCGGCACCCTGTCTCCCACGGGTGCCGTCCGCCTCTTCCTCTGTGTCTCCCAGCGGCAGCATGCATGACGCTGCACGCTGGGAGACCGCCCACTTTAACCAACGCCGGGGTCAGTCACCTGACCCGGCGTTAAAGGCACAGTGCCTCAATCACAGTGGGAGGTTTAGATATCTCCCACGTGTGATTGTTAATTCTGATTGGAAATTATCCAATCAGAATTAACCTTTGGATTTATATACTTACCTTTCCTATTCCTCTTCGCCCTGTTGTGGTCTTTGCTTGTTAGTCTTGCTACTTACCTTGTGCTTCTGGTTACGTACTCCCTGGCTTGTTATCCGACTTTGTGACTTTCTCCTACCCTTTGACCTCGGCTTGTCTATCGTTATTCTGTCTTCTGGTTTCCCTCACTCGGCTTGTTTCCTGACTATTCTTTGTGTGCTTAGCCCGGCCACTCTAAGGTCCGGTACGGCACTTTGTGTGTGTGTGTGTTGGCGTGTTTGGTTCCCCGAATCATGACATTACAACAGGGCCATAATGGAACCTGCTGACATACCACAGCTCCTAGTTAATCAGGAGGCTAGAATGGATGGCTTGGACCACCGTATGGACCAGTTTGCCCAAGCTTTACAAACCATACTGGCTCGTACTGCACACTTGCAACCTGCCGTCCAGGAGGCTGCTGCTGCTGTGCCCGAACCCATTCCCACTCCGGTACCCGTTCCTGCTCATGTTGTTCACATGACACCGCCACAACGCTACAGCGGTGACCCAGCATTGTGTCGTGGTTTCCTTAACCAAATTGACATCCATTTGGTGATGAATCCACGTTCCTATCCCACTGACAGATCCAAAATTGCCTTTTTGATTAACCACCTGTCCGGGAAAGCTTTAGCATGGGCTAACCCCATGTGGGAGAATACATCTCCTATGTCCTTTGTAGATTTCTTGACAGCTTTCAAACGTACGTTTGATCAACCCGGTAGGGTTGCCTCTGCTGGCAAAGCTCTGCTTAGGGTACGACAGGGTAATAGATCTGTAGCGGATTATACTATCGAATTCCGCACGCTAGCAGCTGAAGTGGTTTGGAATAATGATGCCCTCGTAACAGCCTTTCAGGAGGGTTTGGCCGCCTACATACTGGATGAAATAGCATCCAGGGAATTGCCTGTTCTTCTAGATGATGTCATAGATTATGTCATTCTTATTGATAACCGTATTAGAGAGAGGCGTAGTCAAAGACGGATGGATACACGGGCATTACCTGCTCCCCCCTCTACTGCTTTACTAGCACTACCCGCTCCTAGTCAACCAACCCCCGAACCCATGCAATTGGGTGCTACGGGGCTAACTGAGGCTGAAAGAGCATATCGTAGAAGGGAGGGGTTATGCCTTTATTGTGGAAAGAGGGGGCACCACTGTAATGCCTGCCCTAAGTTACAGGGAAACTACAGCACCTAAGGCCTAGAGAGGGGTCGGCCTCGGGTGTTATGACTTTGTCCCCTCATGTGTCCATCTCCAGACCGTTTATTACGGTTTCTCTTTTGGTCAATAAAACCACCATAACCACCAAAGCCTTGATCGATTCAGGTGCGGCAGATAACCTTATGGATGAGAACTTCGCTAAAACCGCAGCCTTAACTTTGATCCAAAAGGCCACACCCTTGGTCGTTGAGGCCATAGATGGTAGACCACTTGAGAAACCTCTGGTGACCCATGCGACCCAAGAAATAGTGATGTCTGTAGGTGTTTTGCATAAGGAAAGGTTAACCTTCCAAATAATTGACTCCCCTACTGCTTCCATCGTTCTGGGTTTTCCCTGGTTAGTGAAACACAACCCTGTTCTCGATTGGGGTTGCTTGGATATACTATCCTGGGGGGAATCCTGTCAACGAGACTGTATGGCTCATGTACGTCCTGTTTGTTTACTCAACGTGCCCACGGCTAAACCACTCTCTGTTTCTGTCCCTTCTGTATATGCAGACCTTGCATTGGTTTTTGAAAAGAGGGAGGCAGATAAGCTACCTCCACATCGTGACTATGACTGTGCCATAAACCTATTACCGGGCATTATGCCCCCTAGGGGTAAGGTCTACCCTCTTTCTGAGAAAGAAAACCAGGTCATGGAGGAGTACATACGAGAATCCTTAAGGAAAGGTTTTATTAGAAGGTCCTCCTCTCCTGCTGGTGCTGGTTTCTTTTTTGTGGCAAAGAAGGAGGGCGATTTGAGGCCGTGTATAGACTACAGGGGTCTGAACAATATAACTGTTAAAAACGCCTACCCTATCCCCCTCATCACTGAGTTGTTTGATCGCGTTAAAGTACTTTACTAAGTACTTTACTAAACTAGACCTCAGGGGGGCTTATAACCTTATCCGTATAAAGGAGAATGATGAGTGGAAGACAGCGTTCAATACGCGTAGTGGGCATTATGAATACCTGGTCATGCCTTTTGGACTGTGTAATGCTCCTGCTGTGTTTCAGGATCTCATAAACGATGTCCTTAGGGATCTATTGCATGTCTGTGCCGTGGTGTACCTTGACGACATACTTGTATATTCTCCTGATTTGAAGTCACATCATAAACATGTTAGGATGGTGCTTAAAAAATTATTACAGAACGGACTTTATTGTAAGTTAGAAAAATGTCTGTTCGATCAGACCTCTGTGCAATACCTGGGATATATAATTTCTGAACAGGGTTTTAGTATGGATCCTGCTAAATTGGAAGCTATACTGTCCTGGCCACTTCCCCAAGGACTTAAGGCTATCCAGCGTTTTATAGGTTTTGCTAACTATTATAGAAAATTTATAAAAAACTTCTCACCACTTATCTCCCCTATCACAAAGCTGACTAAAAAAGGTCTACACCCTAGGGTTTGGACTCCTGAAGCCCTTAAAGCCTTTGAAACTCTCAAGAAAGCATTTGCCTCTGCTCCAGTACTACACCACCCTAATCCTTCTCTTCCCTTTGTTATGGAAGTAGACGCTTCTGATTCGGTGGTGGGAACAGTACTATCACAAATGTTATCGTATGACGAACCCCCCCATCCCTGTTGTTTCTTTTCTAAAAGGTTGTCTGATCCAGAAAAGAATTACGATGTTGGGAACAGAGAACTATTAGCTATTGTGTTAGCTTTTAAGGAATGGAGGTACTTATTAGAGGGTTCTAGACACAAAATTATGGTTCTAACAGATCATAAGAACCTCTCCTATATAGCCGATGCTAGAAGGTTGTCCGCCCGACACGCTAGATGGTCTCTATTCCTTTCGCGATTCCAATACATTATTACCTATAGACCTGGTTGCCGTAATGCCAAAGCTGATGCTATCTCTCGACAGTATGAACCTTTAGAATTTCTTAACCCAACCCCTGAACCTATTGTACCAGCTTCTCAGATCATAGCTGCTACCCGTTTGGTTGTTTCATCTCCCTTCCTTGAGAATATTAAGACATACCAAACCCAAGCGCCTCAGGAGACGCCTGTTGGTAAACTATACGTGAAAGTAAGTGACAGAAAAAAGTTGTTAACATTATTTCACACTGCCAAAACTGCTGGTCATCCGGGGGTTACCAAGACTTATAAGAGCCTCCTTCAACAGTTCTGGTGGCCTTCACTCAAGCGAGACGTAGTGGATTTTGTTCAGGCTTGTCGGGTCTGTACGCAGTGTAAGTCTCCTAATATGAGACCCCAAGGCCTACTGATGCCTCTATCTATACCCAAGAAACCATGGACCCACTTGTCCATGGATTTTATTGTAGACCTTCCTCCTTCTGATGGTCAGACGGTGATATTAACTGTGACGGATAGGTTCTCTAAGATGGCCCACTTTATTCCACTTAAGAAACTACCCTCTGCGATTCAGCTTGCCCAGGTGTTTGCCAAGGAAGTGTTCCGCTTGCATGGGGTACCTCAGGATATTGTTTCTGACAGGGGCCCGCAATTTGTCTCTCGGTTTTGGAGGGGCTTTTGTGCTGAGATGGGGGTCTCCTTGTCGTTCACTTCCTCCTATCACCCGCAATCTAATGGTGCAGCCGAACGTGCTAATCAGTCTGTGGAATTGTATTTGCGCTGCTTCACTAATGCGCACCAGGACGACTGGTCTCGCCTTCTTCCGTGGGCTGAATTTGCCAGGAATACGCAGGGCCGTCTATAATATGAATAGGACCCTGGGCAAAGCATTTTCTTGGGCCCTCTGGGCCCTGTCCCTGCGACCCCCTCCCCATTACGCCCAACCCGCAATCACACTGACATACTGACACATACACACACAGACAGACATATTAAAACATTCGCAGATACATACTGACACACACATACACTGACACACAAATATATACTGGCAAATATATTGACACACGTTCAGACATACTGATACACACACATACATAAAAACAGACACATACACTGACATATATACTGACACACACACAGACACATACACTGACAGAAATACTGATACACATACACCGACAGGCGTATTGACATACACAGACATACTGACATACACACACAGACATATACACACACAGTATGTCTCAGTATGTGTGTGTGTGTGTGTGTGTTAGCATGTCTGTGTGTGTTAGTATGTCTGTGTGTGTGTGTTAGTATGTATGTGTGTGTATGTCAGCATGTCTGTGCGTGTATGTTAGTATGTCTGTGTGTGTGTGTGTGTCAGTATGTTTGTGTGTGTATATGTGTGTGTGTGTATGTCAGTGTGTGTATGTTTATGTCAGTGTGTCTGTGTGTGTATGTGTATGTCAGTGTGTCTGTGTGTGTGTGTATGTCAGTATGTCTGTCATACTGACATACACACACAGACATACTGACATACATACACATACAGACATACACACACACACACACACACAGAGACATACTAACACATACACACAGACATACTGACATACATACTCACACACACACATACATACTGACACAAACACACACACACATACACACACACAAACATACTGACATACACACACACACAGACATACTAACACAGACATACTGACATACACACACACACACAGACATACTAACAAACACACAGACATACTGACATACATTTAGCCACCCTCCAGGTTCTTACCTTTTTATGGAGGGTGGTTTCCCTGGGGTCCAGTGGCAGGCTGAGGCAGTTGGGAGTTATCTTGAAGAACTCCCGTCCTCCTTACCTTCCTCCTCCCACGTGGCTATTATCTCCGGTGGGAGGAAGTGACACGCCGCACTCACTTCCTCCCAGCCGGTACAGAAAGGGGCCCGGTCGCGCTGTTTAAGCGTCACAGCGCCCGACCGGGCCCCTGCTGACACATGGTAACCGGGTGGCCCTTAGTGCATGGGCCACCCGGGGGGCCTCCTTAGTTGGTGGGCCGGTGTGGCTGCACCGCCGGGTACATGGGGGCTGCTGAAATCACGGGCCCACGGGGCAGCTGCTCTGGGGCCCCCCAGGAGCAACTGGGCCCGGGGCAACTGCCCCGTTTGCCCCGTGCTAAAGACGGCCCTGGGAATACGGTGTTTCATTCGTCTACTGGCTTAAGTCCTTTTGAGGTTGCTTATGGGTTCCGGCCTTCTGTCCTTCCCGGAGCGTTCTCTGACAAGGGAATGCCCGCCTTGGACCAGCACCTCGCCTCTTTACGGAAGACGTGGGATCAGGTCCATATTGTGCTGTCTCGTTCAGCAGCTGCTCAGAAGAAGTTCGCTGATCGCCATAGGGGTGCGACCCCTTCTTATGCTCCGGGTGATAGGGTGTGGTTGTCCTCCATGAAGTTTGCTCCCAGGTTTCTTGGTCCCTACAAAGTGTTACGTAGGATTAACCCCGTTTCCTACTCCCTGGACTTGCCTCCTTCCATGCGTATTCCGCACACGTTTCGCTTTTGAAGCCCTTGCTGTGTAACCGGTTCTCTCGTCCTCTCGGACGGCCCGTTTCCCCTCGTACTGTCTCTAGTGACGTGTTCGAAGTAGCTGCCCTTCTCAACTCTCGTGTTTCTAGGGGTCGGCTGCAATACCTGGTGGATTGGAAGGGTTACGGCCCTGAGGAGCGGTCTTGGGTTTCGAGCTCTGATTTGCACGCCCCCTCTTTAGTCCGCTCCTTTCATGCCCGGTTTCCTTTGAAGCCTTCTGCTTCCCGCCCTCTGGGCGGTCTTCGAGGGGGGGTACTGTCAGGGTCCCGCGGGCGGCTGCGAGGGGAGGTTGCAGTCCGCTCGCGGCACTCACCCTCCAGCCGTCCGCGGTCCCCCTTCAGCCGTGTGCTCGGCGGGCGGCACCCTCTCTCCCACGGGTGCCGTCCGCCTCTTCCTCTGTGTCTCCCAGCGGCAGCATGCATGACGCTGCACGCTGGGAGACCGCCCACTTTAACCAACGCCGGGGTCAGTCACCTGACCCGGCGTTAAAGGCACAGTGCCTCAATCACAGTGGGAGGTTTAGATATCTCCCACGTGTGATTGTTAATTCTGATTGGAAATTATCCAATCAGAATTAACCTTTGGATTTATATACTTACCTTTCCTATTCCTCTTCGCCCTGTTGTGGTCTTTGCTTGTTAGTCTTGCTACTTACCTTGTGCTTCTGGTTACGTACTCCCTGGCTTGTTATCCGACTTTGTGACTTTCTCCTACCCTTTGACCTCGGCTTGTCTATCGTTATTCTGTCTTCTGGTTTCCCTTACTCGGCTTGTTTCCTGACTATTCTTTGTGTGCTTAGCCCGGCCACTCTAAGGTCCGGTACGGCACTTTGTGTGTGTGTGTTGGCGTGTTTGGTTCCCCGAATCGTGACAAGAAGAATCCTTGGCCAAGGATGAGGTCCTAGATCGGTTCACGATTAGGGGTTGGTCCAAAGAATAATATGCCTAATTGGCAATGCTAATACCGCACTTGCCACAGAGCGCCGTAAATAAATCCTATTAAAAATAGAACCCAAGCTCATTAACATGGCAATTACAGAACCAGGCCCTCAAGCCAAAGGTCTTCTGTTTGGAGATGCATTTGTTAAAGACCTGGGCGCATACGTCCAAACATTTACATTTACATACGTCCAAACATTTACATTTACTGCAAGTAAATATGAAAAGGGTGTTTCACCCAAAGGTTTTTCCTGGGGCCGGCAGAGCAAGGGGCCGTCTCTCTGGCAGATTTAATAGAGGTTCACGCCCGAACCGAGGCTCCTACATGGGGAGACCCCCCTTTCTAGAACAGAGGTCCGCCCCGACCTTCTTTCCCCAAAGAGGCAGACCATAGGTGTCAAGAGGTTCACGAGGCGCTCTTTCCGGAAGACGTCCTTACGGTAAGCTACCTACCTTGTTTTTCTTCACCTATAGCAATAGGGGACAGACTCACACATTTTTCCCATATCTGGGCTCTCATTACTTCAGATGTCTGGATACTCAGGGCAGTCCAAGGATATCTCATAGACTTTGTGTCTCTACCCATCCAGCAATACCCACCCAGGGAGATTGTTTTTTCCCGGTTAGATGCAATCCTCGTCTCTGAGGAAATCCAAGAGTTGGCACTCAAAGGGGCTATTCTAGAAATCCCGATGCATACCCCGGGTTTTGTGAGCAACCTGTTTACTGTCCCCAAGAAGGGTGGCGGTACCCACGCAGTCATCAATCTCAAACACCTGAATTGCTATGTAAGCTACCACCATTTTAAAATGGAAGGCATTCATTGCCTACGGGATTTGCTCCAACCATCAGACTGGATGGTAAAACTCGATCTAAGAGACGCTTATCTCACAGTGCCCATTGCGGAGGCCCATCAGGATTTCCTGCAATTCACATGGCAAGGAAGGAAATGGTGGTTCCACTGCCTTCCCTTCGGTCTCTCTTCTCGCCTTGGTGCTTCACCAAGCTCATGAAACCAGTTATTGCGCTTCTGCACAGTCAGGGGATTCGTCTAATCCTTTACTTAGATGACATCCTACTGCTATCCCAATCGATGCACCTACTGCATACTCACCTCATTTGGACCACAACCTTACTACAGAACCTGGGATTCATTATCAACTGGGAAAAATCCATACTAGTTCCCACTCAGCAAATAGAGTTCCTAGGCCTCCTAGTGGGTTCGGTGATGCAAACCCTATTTTTTACCTACCTCCAAAATGAGGAGTATCAAAAAAGAGATAAGGAGTGTTCTGGCCTCCCCTCAATTATCTCTCAAGCACCTGGCCTGTGTTATTGGGCTCCTGGCTGCCTCTATACAGGCCTTATTTCCAGGCCCCCTTCACTACAGAGCCCTCCAACGCCTACAGGCATCATACCTCAGGAGCGGTGCCTCATACGAGGATTCTCTGACACTAGATGCAGAAGCAAAGGAAGAACTCCACTGGTGCCTCCTACACATGGAGGCGTGGAATGGCAAAGCCATTTTCGGTTCGGCTCCAGATGTAGTCATAGAGTCAGACGCGAGCTCTTCCGGGTGGGGAGCTTGATGGTCGGAATTAGAATCCACTTTACATATAAATTGCTTAGAACTCCTGGCGGGGTCCTTTGCGATTCGCAGCCTATCCCCTACCCTATCCCAGTGCTCAATTCTGTTGAAGATGGACAACATTTCGGCTGTCCTTTATATAAACCATCTGGGAGGCACGAGGTCCAAAGTCATAGCAAATCTGGCTCGAGACTTCTGGCAATTTTGCCTTCAACACAACATTGCTGTCAGGGCAGAATATCTGCCGGGGTTGTCCAACGCTACAGTGGATTGGTATTCCCGCCATCTGCGGGATTCCAGCGACTGGCACCTTGATCCCCATACCTTCCAGTACATCTGGGACCTATGGGGTCCTCTAGCAATAGACTTGTTTGCCTCTCACTTGAATACCCAACTTCCGAACTTTTTCAGTTGGAAGCCAGACCCGAAAGCTTTGGCTAAGAATGCATTCTCCCAAGACTGGTCCACCACCAGGAACTATGCATTCCCTCCATTCGCCCTTATCCCGCGTTGCCTACTTCACCTGCGGCGCCACTTGGGCTGCCTAGTGATAATAACCCCCCTCTGGCCGTCATAACCCTGGTTCCCTCCGTTACTAGAGATGGCTATAGATCGCCAAAGACTCCTCCCAAACTCCCACTCCCTCCTGCGGGCCCCCGACGGGACCCCCCCAACCCCTGATCCTCCAGGGTCTCCTTCGCCTCACGGCATGGCTAATTTCCAGGGACCCTGGGCAATCGAGGGACTTTCGCAATCGACTCTCCGAATTCGAGGGCGCATGGGCCCCCGGCATGAGACAGTCTTACAAGTCTGCTTGGCGCACATGGGATGATTGGTGCATGGCAAGGGGTGTGGATCCCTATCAACTCCTGTGACAACCGTCCTCCAATTCTTAACTTCCCTCTATGAGAATGGGAAAGCTTATCGGACGGTAAACCTCTACCGCTCAGCGATTTCAGCCGGCCACACCGGCATTGACGGTACCCCGGTAGGACGACATCGACTTGTCTGTCGCCTCCTCCGCGGCATCCGCTTCGCAAGGCCACCTTTACCTCGTTATTCATCCCTATGGGACGTCTCCCTGGTATTGAATTTCCTGACTATGTGGACAGACAACGAGGCTTTATCCCTGAAACAACTCTCAGCTGAACTGGTCATGCTATTGTGCCTAATCTCATGTAAAACAGCACTCAATGTCAATGTCCGCTCCTTCTCCCCAGACGTAGTCATTTTTGACATCTCGCAGAGGACAAAATCATCCTCCCGGTCGGTGCGATACCCGGCTTTCCCCACAAAGCCGCTCCTCTGCCCGGTAGCGTGTCTCAGGGTGTACGAAGCTTGTACCGCACCCCTCCGGACTGGTTTGGAACCCCAGCTCTTTATCTCCTTTCGCAAACCGTTTGCTCCGATATCCT